TAATGTAAATCTTAACTTGTTTTATCTTTATCTTAAAAGTAGGATTGCAAAAAATCATAATACTCAACAGCAAAGAGTAAACTAAATACACTGAGAATAGAATACAAATAAGTAATAGATTGCATTTGTATAGCGCCTTTCAAGGGACCCAAGAAAACCATAGAAAATCAGATGGGTTTTTAGTTGACTTCAATCCATATTTGGTGAAAGCAGTGGAGCTTTTAGCAGCTGAAGACCCAGGTTTGTCCCCAGGAGTCGGTGGAGGGAGTGAATATTGCACTTGTTTTCATCAAGTTACCAGATCCACATCCCCAATGTGCAAACAGGCCGCCAACATGTTTACCATGACAACGTTAGTAGGTGCTTACGTATCGGGGTTTTGTTTCAAGGTTGTTTTGCTGCCCCATAAACGGCCACGAACATCACTGAACGCAGCTCAAAGGTAAAAATGTTAAGCTGCAGAATCTGATTTGCTTCCAACAATTGGCATTTTCTGACACTCGATGCCACGAAGACATTTGGGTCGCTACCAGGAAGTGTCAATATCAATTCCTAAATATATACACCGTGGAAATTGAGATATCCTCCTTATGAAAACACTGTTAATAACTCACATCAACAACTCACAATATAGAAGATGGGCGCGAGATTATTTAAAACATTTTCTATTAATTATTTGTTTACAAAAACACATTTGTTGTGTATTCTCTGCTCTGAGAGCTTTGCAAAGCTGTGCAGTGTCGGCTTATTTAAAGAGTCCCTGTGAGTTTTCTTGCATGCTCGCAGAATGTGAGTAATGCAGGCTTGTAGAGATTTACCCCTCAGTGACAGCTAATAGAAGAAATCCGAAATCCTTCATTTGTCCCAGAGCATTTTTACAGCGAAAGTGTCAGTGCAGATAGAAAGGCAAAAGGAAATTAGGGTTAAAAAAAGATTCCCTATTCTGCTTTTTGGGTTTTCCCTTTCCTGTAGTGTGTTATATCGGTTGTTGTGCATGTAAATGGTCTGCAAAGGCTAAAATCCCAACGTTCCCGAACATAGTGACATCACTTTTTAACACTTGCGCTTCTATTGGCTAGTGCTCTAACACATTGTACGTGATTGGCTAAGGGGCGGGACATCTCTAAGAGGTTGACCAATCACAACAGAGCAGGCCAGCTAACCAATCAGAGCAGACTGGCATGTGTGTGTGGCCTAGCATTACTATACTTGTGGGGACCTAAATATGTTTACACAGTCACGTGTGGGGACTCGCCTCCCTTATGGGGACAAATTGGAGGTCCCCATGAGGGGAATCATTCATTTTAGGGTGAAGACTTGGTTAGGGTTAAGGTTAGGATAAGTCTCCAGGAAATGCATGTAGGTCAATGTAATGTCCCCTGAAAGTGATTGTGTGTGTGTGTGTGTGTGTGTGTGTGTGTGTGTGTGTGTGTGTGTGTGTGTGTGTGTGTGTGTGTGTGTGTGTGTGTGTGTGTGTGTGTGTGTGTGTGTGTGTGTGTGTGTGTGTGTGTGTGTGTGTGTGTGTGTGTGTGTGTGTGTGTGTGTGTGTGTGTGGGTTGTGTGTGTGTGTGTGTGTGTGTGTGTGTGTGTGTGTGTGTGTGTGTGTGGTGTGTTGTGTGTGTGTGTGTGTGTGTGTGTGTGTGTGTGGTGTGTGTGTGTGTGTGTGTGTGTGTGTGTGTGTGTGTGTGGTGCTGAAGTGATTTGAATCATTCAAATTAGATCTGGCAGGAAGACTGTCATACATAAGCTCATAATAATAGTGCTCATAATGACTCGACTGAAGGGGAATTATTGCACGAGTGTTCGTCCTCCCAGTGTCCTGGCTCTGCAGAAACACACTGCAGTGAGAAGTGACAGCTCATTTAATCCCAGAGAAAACTTGGCCCTTCCCACAGAGAGCATTGTTGAGTCTCTCCTGTTATCCGCTTGGTTCTTTTCACACCTTTCAGCTAAATGTGACGTGTGAGTATTCAGAGGCTGTTCTGTGAAGATGTGATTGTCACAGCCGTGTTTTCCCAGAGCGCTGCTTTCATTCGAGCTTCAGAAAGTCTGCAGGACATGATAACAACAAGCTGACTTTTTCTCTCATTATCTGGGAGTAGTTTGGGTTTTTGGTGCTTTGAATCTTGACATTTTCCAGACAGAAACATCAAAACAAAAGTGAAAAAAAGTTTAACAAAATGGATATTTCATAAAATGACACAGATGTTTTAGGGCAGGGGTTCCCAACCCCCGGTCTGCGGACCGGTACCGGGCCGCGGAGGTGTTACTGCCGGGCCGCGGAGGTGTTACTGCCGGGCCGCAAAATGGCAGTGCATACATTATTTGAGATATATTTCCAACTCAGACTTCATTTTAAGGACATGTCAGCCAGGGGTGTAGAGCTATTTGTTTAAGCACCGGATTGGCAAAACAGGAGAGTAAACCAGTCTGTCTTGATCTATGAATTCATGTCCAGGACCTCACGGTATGTGCTGCCCGCAGCTGTTTTATAGAAGGAAACCTCCTTCACTTCATGAAATGGCTGCAGCATCAGGAGGCAGCGGGACGTGTAACTCCGCCTCTGAGAAGTGCAGCACCAGCGCGCCGAGAGCTGTGCCTTTTTACGCACCGCCTTCGCTGTGTTTACATTCATCAGAACAGCTTAAGAGTGACTGCAGGCTGCTACGTGTTAACCACACACACCTCTATACACACCTCTACACACACCTCTACACACATCGAACTGCCCGATTACTCCCCCTTTTATTAGTTTTAAGAAGGAGATGTCCAGTCACCAAGGCGCAGTGTGTGTGTGTGTGTGTGTGTGTGTGTGTGTGTGTGTGTGTGTGTGTGTGTGTGTGTGTGTGTGTGTGTGTGTGTGTGTGTGTGTGTGTGTGTGTGTGTGTGTGTGTGTGTGTGTGGTGTGTGTGTGGTGTGTGTGTGTGTGTGTGTGTGTGTGTGTGTGTGTGTGTGTGTGTGTGTGTGTGTGTGTGTGTGTGTGTGTGTGTGTGTGTGTGTGTGTGTGTGTGTGTGTGTGTGTGTGTGTGTGTGTCTATCTATATATATCTCTATAGCTCTGCTCTGCTCAGCTCAGCTCTGTGTGTTCGGTGTGTTTGTGTCTGTCCGACACCGGCATTTGTTTTCAAATGACCATGAACAGTAATTTACACACATCTGGCTAATCTTAATCTCGATGTAGTGCTAAATGCTGTCGAACGTGCACCGGAACGAACGTCACTATCATAATATCTTCTGAAAACAAATGCCAGTGTCACACACACACACACACACACACACACACACACACACACACACACACACACACACACACACACACACACCCTGGCGACCAGACATCTCCTTCATAATGCGCCTTCTCCTCGTTTTCCCAGCATTCACTGGATTATCCGTAAATCATACAAACAAAACCAAAACGTTGATTTCTCTGTTTTCCCGTTTTGGTTTTAAAAACCGAATAACGTCGGTTTTCCGTTTTTCCGAAAAACCAAAAAACGACACTGGTTCTTTTTTAAACGTTGTTAATATGTTTTGGATGCATATTGTTCTAGTATTTGTTCAGGCTGTTACATACAATTAGCCTCTGTTGAGTAAATATTAAAATCAGTTAAAATTGACAACCGGTCCGCGATTTTTTTTTTATGTATCTGCCGGTCCTTGGCACAATAAAGGTTGGGAATCCCTGTTTTAGGGGATCTGTTAGCAAAGAAATACACTGGCAACATTTTTGATTTAAATGATACACATAAAGGAGGTTTATTATGCTTATTTTCAGGTATGATGTGCCTCACCTAGGACATGTTTACATATTAGACACAGGCTTTTGCGTTATGTTAGTGAGTAAATGTACTTCCCACCAAACAATTTAACTTCGAGTCAGTCTTGGGAAAGGAAGAAAGCTTCTGAATTTTACTCTGTTATTTTGGGAATTTATAAAAAAAGGGGACATTGCAGAAGCTATGGAAGGTTCAAGTGAAAAGACTAAACTACTGTGAGGAAATGTTGAATATGGTTCATCTATTTGGAGAATTGTAAGCTGTACTCTGCTCTGTTTGTGGATGTGCTTTTATTGTATTTTTGTTGAATTTACTAATGTAATTATATTCTTGGTCTGTACTTTAAAGGTCCCGTGTCATGGCCATTTCTACTGATCATGTTTCCATTGTTGAGGTCGACTAGAATAGATTTACATTGTTCAATGTTCCAAACTCACATTGGATTCTCACAGCATCTCTGTATAGTCTGTGTATTCACTCTCTGTCCTAAACGGCTTGTTGGAGCTCCTGCCCCCCCTCCCTGTGAGCCCAGTGTGCTCTGATTGGTCGGGACGTTGCGAGGCTCGTTGCTGCGAGGAGCGGACAGGTTTCCGGGTCGGCGATACAGCGAGAACAAGCAAAACTCATCCTGAGCACAAACACTCACAGCCGAAGTAAAAACAATAAGTGTGGCTTGATATTGAGTAAGAAAAAGGTTTATAGCGCTGTGAGAACGGGTCTGCGGAGAGCATTCCTCCGCCATCCCAACTCGTCTATTACCAGCGTTCAGGGAGCTCTATGCAAGTCAATGGGACTCCCTGTTAGTTAGCCAAGGGATCCTGGTGTGTGAGGTGCTCCGCGGATTGGTCCATTTGGGCCAATCTGGTCATTTGTTGTTGATCTGGGTGTTCACACGTCACAGAACCCAGGAAGCAAACAATGGAAATGAGAAATGTCCAACGAGGCGTTCTGGGGCAGCATAGACAGGTAGAAAACCCTTCATATCACACAAGGGGACGGGTAATAACCGGAAAAGCATGACATGGGCCCTTTACACTGATTTCTGTTAACTGTATCGTGGACTTTTTAGCATTATTTTGTAATCTGCCATATGTCTAATGTTGGGGAATGTTCAATTGTGTTTGTGTAATGTGATAAATAAAAAAATCAATAAATACATACAAAAAAAATGTACTTCCCACCTCTGGACCTATCTTTTTCACAGCCTCCTCTCTTCCTCCACAGATGTAAGTTCTTCAGCCTGACGGAGACCCCGGAGGACTACACCATTATCGTGGACGAGGAGGGCTTCAAAGGTGGGGTTTCTCTCCAGTATCTCTGCAGTTTCTCTCCAGAGTCTCCGTGGTAACCACAGGTCGGAGCGGCAGGAAAATATCTCGTTGTGTAATGTGTGATTGTGTTTGAACACACTCGGTCATTACGGCCGCCAAGGGCTGTTTGAGTGAATTCATGTCATTACACACACACACACGCACACGCGTGCACACACGCACCTTTTCCTGAGTGACCCTGCTCTGTTACCCTGGAGACTTCAGGCTATTTGTTGCGTAACAGCCGCAGGTATTTTCTACAGAGTTTAGAGCGGCCTCTTTTCTGTTCAACTAGACCAGGAGGGTATAGAGAGTCATATCAAATATACATTTAAAACCTCCTGAAGACATGGAAAATGTATTATCATACATGTTGTTACAGTCTTTTGTCAGTGGTGGAAGAAGTACTCAGATGAAGTAAAACTATGGTCTTAAAATACTCCATTACAAGTAAGAGAACTGAACTTAAAATGTTGTTTAGTTATATGAACAGAATAACAAAAAAGACTTCAAGTATTAAAAGTAAAACCTTTTTTTAAATGTGTAGAACAGATGAAAAATAGGAAGTAGAAAACGTCTCATAATAAAGTAAGGAAGAACCATTACTCATGCTCATTGCTCACAATAACTTCCCAGTTTATTTTCTATTTGTTACAAACTGGTGTTTTGAAAATGTATTAATGCTCGTGCTCAGGCATCAGTAATAAGGCTATAAGAAGTATGAGCTGTTTAAATGACCATCGTTAACTGGCCATTACACAGAATGAGTACTTTTACTTTTGATGCCAAATTCTGTACTTCTCCTTAAAGGTAGGGTAGGTAAGAATGGAGAAACCAGCTTGAGTGCGCTAGAATTTGAAAATACGCAGCCGAAAAAAATCTGCCTCTTCCTTCAGACTTCCTCACAGAGCCCCTCCTCCAACACACACGAACGCGCACATGACCAATGAGGGCACGAGATGAGTTAGTGCACAGATGGAAGGCTGACAGGCAGGTAGGCCATCCAGTTACTTTAGCCGGGCCGGCTCAAATGATTGGTCGTGCTTTTTACAGCGCCACGGCTTCCACTGATGATATTTTTTTATGGATTTATTGTCAAAGCATTTAATATATTCATTGCTATCGGGATGTTAAGAGCATTCCATGGAATATAACAAAAAGCGTTTCTGAAGTGAATTACCTACCCCACCTTTAAGCGACTTTCTGAATGAAGTTTTCTGAGTATTTTCCCAATGAATATTACCAATACAACTTTAGTAATGGATTGGATTGAACTTCTTCCACCACTGTGCGTAAATTACCACCTCTTCTCAGGTTGTGTTGTGTAGTTGTACTGCAGTCGTGTGTGTACTTTACCTGACTGTTAAACACCTGAACTTTTGAAAGAACATCCATAACATCTGTTTGCAACTTATATATATATATATCAATATTCCAATTACTTGTATTTAGACTATTCTGCACTATTTCTTTTATATTTTATTTTATTTACTTGCACTATTTTATCAGTTTTATTGTGTTGCACTGTTGGAGGAGCCCGTGACCTAAGAATGTCATGTGTGCATAACTACACTGTAGCTATGCACACATGACAATAAAAGCCTTGAATTTTGAATCCGTACCTCTTGTTTTTCTGACCCTCGTGTCTCTGTTTCCTCAGAGTTGCCTCAGTCGGAGCACATCAGTGTTGCGGATGCTACGTGGTTAGCTCTTAACGTAGTGCCGGGGGGGGGGAACGCCTCCAACTCGCAGCCCATCGGAGTCACAAAGATCGCCAAATCAGTCATCGCTCCGCTGGCCGACCACAACATCTCCGTCTTCATGCTGTCCACCTACCAGACCGACTTCATCCTGGTGAGTGAGGACGATGTCACTCTGACCTGTACAATTAAAGAGGCCCTATTAGGCTTTTGGGGGATTTCCCCTTTTCCTGTAGTGTGTTACGATACGATTCGATAATACTTTATTGGTCAGATCAAGTCTGAAATGTGACTTGCATCACAGCAGCTCCATGTGTAACATCAACAGACAAATATCAAGACACGATACATGAAAAACAAACATTCAACATAACAGCACAATCACTGAGAGAAAACCTGCTCAAAGAGCCTTCAGCATGCATACAAAAACATTCATCCCAGCAAAGAGAAGAGATGCAATATGCCAGATTATAGCTAATAGCTCATTTCCATCTGTGGTCCTCAAGCGTGGATTTGATCTGGATTCAGCTCTGTGTTTACTGAGAGGATTGACTGGAGCACAGTCTGACTTGTTATATATGTTTTAGTGCATGTAAACGGTCTGCAAAGGCTAAAATCCAGTTTCTCTCCCACACACTTACTGTAACATAACGCTCTATTTTATTTACATTTGTCCTGGCTTTTAGCTTACTCGCCTATTAATGTAAATAACAATGCCCCTACAGCCCCCCCATAAAAGGTATTATAACAAATATATATTGCTTTAATGTACCAAAGTATTCAACAAAAATGGCGTGAAGAAAACCTTTAAAAAATAAATCTAACTTTGATGTTAAAAGATGTTAAATTAAGAGAATGTATTTTGAAAAATGTGTTACGGGTCCCAAAAGCTTGGGTACCACAGCAACAATAAATGATTTCTGTAGAAAACAGAAAAGTGCAGCAGCAATAATTATACACAGGATCCGGTTGATCGTCTGGATTGCTTCTTATTCAAGTACACAGTTACATTCAAATAGCTGTACTTTACAAACATCACATTTCTCCATTTAAGTTATCCGTCTGTCACAGTCAATTACTGTATCTCAAGGAGACATTCAACATAGTCAATATAAACACATAACGCTATCAAATAATACTTTCTATCAATATATCTATCTTTACCAAATATAACATATTATGGAGATCACAAAAATACATTCATAAAGAATGTCTACGTGCACGGTGACATGAGAAAGCAATAACGTTTGGATATACTGTTCCTCTTCTAGCTCCACTTCCTTCTGACTTAGGGAGAAGTCCTGTCTCTCATAGCGAGGCTGTCTGGCCACAGGGAGTGTTTTTTTATTGCCTTGCTTTGGTGGAAAGACAAGGTCTGCTGAACAGCTCCGGCATGTTTATGAAAATGAAAAAAGATACCCTGTGTGGATGTTATAATCTGTTACGTAAAGAGGATCAGCGGCTCAGCCTCGGAGCTGGAATTCCAGGTATCATAACCCGGCTCTGTTTCCTGTCTCCTGTCTACACACAATCCTAATTGCTATATCAGATCAAAAGAGGCCTTTAAAAAAACACAAACCCACCTCCCTTCTTCTCGCTGTCCTCGTCTCACGCTGCGTCGGGTTGCATTTCCAATTCTCTGCGCTGACCCAAACACAGCAGCTTAAGATCTGGGCTTCTCACTGTTAGCGTTACACGATTGTATAAATCTATAAATGAGCCTACCATAAGAATATGAACATTGTCCCTAACCCTCACCATGTCCTAAACAGAGAATATGAATAATTTCCATCAATAAAAACCCATAATTTAATACAATTATGATTTAAAATAGTAAGACTGAAGCCCTCTTTTGTGCACACGTCAATCCTCATTTTTTTCCTTCAGATTCTTTAAAGAGTCCTCTCCTGCTGATGTTCAGGTGTATATCAGTATTTAGTGTCTCTACTTTAAAGAGTCCTCTCCTGCTGATGTTCAGGTGTATATCAGTATGTAGTGTCTCTACTTTAAAGAGTCCTCTCCAGCTGATGTTCAGGTGTATATCAGTATGTAGTTTCTCTACTTTAAAGAGTCCTCTCCAGCTGATGTTCAGGTGTATATCAGTATGTAGTGTTTCTACTTTAAAGAGTCCTCTCCTGCTGATGTTCAGGTGTATATCATTATGTAGTGTCTCTACTTTAAAGAGTCCTCTCCTGCTGATGTTCAGGTGTATATCAGTATGTAGTGTCTCTACTTTAAAGAGTCCTCTCCTGCTGATGTTCAGGTGTATATCAGTATGTAGTGTCTCTACTTTAAAGAGTCCTCTCCTGCTGATGTTCAGGTGTATATCAGTATGTAGTGTCTCTACTTTAAAGAGTCCTCTCCTGCTGATGTTCAGGTGTATATCAGTATGTAGTGTCTCTACTTTAAAGAGTCCTCTCCAGCTGATGTTCAGGTGTATATCAGTATGTAGTGTCTCTACTTTAAAGAGTCCTCTCCTGCTGATGTTCAGGTGTATATCAGTATGTAGTGTCTCTACTTTAAAGAGTCCTCTCCAGCTGATGTTCAGGTGTATATCAGTATGTAGCGTCTCTACTTTAAAGAGTCCTCTCCTGCTGATGTTCAGGTGTATATCAGTATGTAGTGTCTCTACTTTAAAGAGTCCTCTCCTGCTGATGTTCAGGTGTATATCAGTATGTAGTGTCTCTACTTTAAGAGTCCTCTCCTGCTAATGTTCAGGTGTATATCAGTATGTAGTGTCTCTACTTTAAAGAGTCCTCTCCTGCTAATGTTCAGGTGTATATCAGTATGTAGTGTCTCTACTTTAAAGAGTCCTCTCCTGCTGATGTTTCAGGTGTATATCAGTATGTAGTGTCTCTACTTTAAAGAGTCCTCTCCTGCTGATGTTCAGGTGTATATCAGTATGTAGTGTCTCTACTTTAAAGAGTCCTCTCCTGCTGATGTTCAGGTGTATATCAGTATGTAGTGTCTCTATTTTAAAGAGTCCTCTCCTGCTGATGCTCAGGTGTATATCAGTATGTAGTGTCTCTACTTTAAAGAGTCCTCTCCTGCTGATGTTCAGGTGTATATCAGTATGTAGTGTCTCTACTTTAAAGAGTCCTCTCCTGCTGATGTTCAGGTGTATATCAGTATATAGTGTCTCTACTTTAAAGAGTCCTCTCCTGCTGATGTTCAGGTGTATATCAGTATGTAGTGTCTCTACTTTAAAGAGTCCTCTCCTGCTGATGTTTAGGTGTATATCAGCATGTAGTGTCTCTACTTTAAAGAGCCCTCTCCTGCTGATGTTCAGGTGTATATCAGTATGTAGTGTCTCTACTTTAAAGAGTCCTCTCCTGCTGATGGTCAGGTGTATATCAGTATGTAGTGTATCTACTTTAAATAGTCCTCTCCTGCTGATGTTCAGGTGTATATCAGTATGTAGTGGCTCTACTTTAAAGAGTCCTCTCCTGCTGATGTTCAGGTGTATATCAGTATGTAGTGGCTCTACTTTAAAGAGTCCTCTCCTGCTGATGTTCAGGTGTATATCAGTATGTAGTGTCTCTACTTTAAAGAGTCCTCTCCTGCTGATGTTCAGGTGTATATCAGTATGTAGTGTCTCTACTTTAAAGAGTCCTCTCCTGCTGATGTTCAGGTGTATATCAGTATGTAGTGTCTCTACTTTAAAGAGTCCTCTCCTGCTGATGGTCAGGTGTATATCAGTATGTAGTGTCTCTACTTTAAAGAGTCCTCTCCTGCTGATGTTCAGGTTCATATCAGTATGTAGTGTCTCTACTTTAAATAGTCCTCTCCTGCTGATGTTCAGGTGTATATCAGTATGTAGTGGCTCTACTTTAAAGAGTCCTCTCCTGCTGATGTTCAGGTGTATATCAGTATGTAGTGGCTCTACTTTAAAGAGTCCTCTCCTGCTGATGTTCAGGTGTATATCAGTATGTAGTGTCTCTACTTTAAAGAGTCCTCTCCTGCTGATGTTCAGGTGTATATCAGTATGTAGTGTCTTTCCTTTAAAGAGTCCTCTCCTGCTGATGTTCAGGTGTATATCAGTATGTAGTGTCTTCTACTTTAAAGAGTCCTCTCCTGCTGATGTTCAGGTGTATATCAGTATGTAGTGTCTCTACTTTAAAGAGTCCTCTCCTGCTGAGTTCAGGTGTATATCAGTATGTAGGTATAAGGTCAGCTGATGTTAGGTGTATCAGCATGTAGTGTCTCTACTTTAAAGAGTCCTCTCCTGCTGATGTTCAGGTGTATATCAGTATGTAGTGTCTCTACTTTAAAGAGTCCTCTCCTGCTGATGGTCAGGTGTATATCAGTATGTAGTGTATCTACTTTAAATAGTCCTCTCCTGCTGATGTTCAGGTGTATATCAGTATGTAGTGGCTCTACTTTAAAGAGTCCTCTCCTGCTGATGTTCAGGTGTATATCAGTATGTAGTGGCTCTACTTTAAAGAGTCCTCTCCTGCTGATGTTCAGGTGTATATCAGTATGTAGTGTCTCTACTTTAAAGAGTCCTCTCCTGCTGATGTTCAGGTGTATATCAGTATGTAGTGTCTCTACTTTAAAGAGTCCTCTCCTGCTGATGTTCAGGTGTATATCAGTGTGTAGTGTCTCTACTTTAAAGAGTCCTCTCCTGCTGATGTTCAGGTGTATATCAGTATGTAGTGTCTCTACTTTAAAGAGTCCTCTCCTGCTCATGTTCAGGTGTATATCAGTATGTAGTGTCTCTACTTTAAAGAGTCCTCTCCTGCTGATGTTCAGGTGTATATCAGTATCTAGTGTCTCTTCTTTAAAGAGTCCTCTCCTGCTGATGTTCAGGTGTATATCAGTATGTAGTGTCTCTACTTTAAAGAGTCCTCTCCTGCTCATGTTCAGGTGTATATCAGTATGTAGTGTCTCTACTTTAAAGAGTCCTCTCCTGCTGATGTTCAGGTGTATATCAGTATGTAGTGTCTCTACATGTCTCCATTCTTTAATGTTCAAAAAGCTCTTTATTTTTCTCGTACTGCCTGTGCTGCAGCACCTCTTTTCACCCTCTGTCTGAAACCAGAGCCCAGTCTGCTCTGATTGGTTAGCTGGCCGGCTCTGTTGTGATTGGTCAACCACTTAGAGATGTCCCGCCTCTTAGCTTATCACGTACAATGTGTTGGAGCGCTAGCCAATAGAAGCGTGAGTGTTAAATAGTTTGTTCCGGAAGTAAACAAAGGAGTCCAAAAAACCCAAAAAGCATTATAGGTCGTAGGAAAATGAAACCTGATCTAAATGTTGGATAAACTCATTTTGACAGAGTCAGAGTATCCTCTCTCACACACACACTTACACACAAACACCAATCCAATTGACCCAATAGCTGTTTCCCTCCGTAAGGAAACACTGTGTGACTCTTTCCGCAGCTCTGGAGTTCACCTTTGTCTCAGAGACACCAATAAACTCTACATCATATTTCATATATAAATCTTTGTAGGTTTGTGTTATGCTGAGGCATTTACTGTAACTCTAGAAATGATTAAACTTATGGTGGCAGTGGAATGTTTATATGATGGCAAGTCATTTAAGCGCAATTTTGTTATTACCTTTAAGGAAATAAATCACAGTTATATCTTTAAATAAGAAACGTTATTTAACCCGGAATCTAAACAGTTTTTAAGGGAGACCTTGCCGAGATAGCTCAGCATTACAAGGTTACACAAATTACAAAATAAAACATGTTTAAAACTAGAGGCAGACCGATTAATTTAATTTTTTTAATATGTATCTCTTTAGTATTTCACTGAGCCAAAACCAGGGAAGGCTATTCAAATTTATATTTCTTTTTTACTGTAAGTTAACACGCTCTCAAAATACAAGTTGTTGTTGATTATCCTTCAGGCTATATGCAGGAATCCTGAAGTCAAATGTAATTCCTTTTAAGACCTTTTTTAAGACCCTTTCCATATATTTTAAGACCTCATCGCCACTTGGAGTTTTAACCGGTTACCTTGGCGACACACTTTACCTCACATTGACTATACACAGTATTGATTGTCCTTCCTCCTTATCTTCCAACCAATTGCGGTATTTTTGGAACTTTAAGTATTTGTTTGAATTTACGGTATTTTTGGAACTTTAAGTATTTTTGGAATTTAAGGTATTTTTGGAACTTTAAGTATTTTTGGAATTTAAGAATTTTTAGAACTTTAAGTATATTTGGAATTTACGGTATTTTTGGAACTTTAAGCATTTTTGGAACTTTAAGACCCTTTCCATACATTTTAAGACCTCATCGCCACTTTGAGTTGTAACCGGTTACCTTGGCGACACACTTGACTTGACTCACATTGACTATATACAGTATTGATTGTCCTTCCTCCTTATCTTCCAACCGTTTGGACGCAGACTTGCATTTCCCCATAACGATGTTGCTTAGCAACCGGCGTAAACGGACCTTCGCGCTATCAAGCAGTGAGCGTGCGATGTCCTGTTCAGATGACGTCAAACCCAACGGGATGCCATCAATAAACGACACAGAATCACACGACACACCTACGCCATGATTACATTCAGGCACACTGTAGAACACAACCTCTTTGGACCATTTATAGACTTATTGAAAACAAGCTACAAAATGTAACACCTTGGAAAATGCCCTTTAATACTTTTTAATAGCCTTCATTTGCGCTAAATTGATTTATTAACTTTTAATACTTTTTAAGACCCCGCGGACACCCTGTCCTTAGACATTTATTTAGTTGGAACCATTTTAAAATGGTCACTGCAGACAAGTGCAGAAAATCAGAGACAATATTAATATATAAGCAGTCAATTCCCATTTTCTGGAGATGTCAAAAAGCTCGATTTCTATTGAAATGTAGGTCATTAACGATGACGCAGGGAGAAAGATCAGGAACACTAAGAAGTTCATATCATCACAAAATAACTCTGTTTATTTATCTGTTTATTTATTTGTTGTGTTATGTTTTGTTTTTTTGTTTTTTCAATAACAAATATATTTCTTTAAGAAAAAACATATATATGTTAATCATTTAGTTTTTGGGAGATGTAATTAAGTATATCATTCGCTTATATATCATTTAGAATCAGTAATAGTTTTGTTCATCAATTTGACACTGCTTAAGTTTGTACACTATCATAATTCTCATGTTTCATTATTATTCAAAACATTTTGTATTATTGTTTTACACATTCAAAATAAATCTAATCAAATCAAAGTGGGATTCCCTTTTGTAAGTTTCCTCAAACAAATAAGCAACTTTTCCCGATGTTAGTTTTGAACGTACTCACTTCTCCCTGTGTTTGTGTCCAGGTGCGGGAGCGGGACCTTCCTCTGGTGATGCACACGCTGTCTTCAGAGTTCACTCTGCTGCGGGTTGTCAACGGAGAGACGGTGGCGGTCCACGACCTGGGGGTCACCAACGGATTCGTTAAACCCAAACTCGGTAAGCTGTGGAAAAAAAAAGATGTATACATTTATATTATTGTTTTGTATAGAAGCAAGCTTTTAAAGTATAGTGAAAATTAACATGGAACAATGTTTGGTAAATCACAATAAAAACCTTTTGGGAACTTTTGTTGGATTTATTTTACTTACATTTTTCAACTTTGGTGCACATCATCATCGGCACCATCATGCTTTCTGACAGATTTTACTGAACATCATTTTCTAATATTTTAACACTCCGTGACCTAGAAGAGAATGATATTTTCTGAGATATTTAGAATAGAATTGGGAGGGATGAAACCCTCGTTAATGGTCACACATGCAGAGCACACACAGTGACATGTGTTCTCTGCATTTAACCCATCCTAGCACCAGGAGTCTAGAACTAGGAGCAGTGGGCAGCTATTGCACAGCGCCCGGGGAGCAATGGGAGTGGGGGGGAAGGGGGATGTCCGGTGCCTTGCTCAAGGGCACCACGGCAGGGCAGGAGGTGAACTGGGACCTCTCCAAGCAGCAGTCCACACTCCATATTTTCGGTCTGTTCGGGGACTTGAACCCTTCAGCTCACAGTCCAAGCCCTACTGACTGAGCCAAGTCCATACATGGAAATCAAGAGGAAAAGCATTCATCTTGCAAAACACAAAACAACATTAGGCTCAACCTCACTATTTTGTATTATAATAATACATGTATACCATTTTTTTTAATGAATATTGAAATGTAACACTTTTAGGAGTTTAGTTTGATTAAGTTAATGCTTGTCCTAAGCACTTGAACAATGAAACACTGATTATTGCCGTATATACATTTTTATGAATGAGATGCTTCTTGGTTAAATTGCTGCCTGATTTGTGTTTATTTGATGTGTATTTTTCTCAGTGCCCCGCCCCATCATCCACCCGCTCTCCAGCCCCAGCAACATGTTCTGTGTGACGAGTCTGGACCCCGACACGCTGCCCTCTGTGGCCACGCTGCTCATGGACGTCATGTTCTACTCCTCAGGGTAAGAGACTGAAAGAAGACTTAGTGTGTGAAAATATAGATTTATGGACATTTTATGGTTAGTTCATAGATGCATTAGTGTCAGGAAGTCGTCAAATGAAAGTTGTGACGAAAAAGACAGTATAAGATTAACATTATTTAACATATTCTCTTATAAAGTGCCGCAGTGACGCGTCCTAAAACCTGGAAGTAAACTCCTTCCGGTTCCTTCGATAAAACGCAATGCAGTTTCTCCATAGGGTTTAGGAGAATAGCTGGAAATCAGGTCTGTGGTTGAGACACATTGAAGAGACGGATCACGTTTTGTTCAGCCGGATAATCTCCACATGTCTACTTTTATCATTTTATAATAATAAATCTAGTCGCCAGAAGCAAAATGCTAACGTTATGCTATAAAGGAACTACAGCAGGGTCGCTGCTTCACGCCAACTTCAGATCCATATTCAAACATACAGATTCTACATGGAACGAGTTGAAGCGTTTGTTTGAACAGTCTGCAGGAGGCAGGAACTTGCTTTCAAGCAGAACAGAAACTAACTTAGAGGAGTGTTCACGTGTTCGGCGTAATGACGTACAACGGCCTCCACAGCTTCTGTAGTCCTATTCAGCCACTTGGTAACAACCATCGTTTCTCAGACACGTCAACTCTTCAGAAATCACTGATGGATTTAATGTCGTAGAACAAAACGTGATCCATCTCTTCAATGTGTCTCAACCACAGACCTTAGTTCAGATATTCTCCTAAACCCTTTGGAGAGATTGCTTTGCTTTTTTGTCGAAGGAACCGGAAGTGGTGACATGCTAACTTACTTCCGGGTTTTAGGACGCGTCACTGTGGCACTCTATTGCAGCAGGTCCAATATGAGAGATTTCTGCTTTTCTTTGTCAATAACATTGTAAAGCTAGTTTGGAGTTTTGGGACATTTTCTGTTGAATGAAACAAAACATTTGGCAATTTTCTGTTTCATAAACTAAACAACAAATAATCATTTGAAATAATAATCTAGATTAGATTTAGAGTTATTGTCCCCAGGGGGAAATACATTTTCGCAACACTGTACACAGTCTACATACAATATATAAACAACAAACAATAACACAGACAACAACAGATAGCGAGCGACACACATGGCAGTTACACTTAGCGAGGCCTGTTATTTGAGGCAGATTTGGCTGCAGGAACCAAGCCTTTTCCAAAGCGAGCCCTTTCATGTCTCAGTGTTCTGTACCTGTGATGTCCAGTTCTATTAAAGATGCGATGTGTGAGATGGCCCTGTTGCTATTGTGAGGTTGGAAGTAGGGAGTCCAATTATCCTGGCAGCAGTGTTGGTGATGCGTGTGAGTTTTGTCCTGTTGGTGACAGTGAGCATATTGAAAAAGCAGGGAGAGCAGTACATGAGGAGGGGTTGGATTCAATAATAGTTACTTCTCAATATTTTCTGAGAACAGCCTCTTACAGTAAATGAGTGAATTTAAGAAGAGAAGATGGACCTTTATTAATCCCCGAGGGGGAAATTCAGTTTCCACTCTGTCGTACATACATATACAAATACACACACAGTTATATGCACACATGCAGAGGTCAGAGCGGAGGCAGCCAGTCTAGCAGGCGCCAGTGAGCAGTTGGGGGTTAGGTGCCTTGCTCAAGGGCACTTCGGCAGTGGCCCAGGAGGTGAACTGGCCCCTTTCCAGTACCAGTCCACACTATTTTTTGGTCCGATCGGGGACGTGAACCGGCAACCCTTCAGTCCAAAGTCCAATCAGTCCCTACAGACTGAACCACTCCCCCTACTTCCCTTAGTCACAAGTAAATCCCTTTTGGTCAAACAAAAACAAAATTTGAAGAGTTCACGTTTGGCTCGGTTAAAGGTAGGGTAGGTAAGTCCTTCAGACTTCCTTACAGAGCCCCTCCTCCAACACACACGAACGCGCACATGACCAATGAGGGCACGAGATAAGTTTGTGCCCAGATGGAAGGCTGACAGGCAGGTAGGCCATCCAGTTACTTTAGCCGGGCCGATGATTGGTCGTGCTTTTTACAGCGCTACGGCTTCCACATATTTGATGTATTTATTGTCAAAGCATTTAATATATTCATTGCTATCGGGATGTTAAGAGCATTCCATGGAATATAACAACAAGTGTTTCTGAAGTGATACCTACCCCACCTTTAAGTTTCATAGACTTACATTACATGTCACTTGTTAGACGCTTTTATCCAAAGCGACTCACATACTCAATACTGTGGACAATCCCCACAGGGGTAATTTGGGGAGAAGAGTCTCAGGGACACAACGACATGCTGACTGCAGTGGGGTTTGAACCTGTGACCCCCTGATCCAAATAACAACGCACAACCCACTGCACCACACGCTTCCCGCCTAACTTACATATGTTAATTGAATTAAATGTACTAATAAATACATGTAGTGGGAAAAATAAGTTTCTACATTTCCTTTAAAAAGTGTACATGTAGGAGAGTATTAGCATAAAGTTGCATAAAATTATTATTTTTTAACAGGACATACTTTATTTAAAAAAACATTGATACTGAATAAGACAAGAAGAGGGTTTATGTGATGCACTCAATTATAACATTTCACTTAAAAACAGTTGTTTGAGTAATGTTTTTCTTGACTTTTTGACAAACTTCCCGACCAAAAGGCACCTTAGAGACACTCTGGACAACTTTGATTTTTAAAATAATAGTTATGTTAATTGTACTTAGGTGAAGCGTGTGTGTAAGAGTCATTATGCAATGAGAGTGTTCAGTCTGTGGCTTTAAGTATGGTTTTATTGTCCTGTGTTTTACATTTGTTTTATGTGCTATAGAAATAAAGTTGGATTATGTGTGAGATAACTAGTGAACTCTTTTCTTTGTGTGCCTATCTGAAGGCCAAAGGAGCCCGAAGACTCGAACCACATCCGCTTCTTCTCCTTCTCCCTGATCGAGGGCTACATCTCTCTGGTCATGGACGAGCAGACCACTCAAAGGTTTGAAAGCAGAACACATTATTAGCTTCAAACTTTCACCATGTTTTTCTTAAGTTTATATTTGTTTTTTGCAGCATGTAGGTCAGCCTTGTCCCCATGTTTATGAAAGACTTAGTGTGCTGCCTTACAGAAATAGCTCACCCATTTTACTCCACTTTACAATGGCTCTCTTATTCCCTTAAACTCAATCCACCTGCTGATTTTCATCTGCTCGTTAATAGTTAGCCCCACGCTTATTAACTGTGTCATTTGTTAACCAGAGCAAAACAAAGAAGGGCTTTAAAGTAGAGACAGACAAAACAAGATTCCCCAAAATCGATGTTATATATTATATATTTTCTGTTTAATGAATGAAATACATGTTTTTTTTCTCCTCTGATTTTTCCTCCACGTTCTTATGAAAAGAAAATATAAAGAAAATATGGAATTCAATATTTTTTGATAAAAAAAGGCACAACCAGTTCCAGCAATTTAGTATTAAATAAAATGTAAAGAAAAATATAAACACATTTAGAGGTTTAAGTAAAACATGTGGATATTGTACAATAAATTGATGTTTTTATTTTAATATTTATAAGGTAGTGTCATAATTATAATAAAAGGTCCCATGACATGGCCATTTCCACTGATCATAATTCCATTGTTGAAGTCTACTAGAATAGATTTACATTGTTCAATTCAGATCAGAGGCTGTGTGCCAATTACAGAGGCATCACACTACTCAGCCTCCCCGGGAAAGTTTACTCTAAGGTACTCGAAAGGAGGGTCAGGCCGATTGTCGAATCTCAGATTGAGGAGGAACAATGCGGATTCCGTCCTGGTCGTGGAACGATGGATGAGCTTTTTACTCTCGCAAGGATCCTGGAGGGGGCCTGGGAGTACGCTTATCCGGTCTACATGTGTTTTGTAGACTTGGAGAAGGCGTATGACCGAGTTCCCAGGGAGTTACTGTGGGAGGTGCTGCAGGAGTATGGGGTGAGGGGGTCTCTACTCAGGGCCATCCAATCTCTGTACTCCCAAAGCGAGAGCTGTGTCCGGGTCCTCGGCAGTAAGTCGGACCCATTTCCGGTGAGGGTTGGCCTCCGCCAGGGCTGCACTTTGTCACCAATCCTGTTTGTAATATACATGGATCGGATTTCGAGGCGTAGTCATGGGGGAGGGGGTCTGCAGTTCAGTGGACTAAGGATTGCACCACTGCTTTTTGCAGATGATGTGGTTCTAATGGCTTCATCGGTCTGCGACCTTCAGCACTCACTGGATCGATTCGCAACCGAGTGTGAATCGGCTGGGATGAGGATCAGCACCTCCAAATCTGAGGCCATGGTTCTCAGCAGGAAACCGATGGACTGTCCACTCCAAGTAGGGAATGAGTCCTTACCCCAAGTGAAGGAGTTCAAGTATCTCGGGGTCTTGTTCTCGAGTGAGGGAACAATGGAGCGTGAGATGGGCCGGAGAATCGGAGCAGCGGGAGCGGTACTGCAGTCGCTTTACCGCACCGTTGTGACGAAAAGGGAGCTGAGCCAGAAGGCAAAGCTCTCTGTCTACCAGGCCATTTTCCTTCCTACCCTCACCTATGGTCATGAAGGATGGGTCATGACCGAAAGAACGAGATCGCGGATACAAGCGGCCGAGATGGGTTTTCTCTGCAGGGTGGCTGGCGTCTCCCTTAGGGATAAGGTGAGAAGTTCAGTCATCCGGGAGGGACTCGGAGTTGAACCGCTCCTCCTTCGCGTCGAAAGGAGCCAGTTGAGGTGGTTCGGGCACCTAGTTAGGATGCCACCTGGAACACCTCCCTAGGGAGGTGTTCCAGGTGGCACGTCCAGCCGGGAAGAGACCAAGGGGTAGACCTAGGACCAGGTGGAGGGATTTGTTTGTTAGCAACCAGGAAATGACACCAGTAATGACAAACAGATGAGAATGCTGCGTGGGGTCTGGGTGCCGTGTTGGCGGGACGTTGCGGGGCTCGCTGCTCCGCCCTTTGAGACTCGAGGAGCGGACAGTGTGAGCTGGATTACTGGTGTCGTTTCCTGGTTGCTGCGTGGGGTCTGCGAGACACAGAGGAACTCAGCCTGAGCACACACATACAGTACACACACAGCCAGGCTGATCACCACACACTCACAGCCTGAGAAAAGAGGCAATGAAAATCTTAAGTCACAGGCTCCTCCAACAGTGCAACATGAATATATATACAACATAAAACAGATACAACAAAGTACTGAGGTTGTATAAACAGCACTGGTTATTAAACACTGTGTGTGTGTGTGTGTGTGTGTGTGTGTGTGTGTGTGTGTGTGTGGTGTGTGTGTGTGTGTGTGTGTATGTGTGTGTGTGTGTGTGTTGTGTGTGTGTGTGTGTGTGTGTGTGTGTGTGTGATGTGTGTGTGTGTGTGTGTGGTGTGTGTGTGTGTGTGTGTGTGTGTGTGTGTGTGTGTGTGTGGTGTGTGTGGTGTGTGTGTGTGTGTGTGTGTGTGGTGTGTTGTGTGTGTGTGTGTGTGTGTGTGTGTGTGTGTGTGTGTGTGTGTGTGGTGTGTGTGTGTGTGTTGTGTGTGTGTGTGTGTGTGTGATGTGTGTGGTGTGTGTGTGTGTGTGTGTGTGTGTGTGTGTGTGTGTGTGTGTGTGTGTGTGTGTGTGTGTGTGGTGTGTGTGTGTGTGTGAGCTCCACTGATTGGTCCATTTGGTCGTCGTTACGTCACTTAGACCAGGGGGTAAAAAAATGGAAAAAGAGAAATCACCAACGAGGCGTTCTGGGGCAGCATAGACAGGTATTTCCTGTGTTAGAGTTTTACTCGCTACAGGGTGCACTTTGAGGGTTTGTGACTCTGCAGACCGTTTACATGCACAAACCTGCTGCACCACCACGCCCCTGCCCCCTGCCTCCGCTCATCAGAAGCCAACCTCCTATCCATCCCCACCCGCACCAATCACCGGACCTGGGGGGACAGAGCCTTCTCCGTCGCTGCCCCCTCCCTCTGGAACTCACTCCCACAACCCATCAGAGACTGCACTGACCTCACCACCTTCAACACACTCACACAAACTCACCTCTTCCATCTGGCTTTTAATGTGTGATTGTTTTTGTATTATTTGACTTTAACTTTAACTATATATTTATTTGTTGTTCCTTCCTTTTCTTTTCTTTTCTCTTCACTATATCTGTAAAGCGTCTTTGAGCACCTGTAAAAGCGCTAACAAATTAAATCTCTTATTATTATTATTATTATAAAAAGCTACATAACACACAAGGGGACGGGTAATAACCAGAAAAGCATGACATGGGCTCTTTACATCTAATTTAATAATTGTTTTTCCCTTTGTTCTCTTCAAGGTTTCCAAACAATGTCCTCTTCACCAGTGCTTCTGGGGAGCTCTGGAAAATGGTGCGCATCGGGGGGCAACCTTTAGGATTCGGTGAGTTTTATTTGTGGAAAGAATATATTTTTATTTTCTATCCAATGTTTTTCACCTCCAAAAAAATACTGAGGTAAAAAAAACACTGATTTAAGTAACAAGCTAAAATATTGGAAAGGTGAGGTTGTTGATTTTAACTTTTAATAATCAGAAATATGGAAAATGATTGTTTTCCTACAGATGAGTGCGGCATCGTGGCTCAAATATCTGAACCTCTGGCAACGGCTGACATTCCTGCTTACTACATAAGTACCTTCAAGTTCGACCACGCCCTGGTAAGAGATTCACTCTCAATGCAGTGAATGTAATCAATACTCTGTATCTCCTGTGGAGCTTTATCAAGTACATTAACCTATAAGTAGAGAGAGAGACAATAACTATTTGACAACTACTTAATTGTTTTTTAAGCAATATGTCAACATTTGGATGGTTTGAGGTTCTGAAATGTTAGGATTTGGTGTTTTTTGTTGTCTTACACTATAAGAAATATAATATTTTAGGATTGTGGCATTGATTTTTAGAAAGGTTTAGATATTCACTTAGTACAAGTAATACTGACTTTTAAAAACAACTTGAATTGCTCAGGGTTAAACACTTTTGCAAAATCTGAGTGACATTACCATTAGAGGAACTAGGTCAATTAAAAAAAAAAAGTATCTTAATTAATAAAATGTCAACGTCAGAAAACATTTATTCATAAAATCATACTTCCAATTTTCTAGCGATTCTTTTGTATTACTTAAAAGATTTTAATACCAATATAACTTTAAATTAAATGTATTAATTAAATGAATTTAAGACTCCTGGGACCTCTGGATTATCATTAGTTGTAGACCTGAAGTTAAAGGGGACCTATCATGCGAAATGCACTTTTGTATGTCTTTTCTACATAAACATGTGTCCCCGGTGTGTCAGGGAACTCACGCAGCGTCAGAAAATAAAACCCTCTCTTTTCCTCCGTACCCAAATCTCTAAAAACGGGGGAACAACGGAGCTGATCCAGATTTGCGTCCGATATGACGTAATATCTCAAATGTGGACCCACGGCCCAATCAGAAACGTTGCTATCAGAAACATTGCTATCAGAAACAATGCCCGACTGTTTTGGACGTAATATGGTCGGTGTTTACATTAGCATCGCTAACACTCAGAGCTAACCTGTACTGGAGAGCATGTGTGTGAAGAAGCAGGAAGTAAAAAGGAACTCACCTTGTGGTATAACCGGAAAGAGAGAAAGCCTTTGAGCTCCAAACTGTTTCAGAGAGAATCCTTGATAATCCATGATATGGCGTTTCATCACGGCAGCATTTAGTTTAGACAGTAGCTGCCGGGTCCCGCATGAGCTCAGACCCCTCCTTTTTTTTAATCATTTTTTAAAGCTTTATCCCCAAATCAGCACTTTTGAAACAGGAAGTGAAATAGAGGGATATGAGGCGTGGCTAGAATGGGTGATCTGTTTGGTATTTTAAGCAAAACACTTCATAGACATGTGTTTTATATATTTTTATATATCTGAGACCTATGCTAGTGCCTACAAATAGCATGATAGGTGACCTGTATGATTGCTATTTGGATAAATAATTCATTAATCTTTCATGCAGAAATAGTGAAACTTTTTCAAAAGTTCTCTGATTTCATGCTTTTTTGCTTTAAAATATCATATGAACTGCATAATTTTGGCTATTTGTTCGACACAAAACCATAACAATAAACATGGTGTGTGTGTTCCAGGTTCCTGAAGAGAACATCCAGAGTGTGATTGGAGCTCTGCGGACCAAGAGCACGGCACAGTGAAGGAAACCAGTGGAAGTTTAAAAAAAAAAAAAAAAAAAAAAATGATTTCAAGTCATTTCGTTCAAACGTTTATCCATAAAGTGCCCGGAGCTGATCTGCTGTGGATCGGCTCCGAAAAGGAAGGAACCGGAAGCACGGGACGGTGTTAGAGATGACTTTTGGTACTCGGCCATTTTCTTTAAACCCCCTCCTCCTGGCACAGGAAACACTCCCTTTAGTTTACCAGACTGAACATTTCTCTCTCTCTGAAGCTGCTTCTTCATGAGCGCCATACTGTATTAGTTACTCTCGTGGAAACATGACGAATAATGTACTCTCAAAAAAAGCAAAAGGAATATTTGATATTTTATCAAAGCTCTCAATATTTCTAAGGTCATTTCTCAGTGCCATGATGTTTGAATGCCTAAACAGATGCCTTTGTCAGAATATTTTACATGTGTGCAATTGTAGGAGACATTTTTCTGACCGATGACACAGCGCCTGGTTTAGAAATACGGTGTGTTTTGTTGCTTTTAGTAGCTCTTAATTACAACGAAGATCTTACTGATGGAGTCCCTTGTTTAAATTTAAATTCTGGGTTTGCCGGAGCATGAAGTGAGTCCAAGGCCTTGATGAGGAAATTATAATTTAAGCATTTTTAATGTGCAGTCACACTGTTAGCAACCTGGTTGATGTGTCACTCAAAATTAGCAGATGTATCCCCATATTTAAATAAAAAACACAACTTTTTAGATATTATTTGGCTTGAAAGTACAATGTATGAGGCATTAATCAATGACTTCAGAGTCGGTTGTGTTTATTACATTTTATTTAAAAAGGTGAACATTTAATTAATAGTGAAATCAAACAGCTTTTGGGCATTGAAAGTCTACAGAAAAGGAACCTTACTGATGTTTACCTGACTTTTCTGGTTTAATTTGCAGTATTTAATTAAATGTTTTCAAATATATAGGCCCAATTCCCTCAAATTCAAGGACCCAACACTTTATGTTGACACGGATTACTTAATTAATAATACATTTTATAATGTGAAGGAAGGAGATGGCTTTCCAGAAGTTCACTGATAACAGTTCAAAAGAGACCCTTGAATGTTTGATCCCTTCTCTATAGGGCTGGAAAAACCACCAATTTCTATTATTGCATAAAATATATACATTCAAGCACTTTCAATAACCTAAATCTATTTATATCTCAAATTCTTTCATAGATTTCAAGACGATTTAATGATTTCAAGATACTATTCCTGGTATAGACACCTCTCGTATTATTCGTACTAGAATAACGACATAAGCTATTGAAGGAGCCCTGGTTTCCATGTTGGCGTCTTATCGTTTTTCCAACCCACTTTATACTCAACTACGCCCACTTCTGCAAGACGAAAGCATCGACGTGGCGTCAGCGCGGCATTTTCATCCAACGAAATATGAACATGACCGCTACCTTAGTATCTTTTTCAAAGTAGATTGATGGAAATAGCGATTATTTAATATGAAAGAAGAGTAAATGTTAATTAATCCTTAAATACTAATTGACAATGGATACTTCAGTCATGTTAAAATGCCATCTTTTCCTTTCTTTTATTGTTATTTTATGTTTTAATTACTTCTTTATTTTTCTTTTATTTCATTCATTCATTTTTTTTATTACATTACATTACATGTCACTTGTTAGACGCTTTTATCCAAAGCGACTTACATACTCAATACTGTGGAGTGTGGACAATCCCCACAGGAGCAATTTGGGGTGAAGTGTCTTGCCCAGGGACACAACGACATGCTGACTGCAGTGGGGTTTGAACCTGATCCGAACACCAACGCACTACCCACTGCGCCACAGCCTCCCTATTTTATTTTTTACATTTTTCTTACGTTCTCTTCATACATCCATTGCTCAGTCGTGCAGAAGTGGGCGTAGTTCAATCTACACTGGTTGGGAAAATGATGGATGTGTCCAATATTGGCGATGAAGCTGCCCCCCCCCCCTGCCCCCAGTCTGCACTTTAATGCAGGCCGATGAACACAGGCCTGCTGTACTGATGTGAAAAAACAGGGGAGGGCTATTTACTGTAAGGAAAGACCCTGTTCTGATTGCTGTTGGTCTTAAGCATTTGGTGGTAATGTTTTTATTTCCTTTTATTTCACACAACCTTGCACCTAACAACAAACCTTTCTTCTGCTCATATTCGATTAGCAGAACCTCTGTATTTATCAGTGTTAAAAACAGGAGGAAGGGGACATTTCTTCTGATAACATTTGAAAGTTTAAAAGCGTTTCATTTTGGAGCTTCTTGTGTGAAAAACGTAAAAATAAACAAGCTTTTTTTTTCTTTTTGGAGATCTGGTTTCACCATTGTGTCGTTTTTTATTTTGCTGTCTTTACTTAACAACGGGGGATTGTACTCTCACTGTTATTTGCTCTCAGTGTGTGTTTTAAATCAATAAACCGGGGACATCTCTGCACAATGTGGTCCTCAGAGCATAGCAATTAACTGTAAATCTGATTTCTTTGTCCAATTGCGTAGTATGTTGACTTAAAAGTTGTAAAAATAATACTTTACAGATTGACTTAATGTCATTTAATGCAACAAAAAGACAACTATCAGTAAGATACAAGTATTTGTAGTTAAAATATCATCATCGGGTATATTGAACCTAGCAAAGAAGTGTTTTTTGGTTGTATTGCTTTCATTAGTAAATCATATTTGACATGTATTCTTTAAAACCCTTTATATTGTCACTAAATTACCCATTGGGCTTTTTCTGGAAATTCACACGAGGTGTACACCCATAGCTAAGTAATTATTATTTGTCATCCAAATTGTAACTTTGACATATACATTTGAAAAATAAGACACTACAGATTGATGAGGATCGTGGGGATACAAATAATTACTAGTCGAAATATCATTGAGTGTATTGAACTGTATTGAGAGTATTGAACTGAGTGAGGAAGTGTTTTTGGTTTAATTGCTTTCATTAGTAAATCATATTTGACATTTATTTCTTTAAGTCTCACTTAAATGACCATTTGCCTCTTTCTGGATATTCACAATAGATATACACCTGTAGTTATGTAATTGTAATCATTCTTCTACGTAAAAAAACACACTTTTTCTGCACACACCTGACCTTCTGTTGCCGTCCCCCCCACTGAACTGCAGTGATTCACTTCCTCCACTCCAGCCTGCAGCACATGGACAACAGCAGGAGAGACTGCAGGTGTATCAGCTGTCTGTTTTATTTGACCTAAGTAAACAAAGCAGAGAACAGCCAGCTCCTTGTAGCCTCCACACGCCATCTTTTTCTCTGCTTCAGCTCACCTAAGCACACATAGGAGCAGGAGGAGGAGGTGGTGGAGAGTTCAGCTGCAGAAACACTATGCAAAGCCGGGATAAAGGAGATGGATGTTAGTGTTCTCCTTTATCTTGATTATCTTCCTTCTTACATAATCTACAGCTTAACGGCTCACTGACTAGCAAGTTAATGGTTTTGCTGTATGTAAGCAAATACATGTATATATCGGGTGGGAATCGGCAGAGGACCCAAAATACAATATGTTCATGATAAATATACAATATGCTGCCTATTTTAGAATATGCTGCTGCTTTAAAATAGTTAGCTTTATTTTCAACTGCCAAATTAACCAGTTTATCAACATTTGTTTTATATAATAGGACACAATTATGATTTATTTCTTCATTCTGAACTAGATTACTGAAAAAGCAACTGTTAACGTAATCTATATGTGAAAAAAAAATGACTTGGCATAAGGAATAATTAGTTTAAATAATAAAAAACGTTAGCTGAATAATAAATAAACAATTCAAGGAGTTAGCTACAGTATAGGTCACTTGAGGTAATAAATACACAATTCAAATAGTTAGCTAAAACAGATGGAATTGATCTCCAATGTAGGGAAGAAAGTTTAATTAATTAGCTTTTTAAAAATTAAGGTAATGGAAAAACAAAGCTGAGAAACGTAGCTTAAAGGAAGCTATTACAATAATAACCTAAAAGTACTGGATTGACTTTTGGAAAAGTTAGCTAAAAGCAAGGGATAAACAATTGAAGATACTTGAAAGGACAAAGAGTAACACTTAAAACAGTTTGCGAAATGTTAAGAACAAACTGTTAAAAATGTTAGCATAAACCAATGGAATATCAGGAGAAAAGGCTAGCAAAAAGTCACAGTTGAAATAGTGAGCTAAAAGTAATGATCTAAAAAAAATAGTAGCTCCAAATTAGCGACAAACGGTGCTATTTGTTAGCTAAAGTCAGTTTAAACCAATTGATTAGCAGTAGAAAAAGCTAGCTAAAAGGTCATTAGCTGTTGAAATAGTGAGCTAAAAGTTAGCAACAAAACGTTATAGCGATGGATAAACAGTTAGCTAATGGACATTCTAACAGATGTTGCCATGACAACTACACTCTTACCACAGGCATAGTTGGATAGCTTTTCTACCTCAAATTAAGACAATCTTATTATCAACCGTCTGATTCTTAACTTAGTTTCAGCTACTAATGTTTCCTTTGCCTACATACCCATCTATACAAAAGTATGACTGTCCATCCAAGATATTTGTACCACCAAGTTAACATGTTTGCCAAAAATCTCTAGCAAATGCCTACAAAACAGCCAGGGAAAATTGTGGTTTTGTTTTTATAAACTGTCCCATGCGTTGTCTGATCCAGCTTCACACATTGATCAAAGGTGTAGTTTATGTGTTATGCTCACTCAGTCATACCTGCCAACCCTACCGATTTGGGCGGTAGTCTACCGCTTTTGACATGTTTCTACCGCCTACCGATTTAGCTGGCTTGACACATTAAAAATATAATAAAATGTGGAGACTTTGGGATATTTATTTCCCATTCTTTTACTTTTCGGGCATTTTACCTAGACCAGTCCAGACATGTCGTTGATGTCACTGTTTCCCAAACTACCACTTTTTCTGAAAAATGCATAAAATGATGCAATATATGTTAAATACATGGTTTATACATGTAATTACTGGGGTTCCATTTCTTCTGATTACCTAATTTGGGCGTGCACATTTGCAGCTTGCAAACCTACCTCTTTTGGATTTGGAAAGGTTGGCATGTATGCTCAGTAGTTGTGTCATAAATACATTTCCGTGCTCTCTGAGGGGCCCTCCAGTTGTCACAATGATTAATGGCCCCACAAAACATGAACTCAGTGGGGAGGGTCCTGCAACATCATCAGCGCCTGCAGACCCTCTCACTGTACTGTAAGAAACATCCTTCATCTGATACTGTCACTACATTATAGACAAGGTTACCATCTATATCAGCTTCAGATCTGTCCCAAATGCCTGTACAGAAATGTAGGAAAAAGGGCAGTTGCGACTCTGCTTCACCATTTATTAAAGCAAAATTGATGCTGGTAAAAAAACAACATTTATTTTTGATATAGCATATTTTCTGCATTGCAAGGAAAGTTTGGGGCTCTCTGCTGGAACTGCTGCCCCCGCGACCCGACCACGGATAAGCGGGAGAAGATGGATGGATATTTTCTGCATTGCATGTTGTGTTTTTAATGGAAAACTATCACGGATAGTGGGTTCATTTTCTGAAACATCCAGACTGGGAGAACGGCACAACATAAGTCAAGTTATGCACAACATGCACACACTATTGATGACACACAGACCATGTTGTAAAATTGATTCTCCCAGATGAGCTTCTCCCAGGCGGAGGAGGGCCTTCACCTCTATTTGCAGCTGGCAGTAAGGACTTAATTTGTGTGTGCATTGTTTTGCTGTAGCTGGCTTTTACAAATGGAACAATGTTTAACAAATATGTCGCTGGTCTGCAGAGTGCTACAACATATCATTTGAGGATATCTCAAAAGCGCATAAGGCTTTTTATTTCAGTCAATTTGAGTTATTTTCTCGTGTAGTGGCCAATGAAATGACATTTTACAGAATATATCACATTTAAACAGTTGTCTTAAAGAAAGCCACTCCTGTTCATTTCAACTTGGCCTTATCAGAGCTGAAACTACAACTTTTAGTCTTGCATCGTTAAATCAATAAAATGTCAGAAAATACAGAACAATTCCAATCCCAGTCTCCTTCAAAGGTCTTGCTTTGTCGAATCAACCTTAAGATGTTCAGTTTACAATCACACAACACAGAGAACAAGCAGTGAATCCTCACATGCTGTTATGGCAGAATTGTTCACATTCTTTCTCTGTTTTGCTTGGCTGAATAGATTCATCGTTTCAGCTCCAGTTGAAATAAAACAAAACTCTCCTTTGAAGCGTTTCCCAGATGACCTTCATGCAGGGTAAAGAGAGTCGTGTCGGTGACAGTTTGCTGCAGAATCGACCGCCGTGAACTCGGCTTGACGTCACAGGGACACGAGGGTTCGTCGCCTGTGGAGAGCAGATGGCTTCAAGACTCCAGCGTGGCCCCCGATCGGCTCCCCGCGGGGGGTCAAACATCCGAACCTTTCATCCAGGAGCTCACAGGAGGGACTTCACCAGCGCCACCATGTGATCAACACCACACACTACGTCCACCACCTGACCAGGTACAGTCACCTGATGGAAATCACACAAAAACAGTTAAAAAAGGGGACGAAGTTTGAGTAAAATCATACATTTTCTTTTATTTGGTTCAGGTTTATTGTTTTTTTAACCTTCATCTTTGTGCAAGTTGCAAATACATTTAATTTTGATTACTTAATATGTTTGGATCTTATAAAAAGAAAACTGATTAAAGACTATTGTCCACTAATTCCAAATGGCATCTTACCGTTTTATTGCTTTTGTTTAAGGTTGCTTACCAATAAAACCCATGCATTTTTATAATTTGACCAACTGCTAATGCTGATTATGCATTTAAAAAAGGTTTGGAGGTATTTTTTTGTATATTTTAAGTATTATTTCATTATTGATTTGGGTATTAGGATAAAATAATGCAAAAATCGTCATCAGATACATTGTGTTACCAATTACAAAAGTTGTCAAATTCAGTAACTGCATATATTTCACAGTAATCTGACCCAACCGACCCAAGGATCACCCTGTGCATCATCAGTAAACACTCCAATCCTGATCAAATGTCTTGAGTTGAGTTACTAATAGCGAGGCTTATATCACAAATCATTTCGTTGTTGAGATTTGTAGACCCTTCCCGCACATTCTACCCAGAACATTTTTCTTTTTGATAAAGAAACACAAAGACTATTACCAAATATAGTGTCTTTTTAAACATTGTGTTCACATGACTTTATTACAAGCCTTTCAAAAGGACTTAGGATGATAAGAATCTGCTTTGTCTCATCTAATCTTAACACATTTGTTCCCAGATATGGAGAAACTAGTGAAATGCATTCTGTACAGCTGGGCATTATGTGCTTCAGCTGCATGGTTGCCTCTTTTTTGTTTGCATGACTAATATTTAATCAGTGTTGTCTTACTCTCCACGGGAAGAACTGGTCGTCTCTCTTCCCGATGCCCAAACATCCTCTCACATTCTTCCCCCAGACAAAGAGCTCTCCTCGATCTGCAACACAAGCATCAAACATCGTCACACTGAGATCCACGGAGCAGCTGCAGGCCGGATAAATCTGAGCTTTCCCTGGGACCATCTTAGCTGAATATGACAAACAAATTACAATAACAAGCATACCGTTTCCCTTCCCCCCCCCCAGACGTCTGTGCCTCACTTTAAGCTCTCCAGACTGGATGGCACAGAATGACTCTGATTGTTTCCTTTAGGACAATAAAGAGGGTATTTTTAAAGTTGAAACACAAAAAGTAGAAGCACTAATTATCGTGTGTTATGGTCTAATTCAGCTTTAAAAGGAATATAAATGTGTTCCTGTGCCTAAGAAGCTGTGTCCCAGTGACTAATTGCACATTTTTGCTTTGTTTATATAAATAGTTATTAGATCTAATAAGGTGCAACTGTCAAGAAACATCATTTCCCATTGGGATTAATACGATATTTTGATTGAATATTGAACAATATAAGATGTATACAGTACTTCTCTTCCTAAGCTTTTTAAAGGTCACCTATCATGCTATTTTTAGGCAATAGCATAGATCTCAGATATATACAAATACATAAAAAAACATATCTATAAAGTGTTTTGCTCAAAATACCAAACAGATCACCCATTCTAGCCATGCCTCATATCCCTCTATTTCACTTCCTGTTTCAAAAAAGGAGGGGTCTGAGCTCATGCGGGACCCGGCAGCTACTGTCTAAACTAAATGCTGCCGTGATGAAACGCCATATCATGGATTATCAAGGATTCTCTCTGAAACAGTTTGGAGCTCAAAGGCTTTCTCTCTTGCCAGGTTATACCACAAGGTGAGTTCCTTTTTACTTCCTGCTTCTTCACACACATGCTCTCCAGTACAGGTTAGCTCTGAGTGTTAGCGATGCTAATGTAAACACCGACCATATTACGTCCAACACAGTCGGGCATTGTTTCTGATAGCAAAGTTTCTGATTGGGCCGTGGGTCCACATTTCAGATATTACGTCATATCGGACTCAAATCTGGATCAGCTCCGTTGTTCCCCGTTTTTAGAGATTTGGGTACGGAGGAAAAGAGAGAGGGTTTTATTTTCTGACGCTGCGTGAGTTCCCCGACACACCGGGGACACATGTTGATGTATAAAAGACATCAACAAGTGCATTTTGCATGATAGGTCCCCTTTAAAGTCCCAGCTAAAGTTTTCTATAAACCAATTAATAAAGTATTTCAGTGGAAACACAATTCGAAGGAGGCCAAAGAAAGACAGTAAAAAAGATTAGAAGACATCTTAAAAAGGTTTCATTTGTGGGTTCAGGAATATCCAACTATTTTCGCCTTAATTTTAGCATTTTCCAGATTATCCTCCCACGAAGGAACTTGTTAGTTGTGTTGTTAGTTAGCCCAAATAATTGTGATTGGATTCCCAAGAATGGATACAAGAAATCTTAAAAGTTATTTTCTGTAATTTTATAGTGTTTTTTGTCTTTTATTGGGCGTCTGCTCGAGTCTGTTTTCACTGGAATGCTTTTCATTTTCATTTCTCAGCTCTTCTCAACAATACTCCAGAGAAACCTATTTCTAGGACCTTAGAGATAGGTCATATACTGTATATACACTTGTTGTAATGGTTTTGGGTGAACTATTAATTAAATATACAGCAATTACCCGTCACTGCAGCGAAATGGTTGAGTCCACAGCGGATCTTGGTGACGACAGAGGGGTTCAACTCGGAGCGTCCGAACAGAGTCGAGGGAATTCTCTCCGGGGTCGAGGATTCAGAAAGTTTGGGACCTTTTCCAAGAATGCCGTAGCCCCAAACGAACACCTCTCCTTTATCTGGAAACGATTCACAAAGACTGGTCATTATACGCTGACATGGTGAAACAAATAACTGGAAATTACACCTAAAAGTAGGAGCAAACGTTTCAAAGTGAGAGTTTTTTTGACAATTACAATGATTTTTGCCTCTTAGACACTTGATAAATACAAGCCCTGTTTTTTTAACATAAATAACTGTTAAAATGGTGAAATAAGAGGCTGCAATTATGGAAATAAGACTGCTTGTTGCCCTCATTTACATTGCATCATAAGGGAAAACCCCACATCATAAAGTGTGATAGATATAAGCTCCAAAACTACCTTGAACAAATGTTAGCTGTCATAGCTAGTCTTAAAAACTGATCTTTGTGGCCAGAAAAACAAGTCTGTGATCTGTGATGCCACCAAGAGGCTGCATGTGGAATAACACCTCTAACACCAAACCACAGAGCAATCAAAACAGCTCTCAGGTCAGAAAGAAAATATGCCTTTAATGCGAAGACATCTCCATAACAGTCTGTCTGTCATCTACGGTCCTTTTCTTGTGTGTGTGTGTGTGTGTGTGTGTGTGTGTGTGTGTGTGTGTGTGTGTGTGTGTGTGTGTGTGTGTGTGTGTGGTGTGTGTGTGTGTGTGTGTGTGTGTGTGTGTGTGTGTGGTGTGTGTGTGTGTGTGTGTGTGTGTGTGTGTGTGTGTGTGTGTGTGTGTGTGTTATGTGTGTGTGTGTGTGTTGTAAAGGCCAAAGATTCATGAGGGAACCCTTAAAACAGCTTAAATATCCTAATTCTGTGAATTGAAAAGAAAACACTCCCAGAAACCTGCAGGTCTACTTTTAAATCCAGGCTGAAGACTTTTCTTTTTGCCGCTGCTTTTAAATTGAACTATTCTGCACTGTAACTTTTATTCATGTTATATTATCTTTGCTTTTTAATGTTTCTAATGTCTTTCATTTTTGTAAAGCATTGCCTTGTGCTATATGTGTGCGTGTGCGTGTGGTGTGTGTGTGTGTGTGTGTGTGTGTGTGTGTGTGTGTGTGTGTGTGTGCGTGCGTGTGTGTGTGTGTGTGTGTGTGTGTGTGGTGTGTGTGTGTGGTGTGTGTGGTGTGTGTGTGTGGTGTGTGGTTGTGTGTGTGTGTGTGTGTGTGTGTGTGTGTGTGTGTGTGTGTGTGTGTGTGTGTGTGTGTGTGTGTGTGTGTGTGTGTGTGTGTGTGTGTGTGTGTGAACTCACCGTTAAGAACAGCCACCTGTGTTCCTCCACATGCCGCCTGCACCAGCTTCCCACAGTCTTTCAGAGGAAGACGTCGAGGAGAGTTCATCTGTGAGAGGAAACATGTCACACTGAGCACCATGAGGTTTGTTTTCCTAAAATTACCAATTAACTATGTTATTAAGTTATGGGCATTTTAAAGTAATTGTAAACGCTGTCAGTGCTTTTTTGGGTATTATAATTGCTTTTAGGACATTTATGATTATCAGGGATTACTAGGGATTCTCTAAGTGCTTTTTTATAGAACATTGAGGATTATGTAGGAGATCATTAAAAGGATTTGCTGTGGATAGATATTTAAAAAAGGCAGTCTGTAAAAACTGACTTTGAAGTGAAAATATGCTGATTATTTTTAAATATTGACATCAAAATATAAAGGTCTTCATTCCATCATTTTGAAGGATGAGAACACGGACTTGCCTTGTATGTGTGAGAACACCAACCTTTAAAGATACGTTTATTTAATTATTCTATTATTTTACAGCGTGGCTCTATTCTCTCCTTTCCTCTCCTCTCCTTTCCTTTCCTATCCACCCTTTTCTTTAATCTCCTTTACTTCCATTTTCTTTTCTTTCCTCTCCTCTCCTTTCCTTTCCTCCCCTCTCCTCTAATTTCCTTTCTTTAATCATCCTCTCCTCTCTTTTCCTCCCCTCTCCTTTCCTTCCCTTTCCTCCCCTCTCCTTTCTTCTTCTCTCATTGTCCTTTCTTTTACCATCCTCTCCTCTCTTTTCCTTTCCTCTCCTTTCTTCTCTCATTTCCTTTCTTTACCATCCTCTCCTCTCTTTTCCTTTCCTTCCCTCCCCTCTCCTCTCATTTCCTTTCTTTAATCATCCTCTCCTCTCCTCTTTTTTCCTCCCCTCTCCTTTCCTTTCCTTTCCCTTTCCTCTCCTCTCTTTTCCTTTCTTTAATCATCCTCTCCTCTCTTTTCCTCTCCTCTCTTTTCCTCCCCTCTCCTTTCCTTTCCTCCCCTCTCCTTCCTTTCTTCTTCTTCTCTCATTTCCTTTCTTTACCATCCTCTCCTCTCTTTTCCTTTCTTCTTCTCTCATTTCCTTTCCTCCCCTCTCCTTTCTTCTTCTCTCATTTCCTTTCTTTACCATCCTCTCCTCTCTTTTCCTTTCTTCTTCTCTCATTTCCTTTCCTCCCCTCTCCTTTCTTCTTCTCTCATTTCCTTTCTTTACCATCCTCTCCTCTCTTTTCCTTTCTTCTTCTCTCATTTCCTTTCCTCCCCTCTCCTTTCTTCTTCTCTCATTTCCTTTCTTTACCATCCTCTCCTCTCCTCTCTTCTTCTCTCATTTCCTTTCTTTACCATCCTCTCCTCTTCTGATCTTGTCTCTGTCAGAACAACTTTGTCTGAATTGCTGCCGTTGCTAACTCCCTCTGCAGTGTGTCAGCAGAGTTTTGCAACCCCAATAATTAAAACTGTCAAACGAAGTCGTCTGTTTGAGGCGAATACTTTCTCAAAACCTTTTTGTGTTTTTGGTGGTGAAGGCTAAATGGTCTCAGTGTTTTTACTGATTTGCGCTGTCAGCATCTGTTTCGTATGTGGACATCAAAAGTGACCGGTGTATCTGTCCATATGTATTCTTCATGCCCTCATAAACACTGATCTAAAAGCTTGTTTTGCATAAAGAATATAAACAAATAAAATGTGAATTTGATGATATTAAATATGTCATCTCGTAAAAAATAATAACAGATTAAAAGGAAGTCAAATGCAACCACTGACTGAGGGTATTTAAAATCTTCTCTTAGTTATTGTATGCCAGGCTAAAGAGGATTTTCTGACATAGTTGGTCTTGATGTTCTATTTAACGTAGTTTCATGCATGTGCTTGATTGAATTTGTGTTTATTTAAAGTCAGTGTGCTGAAAGGTCTCAAAGACAGTTCCTACCACTTTTCGTGTCACAAAAGGATTTATTTATCAGCAAAAAGATCGTCCAATTTCCTATTCTGAAAATCATTACCAGTATCCGCTAAGAAATGTGCAATTTGTGCATCCGTAAAAAGAAAACATGGCAGATAATTGCTTAAAATATGCCATAAGTGTATGACCCTGTTCGTCTAAATGACACGAAAAAGTGGTAGGAACTGTCTTTAAAGCCTTTCAGCACACTGACTTTAAATAAACACAAATTCAATCAAGCACCTTAAATAGAACATTATCACACAAGACCAAATATGTCATAAAATCCTCTTTAGCCTGGCATACAATAACTAAGAAGATTTTAAATACCCTCAGTCAGTGGTTGCATTTGACTTCTTTATCTGTTATAAACCTGTCGTTTTTTTTTTACAAGATAACATTTTTAATAGCATCAAATTCACATTTATATTTGTTGATTATATTCTTTTTAGCTTTTAGATCAGTATTTATAAGGGCATGAAGAATGGACAGATACACCGGTCACTTTTCATGTCAACTTACGAAACAGATGCTGCAGTGACAGCGCAAATCAGTAAAAACAGTAAAATGACAGATAGAAAGTCTAAGATAAGGTAAGATAGTACTTTATTGATCCCAATGTGGTCGTCCCCTCACCTGTGTTGCCTCGGTGACGGAGGCCAGCTGCAGGTACTCTGAGTTTCCCCAGCCGTACAGATCTCCATCTTTAGACACAGCCAGACTGCAGTCTCCATATGAGCTGATCTGCTGCACCTCCACCCCCGCCAGATCCCCCCCCACCTCCACCGGGCTGCAGCTCACCTGGTGGTGGCCCAGACCTGGAGGAAGAGGAGGAAGAGGAAGAGGAAACAAACATTTTTAAAAGACACTTTTTCAATTTGGGAGGAAAACATTTCATCGTCAACAAAATAAAAGCTCTAAATTATATTTCATATGTCTTAGAAATGCTTAGAAAGAGAGCTCCACTTATTTGTTATTACTATATATTGTATGTATGTATGTATGTATGTATGTGTGTGTGTGTGTGTGTGTGTGTGTGTGTGTGTGTGTGGTGTGTGTGTGTGTGTGTGTGTGTGTGTGTGTGTGTGTGGTAGGTAGGTAGGTAGGTAGGTAGGTAGGTAGGTAGGTAGGTAGGTAGGTAGGTAGGTAGGTAGGTAGGTAGGTAGGTAGGTAGGTAGGTAGGTAGGTAGGTAGGTAGGTAGGTAGGTAGGTAGGTAGGTAGGTAGGTAGGTAGGTAGGTAGGTAGGTAGGTGTAGGTAGGTAGGTAGGTAGGTAGGTAGGTAGGTAGGTAGGTAGGTAGGTAGGTGTTACAACACTGCTACCTTTATTTTGCATTAACAGGGGTTGAAACTATAGATATACAGCTGGGAATTCATGTGTTTGCATTCACTGTATTGTTTTGTAGTTTTAAAGTTCACTGACCAGTCTGTCCGTCTGCTCCCCATCCGCATGCAAACACTGTCCCCGTCTCAGTGAGGAACAGACTGTGATCCTGGCCACACGCCACCTGGGAATAAGAAAGAAAACCCCATTTAAATGGTGTTAAAAGACACATCTAAACTACACAGATCTGGGATTCATTGCTTTCAGTACATCTTTGAATACCAATAAAAACACCTTGAGCAAAAGGACAAATCTAATGTTGGGATGAATATGAAACAAAGAAGAATGAGGCATTGTAAATCTATTGTGAGTCATTTGTGTAGATGTTGTTGTGTATCAAGATCGTAGAGATGCAAAGATGAAGCCATTTGTTGTCAACTTTTAAATGAAACCCAAACTTTTTTGTTAATTGATTAATTGGTTTGATTACATGGCTTAGTTGAATACTCGATTCTGATTGGTCAATTCATAACACGTGACACGTTGTTAATCCAGTAGTACAGACCGCTGTCAAGGACTTATTGACCGTTGCTAAGGACGCTCACATCTTCAGAAAGAAGTCCGGTCGATTGAACTGTATACAGTTTGGCCGAACTGGGACAAGAAAGCAGCGGAGAAGTAACGGGCAGAAACCCTCCTTTTTACGCAGCGGTCCAGACATAGACATCAAACGGCAAAACATATTCAGTGTGCAGTTCCTTTGGCATTAGGGCAGGGATATCTAGATACTTCCCAAGGTCTGACATCATGAAGTGTGCTACTTTTAAAGCAAGCAGCAATGTTTTCAAATCTGTAATCAAAAAGCTCCTCAAAAATGCTATCGAAGCAGTTCCTGCCGTTGCTAAGGACGATCAAGAAAGGAAAAGAGGGTAAAAGACGGAGCGCTGGACGTCAGATAAATCCCCAGAAGAAGGCAGAGAGGAAGTGAACACTAACAGGAACACGGTATGGGCTCTGCAGTGTTTAGGGACTTGTTAGTGGATCCGAAACTGTGAACAGAGTTGGACAGTGCTGCCGTAAAGTTGTTGTTGTCGCAGTTCCAGCCGTTGGTGCGCCGTGGAACGGAGTTTTTTTTTCTTAGCGGAAGAAATACGATCATTTAAATTAATATTGGGAGTCGAGTCGTTAGTTTGTTTAGTATATGGCCGTGTAATAAGCGGGATAATGTGCAGCGACTTGGTCATCATGGGGAAAAGAACACCCTGATGAGCCTGTGGGGTGTTCGCCTCGCTGCACATTATTGTACCCTTACTGAGTACATTACTTTCGGAAGAAAAGTCTACATCTGATTTTAGCTTCTTAAATGTCAATACTTTCTGGTTTATTGTAGTTTGAATGCACCTGAATTCACCTACCTGTGCAGGAGGAGAAGTGATCTGCACTCACCTGTGTGACTCTGCTGCTGAAACCTGTCATTCTGTGGATGGTGTGACTGCCACTGTGTGAACACAAGAGAAAAAGATCCATCATATAAATAGACTATTTGTTGTATTTATTGATTTACAAGGAGAAATGCTATGCCATGATATATTACGTTATTAAGATAAGAAATGCACTTTAACGCAAACGAAGATTACTGCTTTATCGTCCATCCGAAAAAAGAATAATGGCACAAAAGAAGACAAAATACAGCTCAAAATATTTTCCTTTAAGATGGAACTTTCAACAAAAGCAGAAAATGAGACATAAACACATCCTTTTAAAAATAAAAATAAAACCAAAGGATCTTGAAATACTTGCAGGAATACAGCTGTGTGTTTTTGATTGAGCAAAGCTGTTAAAGACAAACCTGTAAACTTCATCTTCGACTATTGGCCTCCCACACTGGCCGTACGCGTTGTTGCCCATACTGAAAACTACCAGAGAGAAGGAAACAGAGAGACACAGTGCAATAAGAAAGTGCTACGAAATATTTGTTAAATCCTGAAAAAGATACAGAGCGCCCAAGTCAAGTGGACCTTTATCTATTTCCATAAAACGTTACAGCACCAAAGCAAACTTTGAATGTGGTGCAGGAGAGTAGTGCGGCTGGAGTAATCCAATATTACTCCCACCCCCTCCAGGACACCCTGGGGCCATTTCTCAATGTCGAGGACGCTTCAGAAGCGAGGCAAGAATCCTTCCTGGCATTCGGAAAACGAAGAGTGGAACAGGCGAGCAGGTGTGCGTCATATGAGAGGCCCCGCCTTACATTTTCCGCCACAGATTTTGGGAAATTGGTCCGTGCGCAAAGCATTGTGGGGATTTGAAGACCGCGGAGTCTACACATGTGCAGCCTCGAAATGTCTCGCTACGAAGTACGCCGGGCTCGGTAGAATTCCAAGTATGCTGGAGAGGCGAAGTCCCTCCCCTTCCGGTGGACCTCCATGGGACCTTATTTCGAAAAAATTATGTATTGAAGTCAATGGAGAGAGAAAGATTATCTTTCGATCCACGAATTACACATATGATGTTTGTCGATTTAAAAGATAATTTGGCAAGTCAAACAAAAAAAATGTGTCGTAAAACTGTGAAGTAACACATTTGTTTGTGTGAAACGCTCAATGAATTACATCTCTGGTCTCGCAGAACAACACACGTCACCAAGATGGCCGTCACTACTGTCTTGTCAACAAAACGATTGACTACCCTCACTATCACCACAATGAAACACGTCCAGAAGAATGTCATGCAAAGCTGCCTGCCTGCCTTCCTTTGATTCTCTCTGAACTGCCGGGTCTTTTTAATGTTTAATGTCAACCATTTGTGCAGATAGCATGAAGTCGAAAAGATCGGCGATCTTAAATTGTGTATTATAGAATGATCACACCGGTGACAGTACTCTTCAAAGGGTTCACGAAATATGACTACTACTCTTACTGTTTAACATTTTGGGTTACTTCATATTAAAGCGAATACAAATGACAAGGCTGTAATGCTAACTAACGTGCTAGCTACTAGCTAGGTAGCTAACTTGATCCAGCCACTCCTGGTCCTTTCATCAGACGGGAAGCGAAAGAACGAGCAAGACCCATTGCTGGTATGATAACAACCTGGTACTAAGCACACAGGCATCTTGTTAAAGTTATCTTAGTGGCCAGCGCCATATAGATAGATTATATCTACATGGCGCTGATCTTAGCTATCTCTTAGTGGAGGAAAACAATTGTGACATCACTTACTGGGATTTGTAGTCTTTCTAGTTGCGTATTTTTCATAGTCTTATATTTCAACAGTTTTACGACAAACTGTGACTTTTTTTACATGGAAATTATTTTTTAAGATTGACAAACATCATACGTGTAATTCATGGCACAATTCAAACGGGATCGAAAGATACGTTTTCTCTCTCCATTGACTTCAATACATTATTTTTCCGAAATAAGGTCCCATGGACCGGAAGTAGATGGGCGTGACTTCGCCACTCTATGGGAACAGTCCTTCGGCGGCACTCGATGACGTAGTATGCTTGAAATAGTGGCTCTGGAGCAGCCTTCCTCGACATTGAGAAACACCCTGTGTCCTCACTGTGCAGCTCCTTCAGCGACAGGCTGCTGCACCCCCGCTGTCTCACGGAGAGATACCGCAGGTCCTTCCTTCCTGCAGCGGTCAGACTATACAACCAGCACAGCCCCTAGTTGACCCCCCCCCACACACACACACCACAACACAGACTATATCACCCCTTGCTGCTAAATACCAACAAACTATGTGCAATATATAAATGCCGTTAATAACTGTGTAATATATACCTGGCTGCTAAATCCTTAGAACTGTTACAAGGTGTGTATTTTGTAAACTGTGTAACTTGCTGCTGTTAAATACCAACCACCTATGTGCAATATGTGCTCGATGTGCAATATATATAGATGCCGTTAATAACTGTAATATATACCTGGCTGCTAAATCCTTAGAACTGTTACAGGATGTGTATTTTTTTTTATTATGTAACTTTTTATTATATTTTTTATTATATCATAACTTAGTACTTTTTTTTTAACGCATGTCACATTTTTCCTGCTGTAACTACGCACATTTCCCCTCCGTGGGACTAATAAAGGTATTCTGATTCTGATTAGTGCCACGAGGGACTAAACAAGAGAAAAACATTGTTTGATGCGCAAGTAAACAGTCTTTCCACTGGAATGCGTTTGACCTATTATTTACAAGCGAAACAATCAAACATACAATTATTTCTAGTCCATACCCAGTATAGTGATGCGTGCATGCGGTGAATTGTCCTTCCCCAGCTCACGGGGAGTGAGCAGGGGAAGGACAATTCTCCATCTATGACAAAGCGCGCAGGTAAAAGCAACCGGATATAACCACAAACGTCACCACACAAATCCAATAGACACGCCCACCACCTATAATGACTTAAAAATGGTGAAGTAAATAAACACAGAAAATACTCCACGTGTGTCGCCAACAGAGAGTCTCTCTTACCTCCCTCCTGGTCGGTGAGGATCAGAGAGTGAGCTCGACCGCTCGAGACCTGAAGCACTCGAGTCTGAAGAGGCTTCTGGAGAGGAAGAGCCACCGGAGACGGCTCCAACACAAAGTCATAACTCTTATCTGCACACACAGGAAGAAGACATTTAAAGGTCATCGATCATGCTATTTTTAGGCAATAGCATAGGTCTCAGATATATACAAATATATAAAAAACATGTCTATGAAGTGTTTTGCTCAAAAGATCACCCATTCTAGCCATGCCTCATATCCCTCTATTTCACTTCCTGTTTCAAAAGTGCTGATTTGGGATATAAAGATTTAAAAAATAAAATAAATTGATAACAAATAAAAGAGGAGGGGTCTGAGTTCATGCGGGACCCGGCAGCTACTGTCTAAACTAAATGCTGCCGTGATGAAACGCCCTATCATGGATTATCAAGGATCTGAAACAGTCTGGAGCTCAAAGGCTTTCTCTCTTGCCGGTTATACCACAAGGTGAGTTCCTTTTTACTTCCTGCTTCTTCACACACATGCTCTCCAGTACAGGTTAGCTCTGAGTGTTAGCGATGCTAATGTAAACACAGACCATATTACGTCCAAAACAGTCGGGCATTGTTTCTGATAGCAACGTTTCTGATTGGGCCGTGGGTCCACATTTCAGATATTACGTCATATCGGACGCAAATCTGGATCAGCTCCGTTGTTCCCCCGTTTTTAGAGATTTGGGTACGGAGGAAAAGAGAGAGGGTTTTATTTTCTGACGCTGCGTGAGTTCCCCGACACACCGGGGACACATTTATGTATAAAAGACATAAAAAAGTGCATTTTGCATGATAGGTCCCCTTTAACATTTAAAATTGTCATATGGAGATCCTCAAAAATGTGTCCTTTATTTAGTCCAGCTACAGATTCATTTTCTTTGTATTAGTCTTTATTTATTTGGGGTCACATTTTATTAAACGTACACTTTTGCAAATCATATATTTCTAGAGACCCGAAAATGACTTAAAGAGAGAAAATTAAATACCGAATAAAAATGAAAAAGTACATAGGGGTTGTTTGAAATGACAAATATCTACACATACATGTATCTACTTAAACACCCACACACATATATATATATATATATATATATACACAAACATGTACGTACACATACATCAACATACACACCAGTAATTACCGGTTTTTAGCTGGTAAAATGTATTAAAAACCGGTAACTTCAAAACCTGCCGGTCAAAATGTCTGGTAATAATTAGGGAAGCTCCGATAGATCGGCCGCCGGTCATTATCGGCCGATATTCACTCTTAATAGTTTGATCGGTGCTCTCTATAAAGGCCGATCAGGAGAGCTGGATCTGATCGATATGGACATAAACGCGAGTGAAGTGTAACCCGGACACGCGAGAGAGATCAGATCAGCTGCTGAGTCAGACCGAGACATGCAGCTCTGCATAATCACCTGAAGCCCCGCCTCTGTTTAGCGAGCTGCAGGAGCTGCATGAGAAACTGACGGGCTGTCAGGAGAGAGAGGGAGAGGGGAAAAGAGAGCATCCGTTTCTCCCGTGTTATTATTCAAAGTTAATGTAAACTTTTGAATAATGTACTTCATCTACTACAAGTAGTTTGTTTGAATGTAATAATTATGTTGTTTGTTGTTTGTGGAATAATTTATTGGAAAATGAATCTGAATTTTTCGATCTGTTACGATTATAAACTGAAGCAATATAAAAATGAGCCCCATTAACTGTGTTTAAAACATCAGCATATCCGGTCCTAGTCCGGTAATTACCTGCTAACGGAAACTCTGCTACACAACTCTTATTATTATTATTGAAATATGACCGGTAAGTTTCAAATTTGTCCGATAAAATAAATTCTGCCCAGACATTTGACCGGCGAGAAAAAATCCTAGCGGATACCCTGATACACACATACATTCAGTCGGTGTATAGAAAGTCAAACAAGCTACAGATTCAGTGATGAAAGAAGCAGTAGATGGTCAAAGGTTACACACAATGCTCAACGACACAACTGTTGAATCAAAAGAAACTGTACGAGGAGAGCAGGAACATGTCACTGTGACCCTGATGTCATTAGACACTTATTAAGAATTAGGACAGGAATAAAAGCTGATATGACGGCTATAAAAGAAACCCAGAACACAGGGAGTCAGGACTTTGTATTGTTGACCTGTACTGCGTATAAGTATTGAATAAATCCACCTGTTGATCTGAGAGTGGTGTTTTTCTCCACAACAATGCACACGTTTGCCCGTTCACTCAACTGTTAGGGAATGTTAATGTGTCAAACATGCTGAGAAATAACAATGGGAATCCATGAGAGCGATCTGGTTGAGAGGAAAAGTCAAGTACTTCTTAAACTGCTGTGACTGTGTACACTTTTTAGGATAATGTTGCTACTGCACAGTTGTTTGTTTTTATTTCATTTAAAGGTGGGGTAGGTAAGTTTGAGAAACCGGCTCGAGATACACTTTTTGTTGTATTCCATGGAATGCTCTTAACATCCCGATAGCAATGAATATCTGAAGTGCTTTGACAACAAATCCATTAATAAATGTCATCTGTGGAAGCCGTGGCGCTGTAAAAAGCACGACCAATCATCTGAGCCGGCTAAAGTAACTGGATGGCCTACCTGCCTGTCAGCCTTCCATCTGGACACAAACTTATCTCGTGCCCTCATTGGTCATGTGCGCGTTCGTGTGTGTTGGAGGAGGGGCTCTGTGAGGAAGTGGCAGATTTCTTCCGGCTGTGTATTTTCAAATTCTAGCGCACTCGAGCCGGTTTCTCCAAAATGACCTACCCCACCTTTAATGTCTTTTATTTTTATTATATAGTTCAATTAAAACATTTTGAAATGATGTCCTGTCTTGTCTTTGCCTCTGTTTTTCCCATTTTGTATGTAAGTAAGTAGGTATGGCGTGTCTTGTAACTATGTTGTTTAAAAGAATAAAAAATGAATAAACATATTGTTTTTTTTTAAAAAATGGTAATGCTTTTTAAAGATATTTTAGAGCATAATGTTTTAAACTTATCCATAAACTCACGGCGGCTGTCCTGCGTGCGCTGGAAGCCGAGCTGAGAGTCCTTATTCAGGCCCATGCCCCACAGCTTGATCACATCTTTGGTCTGCGAGGCGATGAGCGTGAAGCCGTAACCACAAGCAGCCGACGAGATCTACCACAGAAGAAGAAACTTTATTATTGTAACACCTCAGACACTTTCTTTGTAATACTTACAGTGTCCTGTGCTAAAGATGAACACCTTTAAACCAGGATTCCAATATGTAAATGGTAAATGGACTGTACTTATATAGCGCTTCATCCAGTCTTTAAGACCCCTCAAAGCGCTTTACATACTACATGTCATTCAACCATTCACACCCATTCATACAGAGCAGTGCACCTTACTCTAGGACCTAACATTCATACAGAGCAGTGCACCTTACTCTAGGACCTAACATTCATACAGAGCAGTGCACCTTACTCTAGGACCTAACATTCATACAGAGCAGTGCACCTTACTCTAGGACCTAACATTCATACAGAGCAGTGCACCTTACTCTAGGACCTAACATTCATACAGAGCAGTGCACCTTACTCTAGGACCTAACATTCATACACATTCATACAGAGCAGTGCACCTTACTCTAGGACCTAACATTCACACCCATTCACACAGAGCAGTGCACTTTACTCTAGGACCTAACATTCACACACATTCAAACAGAGCAGTGCACCTTACTCTAGGACCTAACAGTCATACAGAGCAGTGCACCTTACTCTAGGACCTAACATTCACACCCATTCATACAGAGCAGTGCACCTTACTCTAGGACCTAACATTCATACAGAGCAGTGCACCTTACTCTAGGACCTAACATTCACACCCATTCACACAGAGCAGTGCACCTTACTCTAGGACCTAACATTCACACAGAGCAGTAGGGATGGGATCGAGAACCGGTACTAAGTCAATACCGGTACCTGATTGGACGGTATGGGTATACCGTTAAGCCGCTGGACAAACAGTGCTGCTATCGGTATATGTGTTACGTCTACTTCCTTAGTTTAACTTTAAACCATTCTGGTTGGTTGGGAACCCTCATCCCGTGTGATGTATCCGGTTTGAGACCCCTCTGATTGGCCACTGTAAATGCCACTCGTAATCTCTCTCAACAGCGCTCTTATTATTGTTGTGAGACTCCCGCAGGCATGGCGGACAGAGCGAAGCGATCGAAGGTCTGGGTGCACTTTAAAGAATGTAGTGGCGATAGTGCAAGGTGCAATCTATGTGCTCAATTAGTTGCTTGTAAAGGGGGTAACACAAGCAACTTAATGAAGCATTTGCAAACGAGACACTCATTGAATCTAAAACGGTGCAGCGTATTTGACAGCCTAAACAATGTGGCTGCTAGCGATAGAGTGGCGAAGTCACGCCCATCTACCTCCGGTCCATGGGACCTTATTTCTTATCTTTCGATCCCGTTTGAATTGTGCCATGAATTACACATATGATGTTTGTCAATCTTAAAAAATAATTTCCATGTCAAAAAAGTCACAGTTTGTCGTAAAACTGTTGAAATATAACGGTACATCCACACAGCAGCTTTAAACAAATCTTCCAACGCTTCTCTGCCCATTGACTTTGAATGGGGATGACGTCACTTTGCCTCGCTTTTCGCCGAACTGCATTGTGGGGGAGCGAAGCGAAGATTTCCAGGATTTTCAGGATTCAAAAGTTGAGCAATGTTCAACTTTTGAAGCTGAGCTGGAAGCGTCAGCCAATCACACCCGTTTATGCAAATCTGACAGTAGAAGCGCTAGCCAATCAAACCGCGTGTAAGCAGGGAGAGCCAGACCGCAGTTCATTTCCTCATATTCCAAACGATAAATTACGGTAGCAAATCACCCGGTTCTTTACGACCAGAACTATTTAACGGGATACAAACCGGAGGAACCAGGCATGGAGGGAGGTGGCAGAGACAGTGGGTGAAACTGGTAGGTTTTCGCCTGTTTGGGGAGTTTATATATATATATATATATTGCTCGCATAAAATCCCCGGGGTTTTTTGCTCTGTATGTCGGGGGCGGGAGATTCATATGATTGGTTGTTGGTCGCAAAAAATCCCCAAGCTGTCAGACACGCCCAGCTCCAAGATTTTCAAGATTTTTTAAAAGCTACTGTGTGGACGTACCGTTAGACTATGAAAAATACGCAACTAGAAAGACTACAAATCCCAGAGTCCCGTAAGTGATGTCACAATTGTTTTCCTCCACTAAGAGGTAGCTAAGAGGAAATAGGAAAGACTTTTTCCCATTGACTTAGATTGGGAAAGAGACGTCTGTAAATCGTTGGATAATTTTTTTTAAACTAAATAAACGACCCAGTATGAACATTTGTATAGCCCTTATTAAAAACATTCGGTCCTCAAGTTGTAAAATGTGCTAATAACGTTATTCTGAGTTATTTTCCTTGCATTATGAACGCGATCTGAGAGTGGGAGCTCGGGGGGCGGGGCTTAAGGGGCGCATGCTCTGTGAGCGCACATACGGGTACTTCTGCTCTGAAAGCCAGGCATGATGGGTAATCTGTGACGTTTCGCTCTCTCAAAAGTTGGGCCATTTTGTCCTCATGCGCCAATGAGCAGCTCTCATAGGAAAGAACGAAACCCCGCCTCCCACGCTGTATCCAGTTCTTATTATACATCCATGGCCTGGGCCCACCCACAGCTACGCCACTGTTCTTAACACGTGGCTTGTGTGGTCATTTATTATTTTATGATTCCTATGATGTAAAACATCATAGGAATCATAAAATAAGTGTTTTGTCAAGCACTTTGTGACTTTGTCTGTGAAAAGCGCTTTATAAATAAATGTTACTTACTTAAAACTTTTGAATCTTGAATCTTTGAATAAGGCCCTATATGACGCTCTTTAAAGCTGCTTTCACCTTCTCTGCTGTCTCCAGACGGTACGGAGTCAGCTGGTATTTGCGAGGTTTCTTCCTGCCGCTGTCCGGCACCACCAGGCTGGGGATCCCCAGGGCGCCGGTGAACGAGAAGCCCCAAACAAACACCTTGTGGTTGGGCTTCTTGTTCTGGCCGACGTACTGAAACACTGGACCAGAGTCGCTTCTCTCCCGCGGGCTGGAGGACTTATTGAGGGTTGAATAACCACAGACCTGAAGGCCTCTGGTGACGTGACGAGAGCAGAGACGCACACAGGAGAGAGCCATCCTGTAGGGAGAGGAAATAGAGGGATACATATTGTTAATCAATACAGCTTATTAGGGTTTTTTACTGAACATATTTCATTCCATTATATTTCAATGCATATACTGCTTTATTTTACTATAATTGTAATATTATTATAGTGTTCTTAAAATAGTTCTGTGTTTTTGTTGTTGTTGTTGTACTTTTATGTATGAACCACGACACCAAGTCAAATTCCTCTTACGTGTCAACCTACCTGGTGATAAACCCGTTTCTGATTCTGGTTCTGATTCTTATAGTTAAATACAGTGAGGTATATTGGGCTGGAAGTATTCATTGGTCGTTGTACTTGTTGAGTTTATTCAGTATATTTACATTGGTGTAAATAGGTAATAATATTTAATAATAAAGCTTTATTTGTATGGCACTTTGCGTACACCAGGTGCAGCTCAAAGTGCTTGTTTTTATTATTTGTAATGTCCAATCGTTTTAACATGAGGGAGATTATTGTCCTGGTTTATGTTTTAATTGGAAATATATCAAAAGAAAGTATACTATTAATTGCTTATAGGCCTATGTGTCCTTGTTATATATATAGACTTATATATATAGACTTGTACAGTTGGTTTTCATTTGACAGTGTGAAACAATTTGTAAAAATAGACAAATATTTGAAAACCTCTTGCAGAAACAACCAAATATATAGTACAATTAAAAAAATTGTCTTATTTAAATGTCTTTAACTGCATAAATGCACGTTTAGTTTTGATAAGCCGATACATCTGTTCCCCTGTGTATTGAATAGCTGAGATAAAATGTAACAGCACAAAACCCTGTACAAAAATCGAGACACAATATGCTGATTTAGTTTGATTAAAAGTTAAACAGATAATACTGAGAGATAGACATTTTTCAAAGTCTCAGAGCCTATTAGTTAATTCGGCTTGATTCTGGTCCATTTAACAGCTCTATATTTGAATTAAATGTCACATGTGTACCTCCCCATTAGCAAGCTCCTTCATTACTGCTAATGCTACTTAACTGTCATTAGCAAACACAGGTCAAACGCCAAATTTAGGTTAAAAATGATAACAAGTTGTTTGTGTATTACATTAATGCCGAATAAAAGAGTGATTCCTAATCATTCGTTTAAGACAATGAGCCATGTTGTAGGTAAAGTAAAACAGCCACAATAACAACAGAAGTATTAAATCATCAGTATTATGATCGGAGTTTCACCACGTGTTCTGCGATCGATTTAACTTACCTTTACTTCCTGATCCGGGTTTAATAATGTGTTTAAAAGGCAGACAATCTAACTGTTGTTATCAGCGATGTGAATCAGATGAAACTACAGTTAAATATTTCAATGTCATTTTCACGCGTTTGTTTACCTTCAGTTAATCTGAGGAGTAACCCGGGTGTTCTTCTCTCTCGTGTTGAGGAAGCACTGCGCCATCGACTGGACTGGAGGCTGCAATGCATGGTACTGTACACACTGTTATCATATATTTCACATAACGAAGATGCTTTAAAAATAATTAAAACAATACATACAATTATATAACATATCTGGATATTTTATTTTTGTATCTTAAAGTGAAGCTTATTTGTATAAATCTTGTATAAAATGTTAATTGTTAGACGCTCTTATCCAAAGCGACTTACACTCAATACTGTGGGCAATCCCCACAGGAGCAATTTGGGGTGAAGTGTCTCAGGGACACAACGACATGCTGACTGTAGTGGGACTTGCTATCTGATTCGAAGATCAGCGCATTAACCCACTGCGCCACACGCCTCCCCTATTAAAGACCAAATGATATAAGAAAATCAAATGTCCAACCTGAGGTCTGTTGAAATATGCATCTCTGTTGTATTTGGACATTAACATTTATTTATTTTTTAAATCTTGGCGAAAAAGCAAGTATTTCTCACGTGTTGAGCTACTTCTTTGAATTCTTTCACACACACATACGGGTTTTGGGCGAGGGCGACACCGTACTTCCGGTATCAACCATTTCACGCGAGGTGCATACAGAATATCATAGTCTTAATCAATATAGTCAACTCTAAAATACCACATATATGCATTGGCATGATAATATTATTGTGACAAGTGGGGTATTCACCTGGTGTTTCCAGAAGATAGACGTAGATGCTGCCAAAATCGACCGAAGGCCACTTTTGAGGGTCGTAATTCCATACATTGTACATCCAACAACCCACACAGCTCTAGTTTACGCTGGTAACGACCTAGAGCACACCCCTCAAGTCCAGAGATGTAATCCGAAGACATGCAGCGATTTCTTCGGTCGTTAATTCAGAACAAAAACCGAGTGCGCTCTGCCTGGCTACATTAGCTAGCTGTTTATATTAGCATCGGCAGGATTTTTGCACCTCCAGAAAAATGGCATCTTTATAAAAAAATATATGGCGCGCGTTGCATTGTGGGTAGCTGTGACGTCACTGTGTGTGATAGAATAGAATATATCTGTATTGTCATCATACAAAGCACATTTATTTGGCAACTCTCACTGCAGTAAAAAATAGACACAAATAAATAAATAGAGAGGTAAAAGCAGAGGTAGTAGCGATGACAGTGCAACGAGATACAATTAAATTCCAATGCGCATATGTACACTTATGTACAGTCTAAAAACATTAAATGTACAAAACTGTATAACAGTAGTGTATTTCTAACCGTGTGTTAGGGTTATAGTTAGTAGGCTAACCAAAGGATGCAAGTAAAATAGCCATACATATTTCTAAATAGTAGTGGTTGCAGTCTCTGAAGGGCGGAAGGGTTATGCCTCGAGTCCAAAAAGGTTGAGAACTACGGGGTCAGAAAACTACTTGTGGACAAAATGTAGATAAATTAACCCTTAGATGCCCGAGTGACTCTTCCATAAGTGGGTCAAAAAGGACCCGTATTAGAATAATGTGTTTTTACGTCATTTTGGTTATGAAAAATCACTTGTATAATATTTAGTATTATATTTTGGTTAACACTACAACTATTTTATATTTAATGTTTCACTATTTATAATTTTAGACATTTTTTTTTACATTTTGAAAAAAAAGTTTTGAACATATCGATACAAAGATCTCCGCTATTCTGAGACCCTCACAGTATTCCAGTCCCTTTTCAAAACTCATCTCTTCTCCTCTTGTCTACTCACAGCCCCCCCCCCCCCCCATCAATCCATGCCGGTTGATCAAGTTTGATAGTCCTAAACCCCCCCCCCCTAACCTTCCCTTATATTGAAAAGCCATTTTGAGTCCTTGAAAAGCCCTATACAAATATAATGTATTATTATTATTATTATTATTATTATCATACTGACAGGTATCTTGCTGTGTCAAACAATCTTCCTGAGAGGTGTCACTTGTGATGTAGTCTGCGTGGTTCACAGTGAATGTATTCCTGACAGCAACAGGTGATAATAATCAAAGGTTCCCATAGGATCCCATAAGAAATGCATGCGGGTCATTTTTGACCCACTGGAAGCTTGGGGTAGAAACAAAAATTACAATTTCTTAAAATGTATCAAATGTCAATTTAAAATGTGAATGGCTTGATATCCAAAACATGTTTTTTGAGGTATAGCTGGAATATGAAATGATACAAAATGTAATTACAAAGATACTTCAAGAAAACCAACTCACCGGGTCAAAAAAGACCCACTTATGCATTTAAGGGTTAAGAAAACGTCCTTCAAGTGAAGTGACTGACTGATAATCTACTCTGGTGTCAGATTAGAGGGACTGGAAGTTTAGAAGTGGGTTAATGCTGCCATCAGGGGAGTCTCACAGGTCCCTCACCTGCAGAGGGTTTGCAAAGCAACATGTCAACAGCATATGACTTTCATTTGACGCCATCATTCATTTAAATAGCAATACATTTATAGAACTCATGTGAAACAATCAGAACATTTGGAGAAGAGCAGTTGAAAGAAATGCCACAACCTTTTTTTATTTAGTTGACACTCAAGAGTCAAAGGTTTTGCATCAATACATCACACAATGCTGTCAATACCCGATACAAAATAAACATTTTGTCCGGTTTTTAGGAAGCTGCAGTCGGCCGTCTAAAAGCAGGTATATCTGCAGAGAGACTTTAATCCTTTAAGAGGATCAGGTCTGAGATCCAGGGCGACGGGGTGAAGGACGCTCGTACTGTCTGTAGTGACTTGGCATCTATCATACTGTGAGCATGTGTTTCATGTTTCAAATACGCTGATATTTTGGGCTCTTTGGTGAAAATATGGATATAAATAAACATGGAGGCCGAGGCTGCGTGCAAATGTTGGAGTAATGTTCTGCATGTATCCTGAATATTAGGACGGGGCGGAGGATTTAAGGTAAGCTACAGTGTGAGTGTGCACACATTTGTTTAAAAAACTAGTCATAATACATTTCAACTGAAAAGATGTAATTGGATATTGTACTAAAGTAAAGGGAGCAATACTAGATCTTAAAACATACTCTGTTGCAAGATAGGCCCTGCATTCAAAATCTTACTGAAGGTACACCGGTAGAAGCATCAAAATATACTTAAAGTACGTGCATTTTCTAGGCCCATTCTATGTATAATTTAATAGAAATCTGCGGACTCACAGAGACAAAGTTAGTCAAATAAAGATCCTATATGTTGGCTGCTTTTATCCACCAGTGTTGCCCAGTGCATGAATAATAAATGGTCTACCTGCAGCTTGAATCTTTATATTCAACACAAAGACCTTTTTAATCTGTATTTATTTTTGCTGAAACACACAGGCATCATGCTGGTGCTGCAGGTGTTCTGCAGCCTGATTGGCTGGTTCTGTCTCTACCTGTTGTTCTGCTACACCTTCGCTCAGCGGGGGGCCGAGTGGAGCTGCAGACTCGTCACTCTGTCTCACGGTGTCATCATCGTGCTGCTGACGGGATACGTCCTCTTCATAGACGGACCTCTGCCTTTCACTCATGCAGGTAAAGTATAACCGAATAAAAAAAACACTATCTCCTCAAATATGTCACTACTATTTAAAGGCAGGGCCGTTTCTAGCTTTTTGGGGGCCCTATGCAAGATGCTGTTTGGGGGCCATAGTTTTGACTACAATGGGGGGGATTCCGAAGCCTTTAAAGGTCCCATGTCATGGCCATTTCCACTGATCATAATTCCATTGTTGAGGTCTACTAGAATAGATTTATATTGTGCAATTTTCCAAAATCACTTTGGTTTCTCATACAGCATCTCTGTAAACTACGTGTATTCACTGAATTTCACTCTCTGCCTTTAACGGCTCGTTGTAGCTCCAATAGCTCCAGCCCCCACTCTCCCTGTGAGCACAGTGTGCTCTGATTGGTTGGGACGTTGTGAATCGAGCTGAGCTCCGTGGAGGTGTGGTTTCCTTGTTTAGCGATACACAGCGAAACACAGCCAAACTCACCCTGAGCACACACAAAGTCACAGCCGAAGTAAAAACAATAAGTGTGGCTTGATATTGAGTAAGAAAAAGGTTGATAAACGCTGTGAGAATGGGTCTGCAGAGAGAATTTCGCCGCGATCAGCCTGCAGCCAGGGAGGAGAGATCAGCTGAGCTGCATGCACTGAGTGTGTGAGGACGTCCGTGGATTGGTCAATTTGGACCAATCAGCGGGGGCTTAACGTAACGGCTCCGCGGACGTAACGTAACGGCTCCACGGATTGGTCCATTTGGTTCCGGGTAACGCATGACATCATGAGTTACCCGGAAGAATCAATGGACAGTGACGTATCTCCAACGAGGCGTTTTGGGGAGGTATTTTCTGTGTTAGAGTTTTACTCGCTACAGGGTGTACTTTGAGGGTTTTGACTCTGCAGACCGTTTACATGCAGAAAAAGCTTCATAACACACAAGGGGACGGGTAATAACCGGAAAAGCATGACATGGGACCTTTAAGATGATCTGTGGAGATGCATCAATCTGTTACACTTTAATAGGAAAACAGGCTAATTTCACGAAAACCAAGCAATTGAAAATTACAAAAAATGATATTAAAAAGGTAAACAATAAGGCTCCTCTATGTCAATAAATGCAAGAGATGCAGCATTTTCTCAGCTGTCAGCGCAACGATGATTTAATAATAATAATAATAATTTCAATTTATATAGCGCCTTTCACGAAACCCAAGGATGCTTTACAATGGGAAGTAACAAAACAAAAAGTAATAATAATCATACAGATACATAGGCTGATTTGGACTTTATTACCCCAAAAACCCAAGCCACAGTTTTGCTATCATTGCAGTTTAGTCGTGTTTATATCCTACATTGGATTTGTAAGCATATCATGCTTCACCGAACACTCACAGGAGGGGGCTTGGCTGTCTGCAAATAAAGACGGCTCATTTTAATTCTCCCCAAATATATTGAGGCTGAACCTGAACTTTGAATTATCTGCTCCCATCATAATCTTGGCGATCTTGTTACAATTGTGAATGCAGAATTAAAAATACTATGTAACTGGTTTGAAGTTAATAAATTATCCCTTGATGTGGCCAAAACAAATGACATGTTATTCAATACAAAGTCTGAGAGTAGAAATGACTGCATTATACGGATTTGCAATACAGAGATAGAAAAAGTTGGTGCATGTACATTTTTAGGACTGCTTGTTGACGAAAAACTCAATTGGAAGCAGCATATAAATGATGTACAGACTAAACTGTCAAAAACAATAGGTATTTTATATCATACTAAGAACATTCTTGAAGAAAATATACTCTTTATAACAGTCTATTTCTCCCTTACCTTTAATACTGCTCCGAAATATGGGGAAACACGTACTCAACAAATCTACAAAAAATAATAACATCCCAAAAAAAAGTATTACGAATAGCCTGTGGTGTTGGTAAATATGAACACACAACTCCCATATTTAAAAAAACTCAATCTATTAAAATGTGTTGAGATAGTACAGCTTAAAACAGTACTGATTATGCACAACATTTTCCATAACAAAATGCCTAATAACATTCAAAAGCAGTTCCAAACCACAGCGTGAACATATGAATGTAAAAAAGGTCACTTGAAAATAAGTGTTCACAATGTTTATATGCAATTATGCATATATTATTATTATTATTCATTTGCCAAGTGCATTAATTTCCAAAAAAAGATCGTTGAAACTGCTATTGACATGTGCAGAAAATGACCCTATATCTAGTTTTCGTATATATATATATATATATATATATATATATATATATATATATATATATATGCATTTATTGTTTTCCTGCCCTAACTTTTATTTAATTTTTTCTCTTGTTTTCTTAATTTTGTTGTACTCCTTCATTTCTATACGTTTTTGACGCAATAATGCCGCTGTATTAGGATGATGCACGGGAGGGCTACTTTCCACAAGCTATGCTTCAGCCCTCCTGCTTCTACTAATTGTGTTCATCTTTGTGTGTATGAATTAAACTTTTTTTGTTTTTCGGATGAATAAATAAAAAAATACTTTCAGCTTGGGGGCCCCCTAGTGGCCGCGGGGGCCCTATGCCCCCGCATAGTCCGCATAGGAAGAAACGGCCCTGTTTAAAGGTCACCTATTATGCAACATCCACATTGTCATGTCTCTTCTACATCAACATGTGTCCCCTCTTCTTCATGTCTCTTCTACATCAACATGTGTCCCCTCTTCTTCATGTCTCTTCTACATCAACATGTGTCCCCTCTTCTCCATGTCTCTTCTACATCAACATGTGTCCCCTCTTCTTCATGTCTCTTCTACATCAACATGTGTCCCCTCTTCTTCATGTCTCTTCTACATCAACATGTGTCCTCTCTTCTTCATGTCTCTTCTACATCAACATGTGTCCTCTCTTCTTCATGTCTCCTCTACATCAACATGTGTCCCCTCTTCTTCATGTCTCTTCTACATCAACATGTGTCCCCTCTTCTTCATGTCTCTTCTACATCAACATGTGTCCCCTCTTCTTCATGTCTCTTCTACATCAACATGTGTCCCCTCTTCTTCATGTCTCTTCTACATCAACATGTGTCCCCTCTTCTTCATGTGTCTTCTACATCAACATGTGTCCCCTCTGTGGAAAGAGACTCTGAAAGTTTCAGGAACAAAGATTCTCTCTCTTTTTGATCTATTTCTATAAAAACCTGTCTGAAAATGAGCTGATCAGATTTTGGCCACTTTATGATGTCATAACGATGTTTTGTCTTGTGTACCCATTAGCCAATCAGCAACCAAGGTAACCCCCCCCCCCCCCCTCCTTATCACCTGAATCTCCTCCTAGAGCACCATTGAGTTCTTTGTAACCAAATGTCTCTCAGAGGGGCGTGGGGAGGGGTTCCTTATTTTCATCTAAAGTAACAGACAGAGAATCAGCACTTTGGAAACAGGGCTGAAACAGAGGGGATTATGGGTAATGCTGCAATGATCTGTTTGGTGTTTCAACCAATCAGAGACAGGTTCTGTATATATCTGAGACCTGTAATATATTGATAAGAAACAGTATAATAGGGGACCTTTGAGAGTGGCACAATACCTGAAAAACAGCAATGATTTCAGTATCTTAAAGAGGGCCTATGCTTATTGGGGTTGGAGTTTATCTCCCACACACTCCCCATCACACAAAATTGCCACTCAAAGAAATGTAAAAATGTAAAAAATCAAAGTTTGAGGTAATTTATAAGTATTTAGGTATTTTCCTTCACATTAAGTGTTTTCACTACATCCAACCCACCTCTCCGACCCTCAGGTACAGAAAACCTAACACACATAACTGCAAGCAGGCTTTCTTGGTATATTAACTTTAGTTTAGACAGGACCTCAAAGTAACTTAAGTTTTGGGTTTGTAAATTGTTCAGAAAATAGTGAGAAATATATTCAAAATTACCCAGTGCTCCAAAGTGACACCTTCAAGATGTTCCTTGTCAAAACCTCAACATTATATATAATTTTAAAAAAACATTCTACAAGCTGTTTTTTTTTTGTAGGCTACTTGTGTAATTTCATGACAGAAAATAATATTTTACAAGCTCTTCACATGTTACGTTGACAAAAAGCTTAATTTCTTGTCTTTCTGTGATCATTTTCTGTCATTCAAGTAGACTTTGTGGTTAATACATGTCTCAGGTGAAGCCGCCGGATGAAGTTTTCACGTCCAACCCTCCTCTCCGTCCCTCAGGTACAGAAAACACAGAGCTTCAGTCGGTCTCTCTGGCCGTCTGCCTCGGATACTTCTTCTTCGACATGTGTTGGTGCGTCTGCTTCCACACCGAGGGCCCTCTCATGCTCGCTCATCACGCCGGCAGCATCGTTGGGATCCTCCTGGCGTTGCTCATGGGCGTTTCCGGGTGCGAAACCTGCGGCGCGATCTTTGGCAGCGAGATCACAAACCCTCTCCTTCAGACCCGATGGTTCCTCCGGCAGCTCGGCCTCTACGATAGCCTGCTGGGCGACGCCGTGGATCTGCTGTTCATCGTTCTGTTCGCCACCGTACGCGTGGGAGTGGGTACGGTCCTGTTTTACTGCGAGGTGACCTCTCCGAGAACAACGCTGATAATGAAGCTCGGCGGCGTGGCCATGTACGCGCTAGCCTGGGTGTTCATGGTGGACATCGCACGGTTCTGCTGCAAGAAAAGTAGAGCGAAGTATAAAAAGTGGCAGGAGAACAACAAGCTAAAACAAGCACAGAAAGTGAATGGAAAAAGTGAATGAATTCTTAATTTTAGTGCCACCTTTGGCGATTTTGGTGTGATTTGGGAGCTTTTGATAAAAGGTGGCACAACAACAAAAAGCTCGAAGAAGTCTTTGGAAATAAGTAACAGTTTTTTGTCGTTTGTTACACTCTTCGTTTTTGCTACTTTGGTGCTATCTATGGTGATTAGCGGTATTACAGGTGGGATATGGGATTTCACTTCCAACTTCCAAGAGAGCGACACTTGGGACTTTTTGTGTGTTATGTTACAGAAAAGTAGAGCTAAGTATAACAAGTGGCACAAGCTAAAATAAGCACAAAAACTGAACGGACTTTTAGGCAAAAGTAAATTAATTCATGTTTAGTTTGGACCTTTGTTTTGTCAATTTGGCGCCGCCTGGTGATTAGCGGTAATCAGAGGTGTGATTTGGGAGGTTTTGATAAAAGGTGGCACAAGGACCAAAAGCTCGAAGAAGTCTACACACAAAAACTGGATGGACATTAGGCGCATTCACACTGCGGTACTTTTCCCACAAAGGTTCATGTGAACTTAGTTCATGTGAACTCTTTTATCGCGTTCACACCAAAAAGAGCCGGTACTCAAATTAGTTCATGTGAACCTTTGTACCCCCTCCAAAGTCCCTGCTCGAGAGCAGGGACTTTCGAGCGGCTCTCTTGTGAGAAAAGAGCTATATTTCTGATTGGCTGGGCGGATTGCAAACCACGCCCCGTAAAACTCCCAAAAAGTTTTGTGAAGCCGCCATTTTATTATCCTCGCATTAGCATTATTAGCATTAGCATTAGCCCAGCGCAGAAACGCAGAGAGACTAACTTATGGCAACACAAAATAAAACATGGGAGCGGTGAGGAGGTGTCGGCGTTCTGGCGATTTACTCGGAAGGCTTCAGTAGAAGCTGCTGGGAGTCCCAGCAGCTTCTACTGAAGCCAGTCCCCAACTCCGGGGACTTCCGGCCGGGGACTTTGGGCGGCAGTATACGCCGTGAAGTGGTTTGCGGCCTGCCAGTAAGCCCAAAGCAGAAGAAGAACAAGTGACGTCAGCGGCTTCATTTGCCTAATCCACCCCCAGGGACTTTTTCCAGTGTGAACGCGATCTGTACTTAGTTCATGCAAACTAAAGAGTTCACATGAACTAAGTTCACATGAACCTTTGTGGGAAAAGTACCGCAGTGTGAATGCGCCTATTGGTATTAAAGGTGGGGTAGGTAAGTTTGAGAAACCGGCTCGAGATACGATTTTTGTTATATTCCATGGAATGCTCTTAACATCCCGATAGCAATGAATATCTGAAGTGCTTTGACAACAAATCCATAAAATAAAAAATTCATCTGTGGAAGCCGTAGCGCTGTAAAAAGCACGACCAATCATCTGAGCCGGCTAAAGTAACTGGATGGCCTACCTGCCTGTCAGCCTTCCATCTGTGCACAAACTTATCTCGTGCCCTCATTGGTCATGTGCGCGTTTGTGTGTGTTGGAGGAGGGACTCTGTGAGGAAGTGGCAGATTTTTTCCGGCTGTGTATTTTCAAATTCTAGCGCACTCGAGCTGATTTCTCTAAAATTACCTACCCCACCTTTAAGTGGGATTTGGGAGCTTTGATAAAAGGTGGCACAAGAACCAAAAGCTCAAAGCCACCAATGGCAGTCAGCGATATTACAAGTTTGATTTGGGATCTCACTTTCCCAGAGGGCCACGTTTGTGATTTTTGTCAGTAAGTATGTTTGGCTACAAGAAAAGTAGAGTGAAGTATAAAATGTGGCGGGAGAACCACAAGCTCAAAGAACGCAAAAACTAAAAGGATAGAATTTTTGTTTAGTTAGGACCTTTTTTTGTCAATTTGGCGCCACCTATGGCTATTAGCGGTATTACAGGTGTTCTTTTGGATTTCACTTCCAAGAGAGCGGTGCTTGTGATAAAACGTAGCGAGAGAACCAAATACTTAAAGAAGTCAAAGCACAAATACTTGGAAAGCGTGACTAACTCCATCTGTGATTATGGTCTTTGGTTTGTCAATTAAGCACCACCTATGGCTATTAGCGGTATTACAGGTGTGATTCTGGATATCAGTTCCCAGAAGAGCAACGTTTGTGATTTTTCTCAGTATGTAGGTTTGGCTAGAGGGAAATCAGAGCAGAGTAAAAGATGGCTAAATAAATACAAGTTCGAAGACGTCAACACACAAAAACCGGATAGCTACGATCTTGAAGATATTTGATTCGTGTTTTTGGCGCCACCTGTGGGGATCAGTGGTAAATGCAGGTGTAGTTTTGAATGATCAACTAAGCGCCACTTTCTTTTCAAATGTTTTCAACAGATGAAATCTTCTTGCTTGAATTGCCTTTTTTGTAACAAACATGGTTAATAGTAAATTAATAACCACAACATTTTGAATAGAACATTTATAAAACAGATTAATAGTACATGGATACTTCACCCTCTTTAAGTAGTTTGTGTTAAAACATTTCATGATTGCATGGTGAAAAAAACCAACACAAAACCTTCGATATACAGTCATAATTGTACAATATATTCTTTTACAGAGGAATCAAACTTTTTATGTCTGAATATTCTTCATTCATTTGATTTTCTTGTGTATGTCGCTCCCAAAACCAAAGCCATGGTGTCATGTGAGCGGTCTTGTGGCTATCTGAGTGATTTCTGCCCAACATTCAAGTGAAGTGGTTAAACGAGGAAATCTATGTACCTCAAATGGAAAAACAAGACACTATGAAAAGCTCAAGATCACTTTTAAAGCAGCCTGTTGCAAAAATGATCCTTAGGAAAAACCTCCTCACAAAACTACAGGGGAATTATAAAAAGTGGTTGATAACGTTTAGAGAAATTGTCTGCAAAACAAATAATAAAGTGAAATCCAAGAAATTCACATGTCTCTCTGAAAAGCTTGTATTGTCCGTGATATGGTGCGTAGTGTTTTGCTGCAGTTATACAAACTGAATGTTGTTGTTTTTTAAAGATTGCTCTACGTGATTTCATTGGTAATCTAAGGAATATGTTTCTGTATCAAAACCGGGTGAAAACAGGAAAATCTCAGGATGAGTTTCTTAATATTTCTTCTTTCATCTGTAAAATATGTGGGGAAAATGTCAGGATAATTTTTCTTAGTGACTGTAAAAAAAAGGGTTATTATTTGGCAGTTTTTCTGTATCCTTTTGCACCACCACCCCATGATCTAAGTAAGCATAAAAGCACTCGTTTTCAAATCCAAACTCACTCAGGAAAACATACAGACAGATAATGTTGGTTCACCTGCCAAGCGTTTGTTATTACAGATAATACAACTAGAACATTTTGAGATTATCCTGGCAAAACCTTTTTTTTTCAATTGACTCTCTGGACCACCCTTGATTACACACAAAACAAGTAAATAATTGTTTACCAAATCTGCTCCACTAATGAATGAAAGTCCATTTGAACAAAGTACAGTTCTTAAGCACAAGTGGTTCTATTTGTACGTCCATCTGCTTTGTTTATTTGTTGATAATGAACAGGCAGCTATCTGCGTCTGTTAGCTATATTATGCTACATTCAAGTGCTACAGGAAATTTGAAAACTGGGACTTGAAAGTAAGCACTGAACAGCATTTCACGTGTATTATATTTACTCAGACATCCAAACCAGGTGGACACACGGTACTGGAAATGTTGAAGGCTTTAGTGTTGCCAGATGTGTTCATTTTCAATGGAGATTTCAGGAATATGAAAGCATATCCGGTGGCATTTAAAAAAAAATGGTTTTAAAGAAATATGAAGTCATGAAGAACAGGAGAGTATTCTGAAAGGGGAGGGGTTAAAGTCATACATTTACGAGAAGAATAGTTCAATTTACGACAAAGAAAATCGAATATTTGTATTTTTTACGATAAAAAAGCTTTTTTTAAAAATAATTTCTTCTATTTAAATCTCTCTTGCATGATTGGAAAAAGATATAATCACTTTTTCTTGGAAATGTACAACTTTAATCTAGGAATGTATCCCCCCTCACTCCCCAGCTCTGTAAATATTCCATTCAATTAATAATTTTCTTACCTAAAATAGCCATAATACAGCGTTGCTCTAAAATCAAACGTACAGCAGTGAGTCCTGAACAAAACAAATATACCTTTATGATCCATTTCCTCTTTTCACTCCGTAAAGTGTTTCTAAATCCATCTGTGTGACTCCACACTCGACTTTCTCCAGTGTTTAAGGATAATTTATATAGTTGATTAATAATATACTGCGAAAGAAAAAACCGCCTGAATTGTCCTCGGGGTGTTTCCACAGAGTCTCTCCTCAGGAGGCTTTGAGTTTATAGTGAATAGTTTTCCTAAAACGATGATCAAGTCTTCCACTGATACGCGCCTGAAGTGTGAGTTCTGACATTCAGCCTCCCTTTCTGTGCGACACCAGTGTTTCAAAAGTCCAAAGATCATCCGGAAGAAATCATGGAGTCAAACTCATACGAACGGGGAGAAGAATCTGAAAGTAGAACGAAAATTAAAAAGTGTTTTGAGATTAGCTTTCTTCAGAGGCTCCGTTTGAAAGTGTATTTCTATTGTGATTTGAGCAAACAAGACATTATCATAATTAAAACCACATTTGGGAAGATTCTATTAATAGAAAAAAACATTATTTCTTCTCGTTATGATCGTTTAACTAATAAAAGAAGTGGGAAAACACAGACAAACGTGTCTCTGTAAATGCGTACGTGTAGAAATCAGCGACACACACCGTGGTTTTCTTCGGCGTCAGCAGCTGGGTCAGTGTGTGTTTGTTGCAGCTCGTGTACCTTCACCTCCACCTCCTGAAAACAAGTAAACAACAACACAACACAATTACTACGGTAAAGTATAAATCATAGGATTTAACTTCTGACTTTGGCATCAACAAGCATACGTTTTTATCTCTTCAACAACCTTTATTCAAATTTTTCTTCAACGTAAAACTAACTTGTTTGGATATAAAAATCACAGCTGAGACCCTATTAATTGTACAGTTGCAGGTCAAGACATGTATAGGTAAGGTGTCTTGTGGCTGAGGTGAGTCGATTCCTTTCTTTAAGTGAATTATCAGATGGCTGGTTTCCTACAGTGAGAACAAACTGGTTGGTTAAAACATGCTTTTAGATATGCTGCCCCACAGCTTGGAACACTGTTTTACAGAAGGAGCTGAAAACTCTCAGATTGAATCACTATGGGGGAATTCAGGGCACATCTTAAAGGACAGAGACACGACACCCATTGGTAGATGTGAGTACTCGTATATCTTTAAAATCGTTTTTAAATGTTGACCAGTTTTGAATGATTTTAATATTTTGTTTTTACTTCGCATTATGAATGGGCTAATTTTATCTTTTGTTGTTTTCCAGCTGTATTTGGTTCTGCCTCCTGTATGTCTGTGTTTTATCTGTTGTTTGTAACTTGTACATGTGCCCTTCTTGGTTCAGGTCGCTCTTGGAAAAGAGATTTTAATCTCAATGAGTCTTTTACCTGGTTAAATAAAGGATATATATTATAAATGGTGTTAAATGCCTTGATCATCACAATGGATTTCTTACAAATAGAAATTGCAAAACATACGGTGGTTAACCAAGTTAAAAAGTTAACTATAAAAGATATTCTGCAGGTTTTTTGAAGGAAACCGGGTCGTATTTTAAAGAGATGTTCCAAGAAATTCTTGTTTCCCCCGTGTAAACCAGCAAAAACCAGTAAAACACAGACAAAACAACTATTTGTGCCTTTTTTGGCCCCACAGTGTGTGTGAAGCACCTTGAGATACTGCAGGTCGGCCTGCAGGAGACGCAGGTGGGTCATCAGCTGCCGGCTGAGGTTCGGCCCTCCGCCCGCCTGAGAGGAAGAGGAGAGCAGCTTTCCTCATGTCGATCCTCTCCTCTTCCTCCTCCTCCTCCTCCTCCTCTCCTCCTCCTCCTCCTCCTCCTCTCCTCCTCCTCCTCCTCCTCCTCCTCCTCCTCCTCCTCCTCCTCCTCCTCCTCCGCCTCCTCCTCCTCCTCCTCCTCCTCCTCCTCCTCCTCCTCTCCTCCTCCTCCATCATCATCAGTGCTGCTCTCCTCCGAGCCGCCACCGAAATCGAGGACCACGAAACCACCTGAGGGAGAAGAAGAGCAGGAGGAACCATTTTAAAATTATTATTAGAAACAAACTGTTGAAGGGTTACGTACACAGTTTGGGATAGAAGTAAAAAGTGGGAAATATCAAGCTGGTTTCTCCATTCGTACCTACCCCACCTTTAAGAGGCTAAGTTTAGTTCTTCATTGTGACTCGTTCACAATAAGCAATCCGTAATGAAGTTCTTGTTCGATCATATTTTATAACGAAAACTGAACGAACAATTACAGAAAGACCCTACGGAACCAATTCATCCTCTTTGTCCATCACACAAGCTCTTAAATACCCTAAACCACACCCATGTGACAAGTGCAGGAAGTGACTAATTACAACGGGCTGTGATGTAAACAAATAATGATAAAAATAGAATTAAACAACAATGGCTGAATTCGCAGTTTGGCTCCTTCATACAGAACTCGAGTAAATGCACTTTGTCTGAAGATCCCTCACCGTCACCGTTTTGTTTCTGTGATGGTGGAGACCCTCGGCTCTCATGCGGCCCCTCAGGGCTCCCAGGAAGAGACCCACTCTGATCCTGAGCCTCCTCCTCTCTGCTCATCATGTGGTGGAAGAGAGCCTGCTTCAGCATGGCCACTACAAACACAGGAGAATGTGTTTTACATTTTACACTCTTTAAAGCTTTAAAACCAGGAATAAACTCTTAGGATATCACAGTATTTAAAAAAAGACAATATCCCGGTTCATACCACGACTAATAATATGGATATATTGCCCTTTATCTAATGCCTAGATAACCTTTAGTGAGAGAAAATGGATGTGTAATGTGGGTGCACTGACCCTTTAATCCAGGGGTGTCCAAACGTTTTACCAAGGGGCCACATACAGAAAAATATACGAAGGTCTGGGGCATTAACTAGAGTATATTGCCTCATAAGTTAAGTTATAAATTAGCAAAATCAATCAAATAGGTAAATTATGCTTGATACTTTAAAATACCTTAAGGAAAAAAAAGCCTACATCCCAGCTTTCCAAAGGGTTTCATTTATTTTGTTACAAAAAGTGTACAGCTCATCCCTTAAAACAGATGCCTCAGATGTGTTATCATAAGGGGAAATATGGAGGGGCTATTCCAAGCTTGTTATGTTAAAAAGGTATTTGGCTTTTTTGATCAACTAAAATGTGTTTTCAACTTTAACTGACTGAATGTATTTGAAAAGTGGGCTTATTAACACATGAATACTACTGTGTCATATATGTTTACATTTGTATTTAAGAAGTACAATAGAAGACAAGCACAAGTTTCATTTGTGGGCCGCATTCCATTATACTTTTTGAATTAGCTGAGGGCCGATTCAAAATCGTCCGCGGGCCGCATTTGGCCCCCGGGCCGTAGTTTGGACACACCTGATTTAATCTAACACTTACATGTCCTGAGAGCCTCTTCTCCTTTAGAGGACGGAGTGATGAAGACGTCCTGCTCCATGTTTTCTGCAGCGATGTCCTGATGTGTCTCTTCCTCCTCCTGAAGGAAGGGAAGTCCGTCCTCCAGCTGTCCGTCCAGGAAAGCTTCCAGTTCCGCTTCATCCACCTCCTCTTCCTCCTCTATTTCCTCATCTTCATCACGTCTGTCCTCCACCAGCAGCTCCTCCTCCTCCTCTTCCTCATCGTCTGACTTCATGCCATCAAACGGGTTCAGACTCGGAGCCGGTTGAATGTCTGGAGAAGAGACGGCGACATCTTTGTCTGAGAGGACATTTCGAACAAGAGGGTGATAGTGATAATTATTAATAAAATAAATATACTTAAATATTGAATTACAAAATTCCTCACAAAATACAAAACTTCCTGGCAAAATAAATGATTAATCCTCACAGAATAAATGTATGAATTCCTCAAAGGTCAATCAATTAATACATTTATTAAATTTATTAAATAAACAAAAAATTCACACAAAATACATTTAAAAAAAAAAATCACAACAGGTTACACAACAAAATAAATACTGACAAAATCCTCACAGATTGAAAAAAAAAAAAACTTGACAGAGAGGCGAAGTCCCGCCCATCTACTTCCGACCCATGGGACCTTATTTCGGAAAAAGTATGTATTGAAGTCAATGGAGAGAGAAAACTTGTCTTTCGATCCCATTTGAATTACACACATGATGTTTGTCTTAAAAAATCATTTCCACGTCAAAAAAGTCACGGTTTGTCGTAAAACTGTTGAAATATAAGACTATGAAAAATACGCAGCTAGAAAGACTACAAATCCCAGAATCCCGGTCCCGCATGCTGGCTCTCACGAACCGACTAACTCCCCTTGTGTGTATGCACAGCTCTCAACATGCTCTCAACCTCTTTTAATATTTTCCGCCTCATTCTGAAAGAAAGAAGTGAAATGTTTCAACGTGACGGCCATCTTGGTGTGTGGTGCGAGACGGGAGATGTAGTTCATTGAGCGGTTTCACACAAAGTGTTACTTCACAGTTTTACGACACATTTAAATTGTTTTGACTTTGGCAAAATTATGTTTTAAATTGACAAACATCTTATGTGTAATTCGTGGCACAATTCAAACGGGATCAAAAGATAATCTTTCTCTCTCCATTGACTTCAATACATACTTTTTCCGAAATAAGGTCCCATGGAGGAAAGGGAGGGACTTCGCCTCTCTATAGTAAACAAGTTGTAAACTACGGGAGAGGATAAAGGACAAATGCAAACAAATGCAGATTTAAGATGTAGTCCTAATTGTTTTACTAGGTACAAAGCTGTCAATTGATTAATATACTAAATGTTTTTACACCTCAGAAACCTAATTCATCCACATCCTCAGTACCTGCAGATTGGACGCCTTCACTGGATGTGACGTCGGGGTCTTTACTCGCTTCTTCTTTGATGGTCTCAATGGCCTCATGCTCGGCTCTGAAACACACTCACATTAGAAACAATAAAAACGTATATATAACTTTATTTAACTGAGCAAGTGTGTGGGGGGACTCACTCAGTCTGAGCTGCAGGAGGGATGATGTCTCTGTTCTGAGGTTTTCCCTTCATGGCACTCTGTGTGATCAGACACTGCCACCTGCAGGAGGAACAGCACGAGGACAACATGACTGTATTGTGCCATCAACTTCTTACAAATAAATGATTAAGCATTGGAGAAATAAAGTGTGTGTGGTGTGTGTGTGTGTGTGTGTGTGTGTGTGTGTGTGTGTGTGTGTGTGGTGTGTGTGTGTGTGTGTGTGTGTGTGTGTGTGTGTGTGTGTGTGACGTACGCTCTCTGATCGAACACCGTCTGCGCCATCAGCTCGTAGATCTGAGCGCCGTTTTCAGACATGGACAGCACGAAGAAAGACTTGTTGTCTGATGACGAAAGAGAAGACATTACAACAAAAATAACATTTAACCAGAGTTTCTGTTCCTCGGAGTCACTGCAGGGGATCCGCAAAGTAGGTTTGGCTCTGTGTTTTTTATTTAAGGGTCTTAAATGTTCATCGGCTAAGGGCTGAAAAACAGACGGAGCATTTTCACCCTATTACATATGTATTACACTTAAGTTATTTTTTTTTTTTTTTTTTTGATATACTTTATTAATCCCCGTGGGGAAATTGTTTCTCTGCATTTGACCCATCCTGTGTTAGGAGCAGTGTGCTGCCATTTTGAACGGCGCCCGGGGAGCAGTGTGGGTAAAGGTGCCTTGCTCAGGGACACCTCGGTAGCACTTGGTCTTGCCAGGACTTGAACTGGTGACCTTCCAGTTGCCAAGCCAAGTCCCTATCGACTTCGCCACCACCGCCCAAAGTTACAGATACAACTTGGCCTATGTGTGTGTGTATATGTATGTATCTGTACGTACATGTATGTATACTGTGTATATATATATGTGTATATATATTCATGTGTGTGTGTGTTTAGATACATGTGTACATGTGTAGATATTTGTCATTTCAAATGTACTTTTTCGTTTTTATTTTATTGTACTAATTTTGTTCATTTTCAGATGATTTTCAAAACTGTACTTTTAATATAATGTGACCCCAAATAAAGAATAAAACAAAAACTAGGCTTACAATAATACTACAGAGGGATAGTGGTGGTCTAAATGGATAGTGAGGTGGGCTGAAGATCGGAAGGTTGTGAGTTCAAATCCCGCCAGGAACACCACCACTAGTGTGCCCTTGAGTAAGGCACTTAGCCCTTAGTTACTCCGGGGAGAATGTCCCTGTAATCGGTCATTGTAAGTCGCTTTGGATAAAAGCGTCAGCTAAATGAAATGTAATGTACTACAGTGACCTGAAGTGTCACATATAAACATCCTAACAAACCGCTAAAACCTAATAGTGTAGTCCTCACCAGTAGCGACAGGCCGCACTAACACGGTGTTGAGTTTGATGACCGGGCTGAAGATGTTCTTGGTGTCGGCGGCGCTGGTCGGGTTCTTGCCGTGAAATTTGAGAACGAGACGCTCGTCCTGTTTCTGCAGCAGAACCAGGATGTCGTCCAGCAGCAGGGTGTACAGCTCTGAGAGGGACCAATACAGTATATCAATCAATCGACAACTGTATTAATCCCACAAGGGGCAATTGGTTATGAGCAGCTTATGTCAGGTACACAGGCAGGAACATACAGGAAGAAAGCACACAGAAACACCCGGGAAACTGGATGTGGATCATTCCAATTTACACCATAAATAGTTCATAATCACAATAAATAAGAAAATAAATATCAAGAATTTAAAAGTTTGAGTGCAGAGGGGATGAATTATTTTGAAAAGCGATTTGTCTTTAAAGCAGGGGGGTCAAACTCAAATACACAGTGGGCCAAAATAAAAATGGGTACTAGTGGAGGGCCGGACTGGTTCTATGTTTATTACAGAACTTATTGAAATGAACTTATTGCACATATTAAACCTGGAACTCACAAAGCTTAAATGATTGCCTATAAAAACAACATTAAACATTAAATAATCAGTTGCATTCATTTCTTATGGATCTATCTGCAGCTTCTCCAGAGTCATTTCTTATGATTACATTTCCCCACAGGCCAACAACAGCTTCAACAAAACTATTCCCCTCAAAGAACAAACCAAACATGCCCTGTTGTCGTGTGAGAGAAAGTACAGAAGGAAGCCTCCATTGAACTCAGGGTGCTGCTCTGTGATGCTAGTTCAGATACTTGGCATCTCATCTTGGGTGCAAGGTCATCAATGTTTGGGGTCAGGCTCTGAGCTGAGGAGACCCTCAGGATGGAGTGAAGGTGTGCGTGCAATATACCGGCGGGCCAGATCTAATAGTAATTAGAAATGATCCTGCGGGCCGAAATAAAATCCACCAAGGGCCGGATTTGGCCCCCGGGCCTCGAGTTTGACACGTGTGAGCTGGAGCATATCTACATGGCAACAGGTGAAATCCAGCTGCAAGAACATGACCTTGAGAGGCAAGTATGTTCTCTGCCTTCCACAGAATCTGCTGGTTACAAAAGGCGTTTACGATTCCTCCTCTTCATTCATAAACTGGTGGATGGTTAACACTGTGTTTGTATGTAGGTGTTATTCTACTGATGTGTGTTTGTACCAATTGTCTTGTCCTTGTTGACTTTCCAGGAGAGCGGTCCCTCGTGCACCATCTTCCTCTTGGTCAGGTCCAGACTCTGCAGCACAAAAATACAACACATAAGAGAAGATAACCCTTTATTTATCCCGAAGGAAATTGTTGTGCCAGAATAACAAAATACAATAAACCCAATAAACACAGCAGCACAACTGTACACTAAAAGAGCAATTAAACATCATGAAACATAGATGGTCACACAATCAATGCAATTATTAGCAGTATTTAGTAGTTAGTCATGCAAAAAATAAAACCTAGTGGCAGTTACGTAATTGCACGTTATCATAGCATTATTAATAATACTAGTAATAATAATATTGCACATAGTTATATAGCAGCGAGTGTATTGTAATGATGGTAATTATATTGATATGTATATTGCACATAGTGTTGGTGTGGAAGTTCTCAGTGCCCTTTACTTAGGGGTGAAGAGTTAAAGAGTTTGTTTGCCACTGGGAGGAAAGACCTCCTGTGGCGCTGTGTGGTGGTCTTCGGTGGTCTCAGTCTGTGGCTGAAAGTGCTCCGGTAGGAAACCAGTGTGGCATGCAGGGGGTGAGACCATATCTTTGATAACAAGATATTAGCCGTGTAGAATAAAGAGGGATACATGTTAATATAATATAATATAATCAGAGAGGTGATGAGGCTCACCCTCAGCTCCAGGATCACGGGGTTTTCACTCGGTTTGAGAGACGAGAGGTCCAACCTCCTCTGATAATCCTCCAGCCTCTGTTGAGAAAAACACCACTTTTTAAAATACGTTTCAAACCATGACAAAATATGTTCTTCACAAACCTTTCCTTACCATGACAAGACAGAGCGTTAATCCCAAAGGTGACAACATGCAATTTTGTTGATGTCTAAAGACGCGATGTAGTTAATAATACAAATAACAACTGTACAAAAAACGCTATTTTTTCGTTTACAGAAAACCTTAAAATGAAATGGTGTTGGTATAAATAAAGGCGGATACAAAAGGAGGACTTGGAGTAACTGAATACTTAGTTAAAGTTCATAATAACATCATGAAGTTAGGTCATATTTTGGCTTGACTAGATTGACTAAAATGGTTAATAGAACCTGATGCCTACAGTTTTTATTGATTACTTTAATTATTTTCATATAGGTTAGGGTTCACTCACTAATGAACACTATTTCAAACGCCCAAAATGTGCAAATATAAATAATGTAACCTGGTTTTTCCCCAAACCTTCCACATTGCTCTATCTTTAAGTGATACACGTATATTTGAAACTGATTTTAAAGTGCGTACCTGTTTGTTCTCCGCCTCTTTCACAGCCTGGTTGACGTGGTTCAGGATCTTTTTGCAACACTCGCCGGCTTTCTTCACCTTTTCCCTCTCCTCACCGTCTCCTGTGGGGGGGTCAACAAATCAGATCTCCTCCACATATAACCAGTATCATGATTTAAAAACACACCTGCACAGAGATGGCAAAAGTACACACATCCTTTACTCAAGTAGAAGTACAGATACTTGTGTTTAAATATCCTCTGGTAAAAGTAGAAGTACTGACTAAACTTCTTTACTCAAGTAAAAGTAAAGGCTTTGAAATGTACTTCAGTAAAAAGTACCCATAACTAGCAGCTGTTTTAAAGAGTACCTGACCTCCCTTTATATTAATAGAACAATAATGTCATTGTTAGCTAATGAATGTTTCCATGCTGAACAACGGCAACATGACAACGTTTCCATTGGTCCCTCTTCTTTAGAGAAGACCAGGAAATGATGGATACACGGATCGTGTTCAAATCAATAGGCACGCAATGACTCTAAAGAATAATGATCACGCACCAAACACACATTCAGACTAAAGGAACCAGCTGTTTGGAAAATGAGAGAAGTAGAAAGTACAGGTATTTGAGTTCAACATGTAAGAAGTAGAAAAGTACAGGTAGTTTGAGTTCAACAATGTAAGAAGTAGAAAGTACAGGTATTTGTGTTCAACATGTAAGAAGTAGAAAGTACAGATATTTGAGTTCAACATGTAAGAAGTAGAAAGTACAGGTATTTGAGTTCAACATGTAAGAAGTAGAAAGTACAGGTATTTGACTTCAACATGTAAGAAGTAGAAAGTACAGGTATTTGAGTTCAACATGTAAGAAGTAGAAAGTACAGGTATTTGACTTCAACATGTAAGAAGTAGAAAGTACAGGTATTTGGGTTCAACATGTAAGAAGTAGAAAGTACAGGTATTTGAGTTCAACATGTAGAAGTAGAAAGTACAGGTATTTGTGTTCAACATGTAGAAGTAGAAAGTACAGGTATTTGTGTTCAACATGTAAGAAGTAGAAAGTACAGGTATTGAGTTCAACATGTGAGAAGTAGAAAGTACAGGTATTTGAGTTCAACATGTAAGAAGTAGAAAGTACAGGTATTTGTGTTCAACATGTAAGAAGTAGAAAGTACAGGTATTTGAGTTCAACATGTAAGAAGTAGAAAGTACAGGTATTTGTGTTCAACATGTAAGAAGTAGAAAGTACAGGTATTTGTGTTCAACATGTAAGAAGTAGAAAGTACAGGTATTTGAGTTCAACATGTGAGAAGTAGAAAGTACAGGTATTTGAGTTCAACATGTAAGAAGTAGAAAGTACAGGTATTTGAGTTCAACATGTAAGAAGTAGAAAGTACAGGTATTTGTGTTCAACATGTAAGAAGTAGAAAGTACAGGTATTTGTCTTCAACATGTAAGAAGTAGAAAGTACAGGTATTTGAGTTCAATATGTAAGAAGTAGAAAGTACAGGTATTTGTGTTCAACATGTAAGAAGTAGAAAGTACAGGTATTTGAGTTCAACATGTAAGAAGTAGAAAGTACAGGTATTTGAGTTCAACATGTAAGAAGTAGAAAGTACAGGTATTTGTGTTCAACATGTAAGAAGTAGAAAGTACAGGTATTTGTGTTCAACATGTAAGAAGTAGAAAGTACAGGTATTTGAGTTCAATATGTAAGAAGTAGAAAGTACAGGTATTTGTGTTCAACATGTAAGAAGTAGAAAGTACAGGTATTTGGGTTCAACATGTGAGAAGTAGAAAGTACAGGTATTTGAGTTCAACATGTAAGAAGTAGAAAGTACAGGTATTTGTGTTCAACATGTAAGAAGTAGAAAGTACAGGTATTTGAGTTCAACATGTAAGAAGTAGAAAGTACAGGTATTTGTGTTCAACATGTAAGAAGTAGAAAGTACAGGTATTTGGGTTCAACATGTGAGAAGTAGAAAGTACAGGTATTTGTGTTCAACATGTAAGAAGTAGAAAGTACAGGTATTTGGGTTCAACATGTAAGAAGTAGAAAGTACAGGTATTTGAGTTCAACATGTAAGAAGTAGAAAGTACAGGTATTTGAGTTCAACATGTAAGAAGTAGAAAGTACAGGTATTTGAGTTCAACATGTGAGAAGTAGAAAGTACAGGTATTTGAGTTCAACATGTAAGAAGTAGAAAGTACAGGTATTTGGGTTCAACATGTAAGAAGTAGAAAGTACAGGTATTTGGGTTCAACATGTAAGAAGTAGAAAGTACAGGTATTTGTGTTCAACATGTAAGAAGTAGAAAGTACAGGTATTTGGGTTCAACATGTAAGAAGTAGAAAGTACAGGTATTTGGGTTCAACATGTAAGAAATAGAAAGTACAGGTATTTGAGTTCAACATGTAAGAAGTAGAAAGTACAGGTATTAGTGTTCAACATGTAAGAAGTAGAAAGTACAGGTATTAGTGTTCAACATGTAAGAAGTAGAAAGTACAGGTATTTGAGTTCAACATGTGAGAAGTAGAAAGTACAGGTATTTGGGTTCAACATGTAAGAAGTAGAAAGTACAGGTATTTGGGTTCAACATGTGAGAAGTAGAAAGTACAGGTATTTGTGTTCAACATGTAAGAAGTAGAAAGTACAGGTATTTGTGTTCAACATGTAAGAAGTAGAAAGTACAGGTATTTGGGTTCAACATGTAAGAAGTAGAAAGTACAGGTATTTGGGTTCAACATGTAAGAAGTAGAAAGTACAGGTATTTGAGTTCAACATGTAAGAAGTAGAAAGTACAGGTATTTAAGTTCAACATGTGAGAAGTAGAAAGTACAGGTATTTGTGTTCAACATGTAAGAAGTAGAAAGTACAGGTATTTGTGTTCAACATGTAAGAAGTAGAAAGTACAGGTATTTGAGTTCAACATGTAAGAAGTAGAAAGTACAGGTATTTGTGTTCAACATGTAAGAAGTAGAAAGTACAGGTATTTGTGTTCAACATGTAAGAAGTAGAAAGTACAGGTATTTGGGTTCAACATGTAAGAAGTAGAAAGTACAGGTATTTGGGTTCAACATGTAAGAAGTAGAAAGTACAGGTATTTGTGTTCAACATGTAAGAAGTAGAAGTACAGGTATTTGGGTTCAACATGTAAGAAGTAGAAAGTACAGGTATTTGGGTTCAACATGTAAGAAGTAGAAAGTACAGGTATTTGAGTTCAACATGTAAGAAGTAGAAAGTACAGGTATTTGGGTTCAACATGTAAGAAGTAGAAAGTACAGGTATTTGTGTTCAACATGTAAGAAGTCAAAGCAATAAGTAGTGGAGTAAAGTACTGATACCAGATAAATGTACTTAAGTACAGTAACGAAGTATTTGTACTCCACTACCTCCCACCTCTGTATATGACAGGTGTTTGGCTCCTACCTGTGTACTTGGCGATGTTCTCCAGCAGCAGAGGGTACTTGGTGACTCTCTGCATCTCCACAGGGATGATGTCCTTCAGCTGCAGCCGGCGGCACAGACGGTTACTCTCAGCCTCCTGAAGTAATGAGTATAAAGATAATTAAAATAGATAAAACATCTTTAAAATGCCCTCACAGACGAAGCAAAGCAGGATCTCCAGAGGGCAGCAGAAAGCCAAGCAAGGACAAATTAATTAAATGTACGAAACTGTTTTTTAAATGTGATTATTAAAAAATGTTTAGATAATTTGTTCCCTTCTTATATTAACTTGCATACATTTTGATTCAGTCAAAGTTTAAAAATACAATCCTATATATTTTAAATTATCAGTTATATATCTGTAAATTCATATACTTTTAAAATATGTTCATATAGATACAAATCGGCATTGAATCAATAAGTAATCTTCTTTGCCTCAACAACAAATTCTTGAAAGTGACTTTTTATGAATGGAAGAATAATGAAACAATATATATTAAAAGAATGAAAAAAGTTGACTTTCTCTTAATTAAAATACTTTCACTCCACCGAATCTGAGTGGCACTACCTCTGATCTCTTTACTTAAAGGTGGGGTGGGTAATTCTCTTCACAAACACTTGTTATATTCCATGGAATGCTCTTAACATCCCGATAGCAATGAATACATTAAATGCTTTGACAACAAATCCATAACAATATCTCATCAGTTGAAGCCGTGGCGCTGTAAAAAGCACGACCAATCATTTGAGCCGGCCCGGCTAAAGTAACTGGATGGCCTACCTGCCTGTCAGCCTTCCATCTGTGCACAAACTTATCTCGTGCCCTCATTGGTCATGTGCGCGTTCGTGTGTGTTGGAGGAGGGGCTCTGTGAGGAAGTCTGAAGGAAGGGGCAGATTGTTTTTGGCTGCCTACTTTCAAACTCTAGCGCACTCGAGCTGGCTTCTCCATTCTTACCTACCCTGCCTTTAAGGATCTGCTCTGCATTTCCTCTTCCTAACTGAAACCTGGACGGTGTTTCCTGTGTTTATTCTCCTGTTTTCTGCTGACCTGCATGAACAGAGTGAACTTCTGGTCCTTCTTCTTGCGGCTCTTGATGAGCTCCAGAGCCGACGGCTGGTTGCTGCAGAAAGTCCCCACAGCGCGCTTTATCTTCTCCTCTTCCTCCCCGCTGAACTGGAACAAAACACACAACGTTTACACTCGAGCTGTTTACTGTAACATGAATATCAATTTGCCCTCTTGCAGTTTGTCTTGAATTTGAAAGGCTCTTACCCAGGCGAGCAGATCATCAGCGATCTGCCCGATCACCGACGTCTCGCTCCTCTTCCTGATGGCCGTCATCTGCTCTGTGACAGAAACTGAGGAGCAAGAGAAGAAACTCTGAAACACAAGTCAATCAGATGCGGTGTTGCGGTCCTTTGAGACGATTTGGATAAATGCTTTTCATGTCTCACAGTGCTTATGTATTTTAGACACATCATTTTTTTCCTTCTTATTAGTAGTAAAAAAATATCATTTTTAGTAGTTCCAATGCAATGAACAAAATGGAAGCCTAAATCTGTCCTTTATTTAGTACCAACATTACGATCAAAAACGGTATCATCTGTAAAAATGATGGAGCTTTTCATTAAAATATGCGGTTTATTTAAATTGCAATTTGACACGTTTATCAAGATTTATTTTAAGGAAGCATTTCTGGAGAGTTCCATAAAACTGTGTGTGACTGTTACCGTGTGTGTGTGTTACCGTTCAGCTGGGGGTGTGTGTGTGTGTGTGCGTGCGTGTGTGCGTTTGTGTGTGTTACCATTCAGCTGGGGGTGTGTGTGTGTGTGTGTGTTACCGTGCAGCTGGATGATCTCCTCCAGGTTGACGAAGATGTGTTTGATGTCGTCGGGGGGGAGGACGGCGTCTCTGCTGAGCCTCTGGTGGAAAACACCGTCCAGAACCTTCAGCATACGGAGGTGAGCTCGCTCCGTGTAGAACAGCTCTGAGGCGGGGGGGGGAAGTACGCACATTCTTTACTCAAGTAGAAGTACAGATACTCCTGTTTAAAAATACTCTGGTAAAAGTAGAAGTACTGACTAAACTTATTTAATCAAGTAAAAGTAAAGAGGCTTTGAAATGTACTTCAGTAAAAAGTACCCATAACTAGCAGCTGTTTTAAAGAGTACCTGACCTCCCTTTATATTACTAGAACAATAATGTCATTGTTAGCTAATGAATGTTTCCATGCTGAACAACGGCAACATGACAACGTTTCCATTGGTCCCTCTTCTTTAGAGAAGACCAGGAAATGATGGATACACGGATCGTGTTCAAATCAATAGGCACGCAATGACTCTAAAGAATAATGATCACGCATCAAACACACATTCAGACTAAAGGAACCAGCTGTTTGGAAAATGAGAGAAGTAGAAAGTACAGGTATTTGGGTTCAACATGTAAGAAGTAGAAAGTACAGGTATTTGGGTTCAACATGTAAGAAGTAGAAAGTACAAGTATTTGAGTTCAACATGTAAGAAGTAGAAAGTACAGTTATTTTGAGTTCAACATGAGAGAAGTAGAAAGTACAGGTATTTGGGTTCAACATGTAAGAAGTAGAAAGTACAGGTATTTGAGTTCAACATGTAAGAAGTAGAAAGTACAGGTATTTGGGTTCAACATGTAAGAAGTAGAAAGTAAAAAGTCGTCAGAAAAATAAGTAGTGGAGTAAAGTACTGATACCAGAAAGATGTACTTAAGTACAGTAAGGAAGTATTTGTACTCCACTACTTCCCACCTCTGAGAAAGAGACAGGTGTTGGTGAAGGGTCTCACCGTTGATGACTTCCTGTCGTTTGATCTCTTGAGGAGTTAAGCTCTCCAGGACTCCTCTGCTGACGAGGCTCTGCCAGTTCAGAGGGGGGGCTTCACTCTCTCTCTCCCCCTGATCCTCCTCACTCTGGACGTCTGAGGACACCGGACACTGAACCTCCATCCTGCAGGGGGAGATACAACAAGAAACCAATGTACTTTAAGAGAAGACAAAAGACCGCAGTATAGAGAAAACCTGAGCTCTGTGAAGTGGCACTAACATCCTTCTGTTCATAGTCCACATATATATATTTAAAACCTGAACCCTGCAGTGGGTCACCTGAAGGGGTCGGGGTCCTCCTCCACCAGCTGCTCCAGGTTGGAGGCGCTGAAGTCAAACTGAGATCCGGTCGGGCTGCAGACGCCATCTTGATTCTCGACCGGCAGAACATCCCCGAGTCGAGGCTGCAGGCAGAACGGAGACACGTCTGAGGAGAGATAACACAGAGGACGTTAACTAAGGGAACTTGTTAAACCTTTGTGTTGTCGTACCATCAACTGGGCAACCTCTGTCCTGGTTTGACCGTTTAAAAAAGCATATACTATAATGAATCACCCTATACACACATTTTAGGCAAACTATTTTGCAATTTACAAGTTGTACTGATCTTTTGAGCATGTCAATGTACCCCATATACACAAACGCACACTTATTTCTGAGTCAAAACAAGGCAAAAACTTGAAAATATTACGGATATTCAGTCAGATTCTGTAATAGCTTTTTCCCCCATGCCATCAGACTGCTGAATATTAAGTAGACCACTAACATAGAGATTACATTACGCTGTGTAATGTCTATTTTATTTATACGTATAGTAAGTCTTTATATTTTAAACGCACACTTTATCTTTAATTTGATCAGCACCACGTCACTATTATTTATTTATATGTACAATTTTAGCAAGTTTTTATATTGTCCTGTTCCTGTAAGCCAGTACAACGACATTTCGTTTTAATAGTACACTCTGTGTCTTGTTGAAATGACAATAAAGTGTGTCTAAGTCTAAGTCGAATATTGTTTGGAAGAACACATCTTGATGGGTTGAGACTGGTATATGTCAAAGTTCAACGAGATGAAATAACCTTCTCCGGACAAACATTCAAATTTGACCCGAGCAGACAGGAGGGTAACTCCTTCTGTCTAGAACAGTCCTGTGAGGAAGAGGAGAGTCTTACTGGAGTCAGAGTCGTGTCCGCTGTCTGAGAGGTGTCCGGGTGGGGGGCTGAGCGTGGGGGAGGTGTGTGTGTTGGAGGAGGAGGAGGAGGAGTGTGTGTTGGAGGGGGAGGAGTGTGTGTTGGAGGGGGAGGAGTGTGTGTTGGAGTGTGTGCCTGCGTCCGATCCGTCGCTCAGATTTCCACGACTCCGAGCAGAACTAGAGGGGGTGTCCGGCTGCTCGGGGAGGAGGGAAGCCGGGGGGAGGGGCTTCGGGGAACGCTGCTTATTCATCTCCACCGCTTTACCCACTGCAGGAAAACACACAGGAGGAAATCATAATAATAAAAAACGTTGATTCTGCATTGAGCAAGCTTTTTATTCACTTAACGTTATGCAATTTCAAAACCCAGCACCTGACCCTTTAGTTTGGACCGTAGATTCTAGTGATGTGTCGGTCGAGAACGAGCCGATTCTTTTGAACGGCTCTTTGGTTCGAACGAGGGGAACCGAGTCGTATCAAAGAGCCGTTCTTTTTATCGTTCAATCGTCGGTCCGCACTCACTGCCTGCCAAAATCCACTCGCCTTTTAAAGAGCTTGATTTTGTTCCCCAAACGTATTCTGTGAAGACCCCCCCCCTACTCTGATTGGTAGGTTTCAGCACGAGGAGTGAGATGGGGTGGGTCTTAACGGAATACGCGAGAGGGAGAAGTCATAACAAGTGGTACAGGACAGGTAGACGACGTGTTTTCGCAAAAACGCAGCAGCATTTGGATGCACTTCAACCAAAACCCAGGCAGTGATGAAGCGCACCATTTGTAAAGGCAACATATCCTTTAAAGCAGGGTCAACAAATAATCTCCATCGCCACTTAAAAACACAGTATCTAATATTAAGAGTTGCGTGAATTTCATTCAAGGCAAGGCAACTTTACCAGAGGGTAAATTCAAAGTACATTCACTGACATGAAGGACATGGATATGGCGCCACCTTGTGTCATGTTTACAATGCAGATTATTGACATTAAATACAGTCAATCATTATCCTGGTGATTATTTCGCAGATAAACCTAGTAACCCCGCCCCCTTTAAAAAAAACGGCTCTTTTGAAGGGCTCTTTGAAAGGAATGGAGCCATAAGATCCGGCTCCCTTCAAAGAGCCATTATTCCCATCACTAACCCACAGCCAATCAGCGCGTCATAGCGATTTTGACGTTCCTGACAAGCGGCAAACTCTGGGGCAGCCCAGAAGGAAGAGCCACAAACTGCAGTTCCTCTAGTAGCCGATAGGGGATGGATGCAGAAAGGAGCCATTTCCATAGACCCCCTTGTTAAAATGCCCAACTTCACAGCAGAAATAAACATGTTTCCTGCCTGGATCCAATAAAACGTATTCTGGATATAGTTAGATTCCTCCTTCATGACTATGGAATAGGGAGTGCATTTTTTTTTACCGTGAGTAAATTAGTAAGTAAAGTAAGTAAGTTAGGTCTGGCAATACAGTCAATCACAGTGGCGAGCCGTCAGGGCCCTCTTAATTAATTAAAATTTTAATATTTTATTAAATATGTTTTTGTTGTTACCATTTTCATTAGTTTTACCAAAATAACTTGATTTAATTTTATTTAAAATAATATTTCCAAAGAAATAAATCCTTCGAATCTGCCTGTTCAGTTTCTGTTGGAATGTGAAGGGTTAAACGCCGTCTCTGCGAGTTATGTGAAGACGGGAGAGCTTGTTGGTCCCTCTCTACATTCACAGAGGGCCAGCTATAGTAACTCAACGAGAGAGTAATGTCAAATGACAGTACAATTGACCAATCATATCTTCCCTCTAAATGGGCGGGCTTTATTTTCACGGACTTTATGACAAGTTCCGCCCGCTGTGAGGTCTATGCAAGTGGTGCAGTGACGCGTCCTAAAACCCGGAAGTAAGCTTCGCTCGGATTCCCTCGACAGAAAGCAGTGCGATTTCTCCATAGGGTTTTGGAAAATAGCCCGAAATAAGGTCTGTGGAAAACGAACCTGTTAGATAAATGCACGTTGTGTTCAGCCGGATAATATCCACATATCTACCCTACTTTTATTATTTTCAAATCATAAATCTAAACGATAGATTTATGATCGATAGATTTATAATTAGCATAAGTTCGTTCATGATGGCTCACTTCAGTGATAGTGATGACATCGTTACGAAATTATTAACCGAGTCATTTTCAAGATTGAGTTACAATGATAAACTGGAGTGGTAAAGGATCAGCTGCATGACCCGCCATCAAGTGCTTCATCCAAAAGGACAGGAGGATGGACTTTGTGTTTCAGTGATTTATCATCAAAGGTAGGCCTAAGTCATTTTCAATGTGGGCCGCCGTGCCGACTTAATTCATTTGTAATTGTTACTTGGCAGCGGGTGCCCTGTCATGATAGGTGTTTATTAGGGCCGGGACTCGATTAAAAAAAAAATCTAATTAATTAGAGGCTTTGTAATTAATTAATCGAAATTAATCGCATTTTTAATCGCATATACATATTTGACCTAAGAACAGTGAGAAGCAATTTTTTTTCACATGGATTTTAGTATACCATTAGGCGCATTCACACCGCAGTACTTTTCCCACAAAGGTTCATGAGAACTTAGTTCATGAGAACTCTTTGAACCTGGGGGTGGATTAGGCAAATGAAGCCGCTGACGTCACTTCTTCTTCTTCTGCTTTGGATTTACTGGCAGGCCGCAAACCACTTCACGGCGTATACTGCCGCCCAAAGTCCCCGGCCGGAAGTCCCCGGAGTTGGGGACTGGCTTCAGTAGAAGCTGCTGGGAGTCCCAGCAGCCTTCCGAGTAAATCGCCAGAACGCCGACACCTCCTCATCTCCACCGCTCCCATGTTTTATTTTGTGTTGCCATAAATTAGTCTCTCTGCGTTTCTGCGCTGGGCTAATGCTAATAATGCTAATGCGAGGATAATAAAATGACGGCTTCACAAAACTTTTTGGGAGTTTTACGGGGCGTGGTTTGCAATCCGCCCAGCCAATCAGAAATATAGCTCTTTTCTCACAAGAGAGCCGTACGAAAGTCCCTGCTCTCTAGCAGCTCTCTGCTCTCTAGCAGGGACTTTCGTGGGGGTAAAAAGGTTCTCATGAACTCATTTTAGTACCGGCTCTTTTTGGTGTGAACGCGATAAAAGAGGCTAACGTCCACGCTAGCTTCCACGCTAGCTGCTATATGTTTTGCATTGAGGTGATACTTGAGGCTTGATGTGCTGCGGTGATATGCAAATTCCTTTTTGCATAATTTGCACACAACCGTGCTCTTATCGACGCTTCCATCCGTCCGTTTTTTAAAACAACATTTCCCACTGTTGTTCACTGTGGTTTGTTGATGTCTGAAGTCATGAATGTTAGTTGGTGCTCCAGTATAATCGGTACGCCTGAAACTCATCCAGTGAGAAACGTTCCGCGGTGCAAAAATAAGTGCGATTAAAATGCGTTAATTTTTTTAACGCGTTAATTTTTGTGTAATTAATTAATCTTAATTAACGCGTTAAAGTCCCGGCCCTAGTGTTTATATAAATGGTGTTGTTTTGTGTGGTAGAGGGTCGCTGTCATTGATGCGTTTTGCACCCCGGGCCGCTGTTTTGATATTCCGCTGAAGTATACGCTGTGACGTAATAACTCTTCTTTTTTTTCGAGGGAAGGGGGGGGGTCAGAGGGCCTAGGTATAAAAGTCAAGGCTCGCCACTGGTCAATCATTATCCTGGTGATTATTTCGCAGATAAACCTATTAACCCCGCCCCCTCTAAAAAAACAACTCTTTCGAACGGCTCTTTTGAATGACTCTTTTGAACGGCTCTTTTGAACGATTCTTTTGAATAACTCTTTTGAACGGCTCTTTTGAACGACTCTTTTGAATGACTCTTTTGAACGATTCTTTTGAACGGCTCTTTTGAACGGCTCTTTGAAAGGAACGGAGCCATGAGATCCGGCTCCCTTCAAAGAGCCATAATTCACTAGTAGATTCATGTTTGTAGGAAGATGTATGGCAAGTAAAATCCACACCATTGAAAACTAATTATAAAAACCATATTAACACGTGGTCACACTCAAAAAACACTTTTTCTAACATTAATATTGCTATAATTTTAACACTTTGTACTTGTTGTCTCACTCAACATTTGTATCTTTTTGTAGGGTCCTTGTAGGTAACACAAAGGAAATGTCAGGGCTTGGGGAGGGGGTAAGATCGAGTGAAAAGACTCAATATTTCCAAGTTTAAAGGGGTACATCAAAGAGAAGGAAACTCTATTCTGTGAAACTTAAAAAAGCAAAAGAACAAAATCAAAGTGTAATATTCTATTGTTTTTTCTCATATTTATTTACAAATGTATTCATTTAATTAAATATCACCCCCGTCCCATCGACTCTGTATTTTATATTGACCTACAATGGCACTCTTTTACACTCATAGCCTAGTGGGTTCTGTGCTATCTAAACAATTGTAACAATAAACTCGATGGTAAAACGTTATTCTCCCTCTCACCTGAAGTGGAGTCGACTCGGCTCAGACGTCGAGGCGGGCCGAGGATGTTGGCAAACCGAGGCTTCTTCACTTTCTCCTCTCCCTCCTTCTCTGGCTTTATGCTCTTCTGCTCGTTAGAAATGAAACACATTAGAAGCACTTCCTCAAAGGGGCTGCTGCATGTGAACTCATAAGATCATTCTTGGACAACAAAACTGTAAATCATGATTGTGTGACGAGGGGGCGGACCTTGATCTTGGGCAGGAAGTTGATGCGAGCTCGTTTGTGTTCGAGGCCTCGAGGCTCCTTCACTCTCACCCCGAGGTGCTTCATGTAGGTGAGCATCACGTACTGCATCGTTTGGCTGCAAATAGAACAATATAATAGGATATGGTGTGACAATATGTACTCATTTGCAGATTTCATCACACAACATGGTGCAAAAACACACATGTAGTGAAAGTAAGACTACAAATAAACCCTAAGAAGACCTTTTACACAACAGGGTTACTGCAGCTTGACGTACGTTACATTTTAAACCCATTTAATGCCACTTACAATCTCATTTAAGGCTAATTATAAACAGTTTTCTATCCGCTATCTGGATATGTGCAACGTCAATGCAAGAGACTTTGGGGAAATGAATAAAAAATGTATAATTATTGATATAAAAACTCTCGTTCTTCTCACCACTTCTCCTCTTCTGTGGGCTGTGACGGCAACCTGCAACAGGAAACTCAGGGTTAGCAAACGATCATTGAATAGGCTTGATTTGTTGTTGTTGTTGTCATGTGATTGTGTGACTCTAAATCAATCCCTGTACACATAGAACGCACATCTTTTTATGGATTGTACTGCCTTTTTCTCGTTTAAATGAATATCTCTATGAACAAATCTGCAAGTTTCTTCATGAAAAAAGTCTCATTTCTGTGCAATAGCTACCATGTCATGTGACCCAGTGACCTCCAAATCAATGCAGCATTGTATTACTGCTCTGGAAAAGTAGGACACACATCTTGTTATTGCATTTTAGTCTGATTATCTCTCTAATATGAATATTTCTATGGAGAAATGTGCAGATTGCTCATTGAAATTCCAGATTCTTTTGCAATAGCTTCCATATAATGTGACCCGGTGACTCCAAATCAATGCAGCATGTGTATGACTACACTGGAGTTGAATAATTACATGCATGTGTATCAGTGTGTGTGTGTGTGTGTGTGTGTGTGTGTGTGTGTGGTGTGTGTGTGTGTGTGTCTGTCTATGTGTGTGTGTGTGCTCACAGGATGTCCTCTATCTTTGACAGTATGTTTTCGGCACAGCAACATTCCCTCTCCAGATTCTGAGGGTCTTTTCCTCCGTCTGAGTCCAGCTTCGACAGCTCGTCTTCAGCCAGAGTCAGACCCATGCTGCGCTTCTGTCTGTGCACACACACACACACACACACACACACACACACACACACACACACACACACACACACACACACACACACACACACACACACACACACACACACACACACACACACACACACACACACACACACACACACACACACACACACACACACACACACACACACACACAAGGTTCAGCGGTGGAAACGACCAAGGATATGTACTCAACTGTTGAGTTTAAAAGTTAAATAATTAACATCTGTGTTATATATTGTGTTGAGTTGTGTATTGACATTACATCATCAGTAATTTGATATTTAACACTCGTTTGTTCTTATGTTCTTTATCTGTAAAAGTGATTTCTCCCCTCTGAACATGCATTATCTCTGCCACTCATTATTTGACTTTGTATACATTTTCTAGTCACCATTTCATGATACACCTTCCAGATCTTGGTCATTTTTAACTATATGTTTCATAAAGCATAGTATTAGTACTTCTACTATAACAACTGAAGACTTATCTTTTTACATTGGCTTTTGTTTCTACTTGAGATGTGTGTGATGTGTGTGATGTGTGTGATGTGCTCTTATGTTTGTTCCTTTCAGGACTCCACGTGGTCTGTGTTCTGTTGTTCTGTTGACCTTAATGTCTGCCTCATGTTGTTCTTGTATTCATGTTTCTGTGGTCTTCATTTTTACTTCTGTTCTTTCTTGTGAAAGGAGCTATACTAAATAAACGTAATATTATTACTTCAGTACGGTATCTTTCTCCACTGTGTGTGTGTGTGTGTGTGTGTGTGTGTGTGTGTGTGTGTGTGTGTGTGTGTGTGTGTGTGTGTGTGTGTGTGTGTGTGTGTGTGTGTGTGTGTGTGTGTGTGTTACCTGAAGTCCTCCAGGTTCCTGTGCAGCTCTGGCAGCAGTGTGTCCTGCAGCAGCTGAGTGTATTGTTTGCACAGATCCTCTGGGATTAACTCCAGCCTCCGCTTCTCTGCAGAGAAACACACACACAGTCATATCATCACAGCTCTAAGAGTATTATAACTTAAATGCATGCATTCAGGAAACTCTGCTTGTGATTCTCACTATTTATTCATCATTAATTAACAGTTTTTTGTGCCATTTCAAATCTGTAGAATATCTGAGTGTCTCTCCGCCTCTTACCCAGGTCAGCTGCAACTGTGTCTGGCACCGGTACTTTAAGGTTCTGAGGAAACAACACGAGAGATGCATCAACCAAAATGGTACATAATCCGGAGTGAGGTCAAAGAGAGAGAAGAGCGATTGTCTGAAGAAAGAAAACGTACCGCTGTCCGATCCAGGAAGAGAGAGTGGAACTCGATGAAGAAGCGTCGGCTCTCTTTGGAGCTGGTTTGTTTGTGCATGTCAGCGTAGAGATAACAGAACTAACATGAGGAAGAAAGTGATTTATAAAACTGTTAATATACAATTAAAATGATCTTTTTTTAGGGAGCAAATTTAAACAGAAAATACTGATTGTTACAGATTTTGTTGTCAATTTATAAATGCTTAAATTGATTTTTAATATTATTTTTAGACCATTAAATGACATTGTTATATTTTAGTACTTTTTGTATGTTGAGTAGTAATATTAAGCTTGGTAAAACTAGAACAATGAATACAGTTATCCGTCTGTCTTCTCAGGAAGTACAATAACACACAGCAGAGTAGAAGTATGCTACATTGGTGTTTTTCATTTTGGTATAAAACCACACATTATTGGAATAATAGATGGGTATTATGTGTGTGTGTGTGTCCTAGCATTACTATACTTGTGGGGACCTACATTTGTTTACACAGTCGCGTGTGGGGACTCGCCTCCCTTATGGGGACAAAATGGAGGTCCCCACAAGGGGAATCATTAATTTTAGGGTGAAGACTTGGTTATGATTAAGGGTAAGGTTAAGGGTAAGGTTAAGGGTAAGGTTAAGGGCCATGGTTAAGGTTAGGATAAGTCTCCAGGAAATGTATGTAAGTTAACGTCATGTCCCCTGAAGTGATGTATACATGGTGTGTGTCTCTTTGTGTGTGTGTGTGTGTGTGTGTGTGTGTGTGTGTGTGTGTGTGTGTGTGTGTGTACCAGAGGAGCAGGGTCAAACTGCGACACCACGTGATGGAGGAAAGCAGCGAGGTGCGCCGGCCGAGCCTTCAGAGCGTCTAGACTCTGGAAGCAGCTGCACACTCCGTTAATCTGGATAACAGAGGATTTCATGTTCATGTTCATAAAGATGAAGATAACGCGACATTTGAGTCAATTTCATATCTATAATTATGGAGGTACCTGCTCCTGCTGAGAGTCAAAGTAGTCGTCTTCTGCTCCGATGATCTGCGGGTGGAGGAGGTAGGGAGGGTTTCCCACAATGCACTGGGCACTGAAAGCCTGAGGAAGACATTGGCATGGTGTTTGACTTGATGTTATGGTGCATATATAAAAACAAAACAAAAATTCAAAACAACGATAGAAAACTATTTTGAGAAAACTATAATGACATAAAATAGAATATGGTTGAAATCGTAGAAATACAATTGGAATAAAATACGTGCAGTTACAATGTGCAGAATTCAGAGGGATAATGCACTGAAAGCCAAACTAAAACACATTCACTGTTAAGAATATTACAAATGAAACAAGAACATTTGAATCTATACTATATATCACCTTATTATGTAGCTCCCTTTAAAAAGGAGTATGAATGTATTATCATTATTTTCATTATAAAAAGTGTTTTCTTGCTTCTTTCCTCACATAAAAAACTGAATTTGGATATGTTCGTTTATTGTTGTGTCATATTTATATTGAATACAAGTCAATGGACATGGTCTCTTAATGCCTGGTGAAAATCACTTGTCGAACCACAACAACACCACATGATTGGGCAGCTCGATAGTCTGTGTGTGTGCGTGTGTGTGTGTGTGTGTGTGTGTGTGTGTGTGTGAGTGTGGCCTAGCATTACTATCCTTGTGGGGACCTAAATCTGTTTACACAGTCACGTGTGGGGACTCGCCTCCCTTATGGGGACAAATTGGAGGTCCCCATAAGGGGAATCATTAATTTTAGGGTGAAGACTTGGTTAGGGTTAGGTATGTGTGGTTATGGTTAAGGTTAGGATAAGTCTTGTGTGTGTGTGTGTGTGTGTGTGTGTGTGTGTGTGTGTGGCATTAGCTTTGCCACCTATAGAAATATAGGTTATTATTTATGGGAAAAACGTATCATCATGTTTGTGTAAAACATGTAAAACACAAACAATTTTCAAGAACCATTTCGTGTTTCTGAGCCTCATTCCTCCTTCTTTAAGCATCAACTACACATTTTAGACATCTTTTGTACACTTAATTAGCTAGTAGTCCGGCAGTGGCTCAGTCAGTAGGGGCTTGGACTGTGAGCCGTAGGGTCGCCGGTTCAAGTCCCCGACCAGACCTAAAATATGGAGTGTGGACTGCTACTTGGAGAGGTCCCAGTTCACCTCCTGCCCTGCCGTGGTGCCCTTGAGCAAGGCCCCGGACACCCCCCTTCCCCCCCCCAGTCCCATTGCTCCCCGGGCGCTGTGCAATAGCTGCCCACTGCTCCTAGTTCTAGACTCCTGGTGCTAGGATGGGTTAAAAGCAGAGAACACATGTCACTGTGTGTGCTCTGCATGTGAGACCTTTAGAGGGTTTCATCCCTCCCAATCTATCAATCTATCTTAACAATCGGCTGTTGGTGTTTATTTAAGTAATATTATTAAAACAAGATAAACCTCTATTTAACCCCTGTAGGGAAATTCAGGTGTCAAAGCAGCATGAAAAGTAAAACCAAGGACAGGACAGGTAAGAGTTCACATTAGGACGATAAAAAAACAAAAAAATGTGTCTCATTACTGTGTCGGGAGTGTCCTCCGTTTCAGGAGACGGCCGGAAATCGAGGTCGTCCCGTCGGCTGATATCTGGGCTCTGACAGGGCGTCTGTACGAGGGGGCTGCTGTGCATCTAACACACACACACGCACACACACACACGACTCTTAATTGATTGTTTAGTCTGCTGCTGAATGCTGGAAAATCCCCAGAGTTGGAAAAGTAAGGATCATTTCAAATCTCTATTTATAGGAAAGAGCAGAGGAAGTTATTACAAAGCAGTCTGTGTGGGCAGAGCTTCAGACTTCCTGTTGTTACATTAGACCATGAATACTCCTATAGTGTATTAATAAAGACGTTCCTCTTTCAACAGCAGCGTCAGAACTAGCTATTGTCTTAAAAGACTGCATAAAACACAAACATCATACCGTGGGAAAGTTGAAAATGTACTTAAAGTATTAGGAATAAAAGTACTTTGGAAGCAAAATGTCTCTTTTCCTTTTTATCCACAACAAATATACTGTATTTCATATCAAGTTAAGTTACATGTGTAGAATAATACTGCATTATATCTTATCATATAAGCCTATCATATGTTTTTATATATAAAATGGTAGCTAGCAATTATGAGTGTGAAATGAATGTCGTGGAGTATAATATTTGCATACATACATTGTGTATATACATATTTGTATACATGTTTTTATATATATTTGTTTTTGTATTCGGGATTATGGGAAACGGTATTTCCATCTCTCTGTAAACACAAACTGCAAAATTGACAATAAAGTTGACTTTGATAGAAAATGTAGTGGACGATAAGTTCATATAGCATAAAATGGTGAAGTACATGTAAAAAATAGTTCCTAAGTCCAATACTTGAGTAAATGTACTTCCTCCACTGGTGATTATACTCACAGAGTTGTTGTTGGTCGAGGGTCCGTCGGTGCTGTTTTCCCCCGGAGAGGAAGGGGTGTGTCGAGGTCCTGCGTCCCCCTCCTCTTCCCCACCGTTCCTGGACCCTGCAGCTCCATCCTAAATCACACATGTAGAAAATAGAAGTGTCCAGTGTAAAAGATCTAAGATTCAAATACTTTATTGTCATTTGTAAAAAGTTTTGGCAATGAAAGTCTGAAGTCCCAGGCTCCTCCTACAGCGCAATACACAATATAATTAAGATATACAACAAGAAATTGAAATTAAATAGTGCAAGAGAAGCAATGGTGCAAGTCAAAATGCAGAAATAAGATCCTGTTAAGGTGAAGTCTGCGGACGGGACAAGGTGGTTTAAGCTTCATTCAGAGCATGGATGAAGGAGGTTTAGTAAAAGGATTAACATGCATTTAGTGACAACATATATGCTGTAAAAATAATGTTATTTCTATTTCCACCTGGCATCAATCTGACTCAAATAGTGTGAGGATCAAAGCTGCAACCGTATTTCCACTGCACCATAGACATTCAAATAAAGTGTAATAACTTGTGTCTTATGTATAGCTCATGTACCTGCAGGATTCTGTCTGTTCTGAACTGGTCAACTTATAATCCTTCTTTGTACCTTGCTTTAGATAACTGTGTTGGTTAAATGAAGTGTAAGGTAATATTAAAGAGTCTTTTCTAACCTGTGAAGTGGCTGCTCTGCTGAGCCTCTCCTGCAGCAGAGAGATGTGTTTCTGAACCTCCTGAACCTCCTTCAGGAGTTTAGGACCAGGGTTCCTGCTGTGCTCCTCCTCCTTCACCTGGAACACATCCCAAATACAGAGGTGTAAAGTAACTAAGTACATTTACTCAAGTACTGTACTCAAGAAGAATTTTGAGATACTTTACTTGAGTATTTCCATTGTCTCTACCTTGTACCCTGCTACCCCACTACAGTTCAGAGGTAAATGGTGGTACTTGTACTTCACTACATGTATTTAATACCTTTAGTTACTTCACAGATGTGGATGAATGATGTGAAATCGAACCAAGTGTTGAATCAGACTTTAGTTCCACCTGAGTAAATCCACCAGCTACCCTGCAGTATACAAAGTACTTCAAACTAGCTGGCACCTTCACCAGCTTTGAGAACACTTTCATGATCAATCATTATAAAACATATCATATATATTATTCTGAAACGGACCAATCTGCACAATGACTACTTTTACTGTCGCTACTTTCACTATATTTTGATGAGAATACTTTTGTACTTTTACTTGAGGAACATTTTGAATGCAGGGCTTTTACTGTAACAGAGTATTCCTACACTCTGGTACTTCTACTTTTACTCAAGTACAAGATCTGAGTACTTCTACTTTTACTCAAGACATGATCTGAGTACTTCTACTTTTACTCAAGTACAAGATCTGAGTACTTCTACTTTTACTCAAGAACAAGATCTGAGTACTTCTACGTTTACTCAAGTACAAGTTCTGAGTACTTCTACTTGTACTCAAGTACAAGATCTGAGTACTTCTACTTTTACTCAAGTACAAGATCTGAGTACTTCTGACTTTTTACTCAAGTACAAGATCTGAGTACTTTCTACTTTTACTCAAGTACAAGATCTGAGTACTTCTACTTTTACTCAAGGATAAGATCTGAGTACTTCTACTTTGTACTCAAGTACAAGATATGAGTACTTATGGCTTTTACTCAAAGACAAGATCTGAGTACTTCTACTTTTACTCAAGTACAATATCTGAGTACTTCTACTTTTACTCAAGTACAAGATCTGAGTACTTCTACTTTTACTCAAGTACAAGATATGAGTACTTCTACTTTTACTCAAGTACAAGATCTGAGTACTTCTACTTCTTTTACTCAAGTACAAGATCTGAGTACTTCTACTTTTACTCAAGGACAAGATCTGAGTACTTCTACGTTTACTCTAGTACAAGATCTGAGTACTTCTACGTTTACTCTAGTACAAGATCTGAGTACTTCTACTTTTACTCAAGTACAATATCTGAGTACTTCTACTTTTACTCAAGTACAAGATCTGAGTACTTCTGCTTTTACTCTAGTACAAGATGTGAGTACTTCTACTTTTACTCAAGTACAAGACCTGAGTACTTCTACTTTACTCAAGTACAATACCTGAGTACTTCTACTTTACTCAAGTACAAGATCTGAGTACTTCTACTTTTACTCAAGAACAAGATCTGAGTACTTCTACTTTTACTCAAGTTACATACATCTGGGTAATTCTACTTTTACTCAAGTACAAGATCTGAGTACTATATCTTTACTCAAGTAACAAGACCTGAGTACTTCTACTTTTACTCAAGTACAAGACTGAGTACTTCTACTTTTACTCAAGTAAAAGACCTGAGTACTTCTCCCACCTCTGCCCAAATACACCAAGAGTAAAGTGAACAGAAGGACATACTGTACAATGCAAACAAACAGCATTGTAAATATGGTGTATAGGATACTTTCCATATACATATATAATATATATATAATCCACCTGCAGGTCTTGCTGCTCCTTGGTTAGCATCTTCTGCAGGAGGTCCACCCTCTCACTGTGCCTGGTTTTATTCTCACCCTAAAGGAGGAAATAATGAGCCGAAATAGTGAGAACATATGTTTGGAAATACATCATTATTCTCCTGTAGCTGAAAGGAGCTCGAGGTTCACACGGAGAGAGAGAAGTGATACTGGAGAGACTAACGTCCAAAGGGAAATGTGGAAATTCATCATACAGTAAAAGACTCGTCTAATTTAAGAACAGCATGAGAAGAGATACAGATCATTTCTACAGGGAACAATCTACGTGCATGTATTTCTGATTCGATGTCAGACAGAAGTCTTTAGTTCACACATTCAGTGATTCAGATGATTCAAAAATAATGACTGCTGATTTCTTGAAACACAGATAAAAAATACAGTCATTTAAGTTTCAGTTCATGTGCGCAGAGTACTCCAATGTTTTATATAGTTACTAACACAGCCCAAAATAAATCTTATAATTGATGTATTGTGTCTTGCTTGCATGCGGTTATGGGGATAGAAACTAATTTTCCCAGATTTCTTATGCGTCCGTTTCTCAAGCTCCTGCTTCCTCTGCAAGAATCTGTGTTCTCTAATGCAAGAATCTGTGTTTTTCACACGTTTTGTGAAAAGTGTCCTCATCCTTTAAAGGTCCCTATCATACTGTTTTCCATCATATATCACAGGTCTCAGATATATCCAGAGCCTGTCTCTGATTGGCTGAAACACCAAACAGATCATTGCAGCATTACCCATAATCCCCTCTGTTTCAGCCCTGTTTCCAAAGTGCTGATTCTCTGTCTGTTACTTCAGATGAAATAAGGAGCCCCTCCCCACGGCCCCTCTGAGAGAGATCTGGTTACAAAGAACTCAATGGTGCTCTAGGAGGAGATTCAGGGGATAAGGGGGGGGGGGGTTACCTTGGTTGCTGATTGGCTAATGGTTACACAGAGACAAAACATCGTTATGACATCATAAAGTGGTCAAAATCTGATCAGCTCATTTTCAGACAGGTTTTTATAGAAATGGATCAAAAGAGGAGAGAATCTTTGTTCCTGAAACTTCAGAGTCCTCTTCCACAGAGGGGACACATGTTGAATGTAGAAGAGACATGGAGAAGAGGGGACACATGTTGATGTAGAAGAGACATGAAGAAGAGGGGACACATGTTGATGTAGAAGAGACATGAAGAAGAGGGGACACATGTTGATGTAGAAGAGACATGAAGAAGAGGGGACACATGTTGATGTGGAAGAGACATGAAGAAGAGGGGACACATGTTGATGTGGAAGAGACATGAAGAAGAGGGACACTGTTGATGTAGAAGAGACATGAAGAAGAGGGGGACACATGTTGATGTAGAAGAGAACATGAAGAAGAGGGGACACAATGTTGATGTAGAAGAGACATGAAGAAAAGAGGGGACACATGTTGATGTAGAAGAAGGACATGAGAAGAGGGGACACATGTTGATGTAGAAGAGACAATGAAGAAGAGGGGGACACATGTTGATGTAGAAGAGACATGAAGTAAGAGGGACACATGTTGATGTAGAAGAGACATGAAGAAGAGGGGACACATGTTGATGAAGAAGAGACATGAAGAAAGGGGGACACATGTTGATGAAGAGAGAGACATGAGGAAGAGGGGACAAATGTTGATGTAGAAGAGACAGTGAAGAAGAGGGGAACACATGTTGATGTAGAAGAGACATGAAGAAGAGGGACACATGTTTATGTAGAAGAACATGAAGAAGTGCATAATAGGTCCCCCGTTAATAAGAAACATCACACATTGTGTATTTCCCCTCCTTACCCCCATCAGTGATGGAGGTTTTCTCCTCCTGGACGCTATCCAGCGGTGCAGGAGTGTGGGGGTCTGAGAGAGGGGTGGGTGGGCTGACCTCTGGCTGCCCCCCCCCTCTCTTCCTCTGCTCCCCCCCACTCTCCTCCTCCGGGAGGTTAGGGACCCCCGGGGGCCTCCCCAGCACCGTGAGGGCCACATAGGATCCCGCTGCCAGAGAGGAGTCAAGAGAGAGGAATGAAGGAGGAGGAAACACAGGAGGGTTTGGCTCCTCGTGTGAAGAGCTGCAGGGTTTTTACTGAGTTATTGTCGATAGAAAGTCAATTAAAGAAATAAAATCCTCCACTGGGGAGTTAGCGTACACAGAGAGGACTATATTTAGACTTTATAACCTGGGTAATAGAGTGCCACAGTGACGTGTCCTAAAACCCGGAAGTAAACTCCTTCCGGTTCCTTCGAAAAAAACGCAATGCAATTTCTCCATAGGGTTTAGGAAAATAGCTGGAAATCAGGGTCTGTGGTTGAAAACACATTGAAGAGACGGATCACGTTTTGTTCAGAGGATAATCTCCACATGTCTATCCTACTTTATCATTTTCTAATTATAAATCTAGTCGCCAGAAGCAAAATGCTAACGCTATGCTGTAAACGAACTACAGCAGGGTCGCTGCTTCAACGTCACGCCGACTTCAGATCCATATTCAAAACTACAGATTCTAAATGGTACGAGTTGAAAGCGTTTGTTTGAACAGTCTGCAGGAGGCAGGGACTTGCTTTCAAGCAGAACAGAAACTAACTTGCTGTGTGTTTACGTGTTTGGCGTAATGACGTACAACGGCCTCCACGACTTCTGTAGTCCTATTCAGCCACTTGGTAACAACCATCGTTTCTCAGACACGTCAACTCTTCAGAAATCACCAGTGGGGTCACTGCTGATGGATGTAATGTCGTAGAACAAAACGTGATCCGTCTCTTCAGTGTGTTTGAACCACAGACCTTAGTTCAGATATTTTCCTTAAATCCTTGGAGAGATCCCATTGCTTTTTGTCGAAGGAACCGGAAGTGGTGACATGCTAACTTACGTCCGGGTTTTAGGACGTGTCACTGTGGCACTCTATTACTCAACTGTGCAATACTCGTACCACTGACGTACTATGTGCACTTTTTGTATAACTTATGTTCATATCATTTTAACTCTAAATTGGAGCAAATACATATTTCTGATTGATTCTGATTACCGTATAACACTGTAAATGTTGAGGGATAACGTTTTTAGCATTAATATCAGAGGTGAACCGTCAGGGCCTTCAAGGTATTCAGAGAATACCCTGGAACACTCAGATAAAACAAACAAAGAATCGATTTGATAGCATTGTTTCTGATAGCAACGTTTCTGATTGGGCCGTGGGTCCACATTTCAGATATTACGTCATATCGGACGCAAATCTGGATCAGCTCCGTTGTTCCCCCGTTTTTAAAAGATTTGGGTACGGAGGAAAGAGAGAGGGGTTTATTTTCTGACGCTGCGTGAGTTCCCTGACGCACCGGGGACACATGTTGATGTAGAAAAGACATAAAAAGTGCATTTTGCATGATAGGTCCCCTTTAATTTGGAGAGATCTTAAAGGGTTTCCTCTCCTGTATGAACAGCTGTTTTGGGCAGGACATGTAATTCAAACACATCTCATCGTTATTTTTGTTATTTTCATTGTTTTTATGCGGTCAGATGTTCCTCTATTCTCAGAGACAGAAATACTTTATTTATCCCTCGGGGTAAAAAGGATTTCGTAAGAGTTGGTGAATTTTAGGATAGACTAAAATAGAATAAAATATGTAAACATAGAGAAGTCAATTGTACTACAATATGTCGTATTATAATACATAAAGTGGTGTATTAACATCATTATATGTATTTGTCACAATGTTTTGGATATTTTGCTTTTTGAGCATTTGATGCGGGCCCCAGGCTCTGGAACACTCTGCCCCTCCATGTGAGACCCTAGGGGTTTCTAAATCAACACTTAAAACTCACTTATTCTTCTTCTCTCTGGCCTTCTAGCCTTTTCTTATCAAGCTCCACTTTTGTGGAATCAGCTTCCAGTTTGTGTTCGGGCGGCCGACAGCCTATCCGTTTTAAGAGTACGCTTACGACCTTCCTCTCTGACAAAGCTTATAGCTGATAAAATAATCTAATAAAGAGTGCATTGAAGCAGACACGCTGTGACTCTTCACCTACATTTTGGTTCTTGCTCTTTCACTTAAATCCTAAAAACTTGGATCTTATATTTAAAACTAAGGTTATTACTACTTCTCATTCTTCTAAATATTTTCTCTCTCTACTTCTCATACTCTCTAGACCTGTAATCTATTCTTTCTATTTTCTCTTTATCCAAAAACCTTTCCCCTCTCTGACCTCTCGAGGTTCTATTAGAGGGAAACAGGTTGCAGAGAGGCTTATTCCGGCCGGGGAGTGTTGAGACCGTATTAACAGCGTACCTCCTTACCTCTCACCAATTCCAACTGAGGCTGCAGTGGGGACCTTGTTCCCTGAGTGTGCCTCTCCACCTCTGTTCCTTACTCTCTTGCTTGCTTCCCTTTTCCCTCAACCTATCCTAAGGGAGTGCTTGTTCTTCCTTCTGTCTGTCTGTGTCTGTGTATTCTCTTGTTCCGATTAACCCAGCCTCCCCCAAATGTTCTTGTTTTGTATCTATATCTACGCCGGGATCCGGAGTCGAGGCTGATCCTGTTGTGCCCTGGATCCTCTATCCTGAGTTCTGGATTAAGTCGTGGACTTCGGGTCGTGGCTGAACCTGTCTCTGCGGTCCTGCCTGGGTCTCGTCATGCTGCTTCCCTGATGGCTTCCACAGGACTGTAGCTGACATCCTCGTGGATTCATCTTCTTATTACAGACACATGCATTTCCTAACATTCGGTCTATATGCTGTAAAATGTATTATCTCTTCAATTTACACACGGCATCTATTGCACGTCTGTCCGTCCTGGGAGAGGGATCCCTCCTCTGTTGCTCTCCCTGAGGTTTTCTCCCATGTTCCCTTTAAACTGTGGGTTTTCTCTGGAAGTGTTTCTTTGTAGGATGTGAGGGTCTAAGGACAGAGGGTCTAAGGATAGAGGGAAGTAGAGGGGGTCGTTTTCTCATACTGATATTCTGCACAATCTGTGCTGTTGTATTTGCTGTAAAGTGTCTCTTACTGTGGGGTATTTTTATTATATGTACAGCACTTTGGCTCGTCCAAAATCGTTTAAAAATGTGCTATATAAATAAAACTTGATTTGATTTTAGTAAGATTATACTTATCATGACCCATACAAACACATGTAATGTAGTAGAGATCATTAAGTGATACATGCAGACTTACATTTGATCAGCTTCACAACCTCTATGTGGTTTGAATGAGTGACTAAGGTCCCGTTAACCTGTCAGGAACAAGAAGCATCGAGAAAGAGTCAAGACTTTGGCATATATTGCTTTAAGGAAAAGGTGATGTTTTATATATTTTTATCAGAACAATACCATAGTCCCCAAACAACAATGTGTCAATTCAATAAATCATCCTTAAATTAGCATCCAGATTAAGAGATGTTCAGTTACTGATCCAGGAAGTAACAGGGACTAAATATTAATAAAATGAAAACCTTAATGATTCTGTCTCCTGTCTGAACACCGGCTCGCATTGCCGCTCCATCTGTACAGAAAGAAAGATTAAGAAAACGTGGCTTCTGCAAGTGTGTGTGGGTGTGTGTGTGGTGTGTGTGTGTGTGTGGGTGGGTGTCTAACCCTTCTTTAACCAGCTGCACAAAACACCAGGGGTTTGTTCATCGCTTACAGTGTCCACCCGAAAGCCATGCCGCATCCGCGTCTGGGAGTAGCACCACACCGCGGACTGCACATCAGAACGGGCAGTGAAAAACAAACACCACTAACTAACGAACACAACACTACACATATCGTTATAATCACCAAGACACACACCACACACACACACCACACACCCCAACACACACACACACACACCAACAAACACACAACCAAAACCACACACAAAACACACACACACAACACCACACACACAAACACACACACACACCACACACACACACACACACACACACCACACACACACACACACACACACACACACACACACACACACACCACACACACACACACACACACCACACACACACACACACACACACACACACACACACACACACACACACACACACACACACACACACACACACACACACACACACACACACACACACCCAACTTAACTGTACGATGTTTATTTGTGGGAATACAGGATGTGATCGAGAAGCAGGACATGTTTTATGAAGCAGGAAATGTTTTAAATAGAGGCTGCACTCTTTCCAACAAAACTAAACTCACCAGAAAGAGATGTGTTTACTCTCTCTTTGTTATCCGTTGTATACTTACACTACCAGGTTTACTACTAATATTAATAACAACCCTAATCATACATCAACAACCTGCAGAAAACACTTACATTATGCAACCAAACAATGCAAATTAAAGTAACATTTTGTAAAAAAAACATCAATAATGTAACATTTTGTAAGCTGTTTTGATCTGGACACCAATATTTATCTGTAAACAATTGTTAAAAGATCTTAAAACACAGCAATACAAAGGGAAAATATTGTAAAATGTAGTTTTAAAGAGGCATTTAGAAGCTGCAGTGGATCCAGACACACTTTCATATCTATCAACTCATCCTGTGTTTGTATTGACAGTTTTAATTCACCACATGCACAGCTAATGGTTCCCAGTTTAGTCTCAGCCCCTTCCTACACTAACGTCTCCAAAATCTGCAGAAACAATCTGTCGGATAAAGAAACCTCCCTCATCAGAGGAAGTTTAGTGACCCAGAGGTTTTCTGTCCCTCTTCAAAGACTTATCTCTCGGAGCAGAGAGGATAATTGGTCGTCTTCTGGCCTCCAGGGTGAGCGAAAGGGCAGGAAGGATTAATGTCAGAAACCCAGGAGAAACAACCTTTAATACGTGTTGCTGCCTGTGGTCGAGACCTCGGGAGGTTCATACTTCATGTTTAAAGCAAATTAACGGAGAGAAGACTAACTTGGACAGCAAACTGTATCTAAACGTACAGAAAGACAACTAAACCATGTTGTTTATGTTGAGTTACCTCACTGAACTCACATATAATCAAGACACATTTTCTACTCAATCAAACGATTCCTTATCCCAAATGAATGTACCACACATTAAGAAAGCCAGTGGCGATATAAGTTGTTTAACTGTTAAGAAAAAATGAATTAACTTGAAGTTTCAGCTTAACTGAAATCTTGGTTCAATGTCCTGTCATGTGAAGTTTGGTTGTCAAATGTGGGTTTAAATACAAATAATGAAATGTTAAACCATTTAACAAGTGCAGTTAAATCGTTCACACTGGATCCACAAAGGCTTCACAGGAAAATTACTGAAGTGTGTGTGTGTGTGTCCTAGCATTACTATCCTTGTGGGGACCTACATTTGTTTACACAGTCACGTGTGGGGACTCACTCGCCTCCCTTATGGGGACAAATTGGAGGTCCAAATGAGGGGAATCGTTAATTTTAGGGTGAAGACTTGGTTAGGTTTAGGATTAGTGTAAGGGTAAGGGTAATGGTTAGGGTTAGGGTAAGGGTTAGGCATGTGTTGGTTATGGTTAAGGGTTAGGATAAGTCTCCAGGAAATGCATGTAGGTCAATGTAATGTCCCCTGAAGTGATGTATACATGGTGTGTGTGTGTGTGTGTGCGTGTGTGTGGTCTAGCATTACTATACTTGTGGGGGACCTTAATCTGTCTACACAGTCACGTGTGGGGACTCACCTCCCTTATGAGGACATAATTGAGGTCCCATAAGGGGAATCATTAATTTTAGGGTGAAGACTTGGTTAGGTTTAGGGTTAGGGTTAGGCATGTGTTGGTTATGGTTAAGGTTAGGATAAGTCTCCAGGAAATGCATGTAGGTCAATGTAATGTCCCCTGAAGTGATGTATACATGGTGTGTGTGTGTGTGTGTGTGTGTGTGTGGTGTTGTGTGATGTGTGTGTGTGTGTGTGTGTGTGTGTGTGTGTGTGTGTGTGTGTTGTGTGTGTGTGTGTGTGTACCTGTGGGGTCAAACTCATGTTTGAGGGACACAGAGGATTTCTCATTTCTTGGGTTTCTTGTCTGTGGGCTCCTTGTTGAGAATGCTGGGGGTCCTAGAGGAAGCAAAGTAAAAACACATCTGTTCATGTTCATGTTTCATGTTTCGTATTGGAATATACTTCAGTGTGTTTATGTTTTATTCCTACAGAATACATGCTGAAAGGATAAGATTTTTAGCCAAGGTTAACCCTGGTGTCAATAGGGAAGATCTGCACGGTTCTCGACAGCCCATGTTCAGCAGAACAGGTGGTGCAGCTGCCTGCTTTGGCACCCCCACTGTAACTTTGTCCAGTCGTACTGTCACCAAAATCCCACTGGTGTTTGCTGACCCCCTCTAGTTTGTGCACACACACGCATTTTACTCTGAGCTCAGCAGGTGAGAAACTAAAGGGGCTTCCACATGTCGCAGAGCAGGTGTTGGTGCTGCCGGATTTGGCACTTTCACTGTAACTTTGTCCACGATAATCACACTGTCACCAAAATCACACTCGTGTTGGTTGTTTCCAACTTATTTGAGATCATCTCCGGCAGAGCAGACTTTCTATCCTGAGGATAATTAAGACTTTGTATTCGCATGCTGACCAAGTCCTTTCTCTGGTTCTGTGGTACTATCTCAATTGTGGTACTATCTCAATCAACAATTACCCTTTTCTCCAGGCAATGAGAAGTCCCTGCTTTTATAAGTTCCAGTTTTTTAAAGTCTTTCAACTGCACAAAATAAAGACGAGTATATTTACCCTAACCCAAATTGTCCAAATGTGTGGTATCTTCTCCATTGATTACAATAGGTTTGTAAAAGTTAATTACAATAATAAGACAAATAATACATTAAATGTTGTATTGTTCTTAATATCAGTGTTCATCATTGTTGACATTTTTGCATAATCATTAATTATGGATGTACTGATCATGTTTTTTTTGTATTATTCTTTGCCTTTCCAAAGCATTATATCATTATTTACACAACACGAAAATAACGTAATGTAAAGTATTTATTTCACCTTTATTCAGAAGTACTTAAAAACACATGTAAGCCTACGTCATTAGTTACCAGTACAAAAAAAAAGAACTGCCCTGTAAGAAATTACAGTATCATCCATCGATCCATCTTCTCCCGCTTATCCGTGGTCGGGTCGCGGAGGTAGCAGTTCCAGCAGAGAGCCCCAAACGTTCCTTTCCCTGGCCACATCAACCAGCTCTGACTGGGGGGTCCCAAGGCGCTCCCAGGCCAGCGAAGAGATATAATCCCTCCACCTGGTCCTAGGTCTACCCCTTGGTCTCTTCCCAGCTGGACGTGCCTGGAAACACCTCCCTAGGGAGGCGCCCGGGTGGCATCCTTACTAGGTGCCCTGAACCACCTCAACTGGCTCCTTTCGACGCGAAGGAGGAGCGGCTCAACTCCGAGTCCCTCCCGGATGACTGAACTTCTCACCTTATCCCTAAGGGAGACGCCAGCCACCCTGCGGAGAAAACCCATCTCGGCCGCTTGTATCCGCAATCTCGTTCTTTGGGTCATTACAGTATCAAACAAAGCTAATTGTTGTTTTTCATGACCGGACTATCTTAGTTCTTTCGGATAACAGGACAAGGCAAAGAATAACAGGGACAAATAATTAAAGGACTTGGTCAGCATGCGAATACAAAGTCTTAATTATCCTCAGGATGGAAAACCGTCTCAAATAAGATGGAAACAACCAACACTGGTGACATTGTGACTATCATGGACAAAGTTAACGGGGGGGGTGCAAAATCTGGCAGCACCAACACCTGCTCTGCCACATGTGGAAGCCCCTCTTTAGTTTCTCACCTGCTGAGCTCAGAGTAAAATGCTTTGTGTGCACAAACTAGAGGGGGACAGCAAACACCAGTGTGATTTTGGTGGCAGTACGACTACCCTGTACTTTTATACTTTTTTATGTATGCACCACAACATCAAGTCAAATTCCCCGTACTTGTCAACTGGTAATAAACCCGTTTCTGATTCCGATCATTTCAGCGAATGCAATCATGGACGAGCTTGTTGCAAAGATTAAACCAAGGCTCCTATTTAGGATTATTTAGGTGGAAACATGGCTAGAAGAAGGACCTGAATGAAGCACTTCATCATTTTGATTTCACATATTTTAGGTACATTTCACCTTGAATCTTGCATTATGTGAATGAGAGCCGAGGAGATTTATTTAAAGGACGAAAGAAAACGTTTGTTGATGTCCAATTTTGCAATAAATGACAATATGAAGAGCTGCATTGGTACTTGTTTAATATGCCTCTCCCTTAAGGGACCACTGTATATTAATAGCAGATTAACCTCCTCCTCCTCCTCACTCCACTAGAGGAGGTTTCGTTTGTCCTCCTCCTCCTCCCTGGGACCATGGGGCTCTTTAACAATGGCCCCCACGTCAGAGCCCCCTCACTGAACTGTGGCTTTGTGGGACAGATTCCCGGAAACGGAGACTCGGCTTCTTGGCTCCACTCCAGCTTCCTGATTGTGGGAAAAAGAAACGGAGGAGGGGGAGGAGGCGACGGGGGCGACTTTGAGAGGAGACAGACGACGAGGGCCGAGGAACATTCAATTTCACTCCAAACTTGTGAGAATAAGACGTTTAAATTAACCTCATGGTGAAAAGAAAATGT